GTTTTTGATCCATAAGTCAGTGAGGTTGCCGGTTTTTAAACGTTAATTTATCAAAATAACTGTTTGAGCTAAATTTATGACATTTTGAATTCTAGACAAGCTAAGGGGCTTATATATATATTTAAGGTATATTATTGAGAATCTTCAAAATAAACCATAAATTGTTTCTCTAAAAATACAAAGTTCTGTTTTATTTAATACGCCTTTACAATATTACAACAATTATTAAGTTATGACAATTACACTTCTATCTCACCTAAAAATACAAAGAAACGACATTTAAAGTTCACTAATATCGCTTCCTCAATCGTATCCTTCGGTTTATCTCTCTACAAGTTTTTATAACAATAAAATGCACAAAATAATCTAAGCGTCATCCGCCATTGAATCATAGTTCACATGTATGTCACTTCGATGCGCGAAATTCAAATTAATGAAATGTCATTCATTTCATTACATATATATATATATATATATATATATATAATACATATATATATGAATACAAAATTATATAATTATATATATCCTTCCTTTTTCTTTGACTCGATACGCTACCGCTAGACATGGAAATTATTGGTAATTTAAATCATATTCATTTGATGAAATGATTAGTTTTTTCTAAGTGATTTCACATGTGATTGTGATTTCGTCATAGACAAAAATAAATGGCAGTCACAGTTACAGATTCAGTCACAGATTTATCACATGTGACTGGGATTTTATTCCATCACCTTATTGGCAATTGAACAGCCACAGGCTTAGCGAGTTTTTTATGCGTTAAAGTTCTCTATTACTGTAGTCTCTGTGTTTTAAAAATATTCATATTGCTATGCTTTTATTATACTTGTCGGCTCGTTTGCCCCCTTATACCATAAAAATAAATTAAAACAGTTGTTTTGCATTGTCAGATAAATTTAAGAAAGTTCCATCTGTCACGTGCCATATCAACATAATTTATAATATGTTTTTTATTCTTAACATTAAATTGTCATTAGTGCCGAATGGTAATGACGATTTTTGAACTACGATGTAGGTAGGTGTATTATAAATATTAAAACCTTAATTCCAAATTATTATTACTTATTTCTTTTTAAAGGTGTGAAACATTAGTAAGATCATAATATACCTAACCCTGATAAAATACTAAAAACCAAGTAGGCTAAGGTTTAAATTTCACTTTTGCTATAGCATATTCATCTTTTCTAAAAAGCTTTTATTGCCATTACGATATTACAAACCTACTGCAGTGATGTGCATTTGGATTGAGTAATCTTTTATTGGTCGATAGACCTATTTTTTATAGAATAGGAGTATCGAGAATAAAAAAAGAATAGAAAAAGCATTAAGATAGCATTCGGTTCCTAGCGACCGTTAAGGAAGTTTCAATTTCAGACACAAGTTTGTTTTGACTCTCGATGACGTTTTCCCGAGAAATATCGGGGCGGCCGGTATAAAAGGCATCTCCCGTGCTATCATCTGCATGGCTATGCAGATGATAGCACGGGAGATGCGGGAGATGCTACTAGTTAGTTGCAACACAGCGCATGAACGCGGTCGCGCGTCGCGGTCGCTAAGAACCGAATGCTACCTTGAAGTCCGGTATCCACCAAAGCACGTAGGAGAGGAGACGAGAGAAGATGTGCTGCGAAGCTGGCAGGTTATTTCTACCAAAGCGGAGAGGAGATGTGAGCTGTGAGAGCTCGAAACTAATCAAGCGCAGTCTACAAACGAAAGACGTTACAAAAGTTATATCACAATTTGTTTGAGGAAGATAAATTAGAAGGTTGAAAAAACAAAATTAATACTTCTATATTTAACTTATCGACGGAAACATACATTCTGGATTAGAAACCATAAAAACTGTAACAGTTATGGCAAATATGCTACACTCTTTCAAAATTCTATAGAAAAATGAGACATCTTTCTTCTCCGCTTGAGATTGAGATTGAGATTTGGATTGCCAAATTTGCCAAATTTGAATACTTTGATCAGAGTTGGTAAATACCAAATCTGATTAGTTTATTCAAAACACATACTTCTCGCCTCCTCTCCTCTCTACTCTGGCGGATACCGGGCCTTAGAGCCAGGCATGGACGTATATAAACATAGTAACAAGTAGTAACATGGTCTCGCAGCTCGATAACAAAAAAGTTGGTCACCCATAGTCAGCCCGCTCGCTGTGCGAACAGGGCAGCACGCACGCACACACACATTATCCATTACATTAGAAAAAAAATAAAAAATGCAACATGTTTTGCGTTGTGAAATGCTGTAGAAACCGTAGTGACAGAAAGAAAAATTATCCAGAAATCACGTTTCATAGGTAAATGAACATTTTAATCACTTATTTCCAGATTTTATATATTAAGATCAATCTGCATTCGCTAGAATAAAAGAATCCATTATAAGCCCAGTGCTGCCAATTTTCACGTGTGCAAATAACCCGAAATATAGGCAATTTTTAGTTTATTAATTAAATAAATTTAACAAGGTTATTTATATAATAGTTACTACTAGTTATTTTATTTCATATTATTTTTGCTAGATTTTTTGAGAAATATTGAGTATAGGGAAATTATTGGATTCAATTAATTAGAAATTGTAATGGTGAAAATAAAAGACAACAAAACTATATTCTCAGAAATTTTTTAGAAAAGATTGGCAATGAAAGCGTTTTTTTTAAGCTTAGAATCCAAACATACCCACCCTCGTCGAAATAGAACACAAAATAAGTCGCAGTCCCCGACGAACACTATGGTAATCGCTATTACGATAGAATCGGGTTTATTAGATATTCGTTATCTACACACCCTATTACAATCATTGAATTTTTTTTATGATCGGGCGATGAATACTTTTGGATTTATCCATTCAATAATGATCTTTATGTTTTTGTTCAACGTATAACATAATTGAAAAATTTACACGATCTATAACGCAAAAACCTATTACCAAATCTCAAAAGTCAACATTTTAGAGTAAGCGGCTATTACCATATTGTTCGAGGGAAAAATGACAGAATCAGAATCAGAATTTATACATAGGTACCGAAATGGTTATAACACCTAAAAATGATCATCGAATAAGCATGTAATTTATGTTTACCGTAATATTAAAGTCAGTTATATCATCGAATACGATTGCAATGTCATTTTACGAATGTAAAGTATATTCATATTTACCAAGGAACAATATCATAATGAACGATTACTACAGCAACACCGATTTGTGATTACAGTCGAACACTATCGTAAAGTTAGTTTGCGTTAATTTTTTCCATAGCTTATTTCAGTAATGGACATTTTCACAATTTTCTTACTGATAAAGAAAATTTATGATAAAAATTTAGTAAAAATCTAGTGCAAAAAAATATTTCCTTATTTTTGATAAAAGAATCTTCTTTTTAGTCTTGATAGTATTCAAGATATTCAGTTTTTATTTGCTCCTGTAAAATTGTTATTTTCCTATTACGATTTTGTTCGTCGGGGACTGCGAAGTCTTATTAAGTATATAGCGGAAAATATTTCACGATTCGGTTTTACCACATCTCGAAATTAGAGCATATTTCAAAAAACCTCTCTAAGTTAAAGATATTTTTTTTTTAAACTCAGCATTTGGGATATCAAACAGTAAAATTTCGAACACATAAAATATTTTTATTTTGACTGTTTTTTAGGGTATAAATTTGGCTAACTTGGCAACCCCAAATTCATTGTCATAAACAGCTGCCGCCATTACGGTGTCTCAGTTTTGACTTGGCGGAGTTCCGTCCGACTTTTTTTATAAGTACATGGCATGGAGCTAGGCCAGAGCGCTACAGTGCTATCTACGGAGATCCTTAGTAACTATTTTTACTTCTAAATTATGGAATGTAGGTATGATAAAGTATGGATGGTTCTCCTTGCCTAAACACTCCAAAGTCTGAAGTATGGAGGGTAGAGGCAAGAAGAAAGTTTTCATATGGAGGCAAAGTTGAAACAGTGTCCAGCTGACGAAAAACTACGATATGAGCATAGCTGTTGTAGGCGTAGTGAAGTCTGCTGAGTTAAAATATTATAATACTTTTAATGTCTAAAAGTTATTACGTTTATTTTTTGTCTGTAAAAGTCATTGACTATTTTCGCAGTCTAGTACAGTCTCTAATTTTTATTTAAGCCAATATAATTTTTTCACTATGTTTTTCTCTATCCTACTCTAACAACTTTATGTTCTGTCAACTGTATGTAAAATATCTTTATGTTTCTGTAGCGCCCCCTATTTAACGGATTTGACTTACATACAAACCAACTTATCTGTGAATTGAAAGAGGACGGCACCGTCGATTCAGTGTTGCTAATTAATATAAGGTGTCCAAAATTGAGTAAGTTTTCAAGAAAGAAATTTCACATTAGACATAATCGTTTAATAAGAATTAAAAACATAACAAATTAAAAATAATGAAATCTCTATATAAATCTCTCTCTATAAAATAATAAAATAAATAAAAAGATTTTGATAATTTACAGTTGCGTAGGTACGCTAACAGTTTAGTCTCTCAGCAATAAACAATGGTTTTATCTAAACAGTAATCCAATGAAGTGGAAATTCAGCATAAAATGTTCCACGGGGGAGACGCATTAAATGAAAGTTGTAACTTTCATTTAATGCGAAGTTAAGTATATAGGTACCTACCCTGCAAGAGGTACCTGGATGTCTAGCATTTAGTTATCAGCGTTAAATTTTGCGGCTGGCAACCCTGATTAGCAACTGATCTTACGGTCCTTACGGATGACGGATGGTACACAAATGACAATAATGACATATGACATACATACATGTATATAGCTTAATATAAATAAAAGCTTAAAAAAAATAAAGTCGCTCTTTGGGAATTGGGAGGTTCTCCGCCGTGGTAATGGTTTCTTGAACAGTCACTAAACAAAAGCGGAGGTTGAAGTAGATGACTATTCATTTTTGTGTCAAATCCTATACAGTGTATCAGTGTACTGCAGATCACAATGGGTGGTGGTGATTTAGTGAGAAAATTAAAATTGTATTGGTATTTAATTTAAATCTAATAGGTTTCATCTTTTATTTAATCAATTCTTTAAATTTTAGAATTCGAAGAAATCATGGCATCCAAATACTATAAAAAATCAGGAACGAGTATGGAAAGCAGAACAAGCGGTTGCGGAAGAGAAAAAGCGTATGTTGGAGCTGCAACGAGAACGTGCGGAGGAACGGGACCGGGCTGAATTAAATGATATCATGAGTAAAAGTAAAACTACCTCTGCAAGTGACAATCGTTTAGCATGGATGTATGATGTAAGTTCAAGTTTTTAACAAGCTATGTACGATATACAGGAATAAAATAATAAAAACCCACAATGAGTTATCTATAAAATAAATTCTAGACTAGATATCGACTACAAACAATAAAATACTAATAAGACAGTTTAACTATAGTACCAATACTTAGTCTGTTGTATCATTATCATCATCAACTCCCTTTAGTACCCCACTGCTGGACATAGGCCTCACCTTAGACAGGAGGTCACTGGCTTACTATACCATGCTAGCCAGACGGGTTGGTCTGTATCATGTCTTCTTATTAGTGATGATTTTACCAGCTCAAACATTTAATCCACTTTGTCAAATCTGCATTCCCTAATGAAATATTAGTTATTGGTGTTAACCTACTTTGAAACTTATGTTATGTAAAAGGTCCTTGATCAAAGCATAACTTAATTAATAAATAATAGGTCTGCTGCTAATAAAACTGCCAATGCGTTGGCAAAGATGCATCGATTGCATGGGTGATTACTTCGAATAACAGAAATAAAAAAGTTTGAAAAAATAAGTACTTTCACTTATTGCATACAAAACGGCAATTTCATAGGTAAAGACCTAATATATAAGTGTTGTAAAAATAGATACTGTACTTTGAGTATTTAGGGCTGAGTTTCATTAATCATTGATAAAGAAAACATTTTAAAGACCTATGTCTGCAGTTTTTAAAGAAATATATGCTATTTTTCAATTCAATGAAATCTTAAAAGTACCACACAGTGGTAACAACCAGGGTTCACCACAGAAAATCAATTAATAAGTAATTCTATTTTTCTGTTTCTGACGAAATATGTTGATAACTTACAGTCATCAAATTATTTGCATAAATGGGAAATAATTTTGATGAGCGATGAGCATTACAATTGAGCATACTGATTAAACACATATCATTCCACAATAAAAAGCAAACATTACTTAAATTACAATAATTTATATATTTAATTTACAGAAACCCGACAAGAAAGTAGAACAAGAAGCATATTTACTTGGTAAAACCTTAGATAAACATGCTGAACAAACCGAAAACGCAAACCTAGATTCTATTCCCGCGGTGTCAAGAAGAGTGGTTGGATCTAGTATGCTAACTGCAGCTGGTGACACACAAGTTGATATGTCCCGTAAACTTCGCGAGGATCCATTACTGCTTATTAAGGAACGTGAGCGTGCTGCTCGTGCTGCACTTTTGAATAATCCATTACAACGTCGACGACTGGCTGAGTTATTGAGGAAAGAACAAGTGGGTGTGATTTGTCAATATTTGATAAATCCGGTAGAGATATCTAACTTTTTATCAATCCTAAACATTTTCGTCAAATATAAAAAAAAAAATAAGTTTTCAAATAATGCTCTTGAATACTATGAAAATTAGGCATCTATGTCATAGGTATATATGGGTAAGATTCCTTGCAACAAAGGACAAACTTTTTACAATTTTATGCTAATTATTGCATACTTTGATATACATACATACAAATGACGTCTATAGTTTTGTATAAATATATATGAATCTCTTACTCAAACTTTTATAATGATATGTTTTTCTCAAAAAAGTTATTAGTCTACAATTATTTGTGAGAATATATAATATATTGTGGGCATCTCTAGTTCATAATAGGTGTATATGACAGCACTTCAATAGCCATACTTTATCAAAACTTTCTAGTTTTTCATGAGAAAGATGTCTAATACAACTTTAAGATCTTTAAGATTGACCCCAAACAGATGTTCAATTTACTTCACACGTTCACGTTTACATATGAAGTTAAATTGAACATCTGTTTGGGGACCAATCGTATTTCAGTTTGTCAAATGTTAAATTCTAACCATAATAAGATAAAATTAATTAAAGAAGTACTTTAATTGTGATACTGTCGCCTCCGAAAGTATACTATAGCATGTTTTCTCGCGCGGTAGCTCGTATTGACGCATGCTGGAGCACTTTCTTATTTTCTCTAGCAATCTCTCCCACATATACATCTTTCCTATATGTATAACTGTTAATAATGTTTTGAGTTCTTTTATTTTTTACAACTACAATTATTTTCACAGGAAGAAAGAAAAGATACCAAAGTAAAAAAAAAAAACAAGAAGAAAGATAAGGATCTAGATGAACTTTTAGCAACAAAACTTAACGCCTTAGGTGCAGGAAAAGGTTTAGATTTAGCAACTCTACTTAATTCTGATGAGTCCTCCTCCGAATCAGAAGACGAAAAGCCTAAGAAAAAGAAAAACAAACGGGATAAGTCCAAGAAAAATAAAAAACAAAGACACTCTTCTGCTAGCGAGTCGGAAGTACATAATATTAAGGAAAGTCATCGCGAAGATAAGAAATCCAGTAAAAAAACTTCTGAACATAAGTATTCTAGTAAGGATTCAAGAAAACGTAAAAGCTCTGTAGATCGAAGGCTTTCAAATAGTCCTATCGAGAGAAAGCGTCGTGATAAAGATATCGTAAGTCGCAGACGAAGTGATAGCGATACATCTGACAGAGGCAAAAGATATAACGATGAGAAAGATAGCGGTAGAAAACACAGTTCACGTAGAAAGTCGCCGGAAGTCCACCGAAGCAGGGATGCCGATGCAAGAGGCAGTAAAAATCGCACTGTTATGAGTGATGAAGAAAAAGCTGCTAGATTGGCAGAAATGGCTTCCGCAGGAATTGAACGTGAGATACAGAGGGGGGCGCGCGTGGCAGAGCATCGCGCTGCCGAAGTTGCGGCCGAGCGCCGCGCCCACGCGCCTGCACCCGCCCGGCGGGAGGCGCGCGCCTTGCCCGACTCACTGGAGAGCCGCATCCACTCCAATAGGCACTACATACAACGTGACAAACGCCACATGAATGAAAATTTTGCTCGCCGATAATGTTTTTAATTAAAATTATTTAGAATTGAATCTGCATTTCTATACTTTAATTTATGTCTATCTAAGAAGTGGTATGCATATATTGCAATTCCTCTTGAACCTTTTTTTTTTTTTTTTTCCTTGCGGCAATCCCCTCGGATACCACCGGTGGCATGTCGGACCCGAACCGACTAAAACCGCACGCCGTCTCGGGTACTAATAGCCGGGGAACCAGGTATACCCTAGAAAGGAAGTCCCTGGTGCCCCGACATACCTCGGGCCATCTACAGACGAGTAGACGACCCCCCCGTGTAGGAACCCCATGTTCCCTCTGCTCCCTGGAAGCGAGCGCGCTTCGCAACGCGCTCGCCGCCACCTCGGCCTGCTTGTGCTAGGGTGACAGATGGCCTCACCTGTCACCCCCAGGCCTGCGCTTATGGAGGACGGAGGTCGTTCTGCAAATTCCTCATGAACCTAAAACTTTTTCTCCGCCCTAACGAAGTAACCTTTTTTTTTTTTTTTTAACGTGTGGAAATCCCCTCGGACCGTCACCCCTCCGGGGTTTGCGGCGGGGTGGTGTGTCGGACTCGGACCGACTAAAACCACACGGTGTGCCACTCTGCGCCTGTAACAGGAGGGATCCGGGAACAGCTGTTGTTAAGACATCCGGACCCCTCCTAGCGCCAGCCCGCTCCTGGTGCGGGCTCCGTCTCAATGTGGATGTTCCTCTCTTTAGGCGACGTCCGGCACACGCGGACGCCGCCCCCTCGCGGCTGGCCAACTAATGCGGGTGGAGGGGAAACCCACCCCGTCCACCCGCGGCCACACTCAGGGCGGCATGAGGCTGTGATAGGCGGGCCTCCGCCGCCCGGTTCGCCGGCGGCGGATCGGGTCCGAGTGGAGGTCGTCCTCCCGGGCCCTCTCCGCCGCCTCCTTCCGCGAGATTACTACCTCGCAGAAGGTTGCGACCGCGGTAAAACAACTGTCGCTACCGGCCATGGAGCGTACTACGGCCGGTAGCGAGAGATCCACTCCGATGACTGCAGTGAGGGCCCGGCGCTGCGCCGCCCATGCGGGGCAGACCGCCAGCGTGTGCTGGGCCGAGTCCTCACTGCAGTCGCAGTGGTGGCAGGCGGGACTCAGTTCCCTCCCAGCGACCGTGTGCAGGTACTTTCCGAAGCAACCGTGCCCGGAAAGCACCTGCGTCAGTCGGAAGGAAAGGGTCCCGTGCTGCCGCCCTGCCCACTCGGCGATGACCGGCTGGAGAGCCTCCACGGCGGCGAAGCCAGCGCGTGGAGTCTCCAGCCGGAACGACCAACGAGCCATCGTGGCTCGGCGAGCGGCTTCGCGCCACTCGCGCACATCCTCGGGCGGAGGGCGAAATCCGCTCTCCGCCCGGAAGTCAGCCACTCGCCGATAAACTTCGGCGAGCACTTCCGCCTCCAAATCCCACGGGGGAGTTCCGGCCAATGCGCATGCCACCTCCGTCGAAACGGTGCGGTAACCGCGTATGGCTCTGACCGCCATTACCCTCTGAGGGCGCCAGAGGCGTACCCTATTCTGGGCGGTCAGAGCCGCCGCCCACACCGGTGCACCGTACAGCGCCATTGACCGGACAACCCCCGTGTACAGCCGTCTTGTCGCGACGCTGGGTCCACCCATATTGGGCAAGAGTCGCCCTAGGGCAGACGCAGCGCCGACCAGCTTTGGAGCAAGCTGTCGGAAGTGCTCGTCGAAGAGCCACCTCCCGTCGAGGATCAGGCCCAGATATTTCATCTGGGCCCGAACCGGTACGAGGACCGAGTTGACCACTATTGAGGCGCCAGGGGGTGGACCACGACGGGGCCCATGAAATAATAGGGCCTCCGTCTTATCTAGGGCCACCCGTAAGCCCAGCGCCTCAATGCGCCCGACCACCAGGGAGACTCCCCCTGTGGCCAGGCGCGCCGCCTCTTGGAAGTTTGCCCCCCGGGCTGTCACGAGGGTATCGTCTGCGTAACAGATTACACCCAGCCCGGGGGGGAAATCGGCGCGAAGGGCCCAGTCGTACCCTATGTTCCACAAGAGGGGTCCAAGAACAGACCCCTGTGGAACACCGCACGACATGGGCCGACTCCTCAAATTACCTTCTCGGTCCTCGTACACGACGGTACGCTCCTCTAAATAGTCTGCCACCAGCCGCCTCAGGTACTTTGGCACCCCATGATAGTGGAGTGCTTCCCTGATGCAGCTGAATGGCAGACTATTGAATGCGTTGGCGATGTCCAATGACACCGCCAACAGCACGCCGCCACAGCTCACGGCCTCTTCGGTCACGGCCCTCAGGCGCAACACGGCGTCGACTGTCGAACGCCCCGTCCGAAAACCAAACTGGGCGTCCGACAGATCGGGGCCCACCTCGCAGAGGTGCCGGACGATGCGGGCAGAAAGAACCCTCTCAAACAATTTGCCCGCCTCGTCCAGCAGCACGATGGGCCTATAGGCCGCGACCGAATCGGCAGGCCGTCCCGGCTTCGTCAGTAGGACCAGCTTCCCGCTCTTCCAGCACTCAGGGAAGCGTCCCGACGCCAAGCTAGCGTCGAACACCTCCCCGAGGCGGTCTGCCATGTGGTTGAGGGCCAGGGCCAGCACTCGGGCCGGTACCCCGTCTGGCCCAGGGGCGGTGTTCTTGGAACGGATCCGTAGAACAGCCGCCCCTACCTCCGATTCCCGGACGGGCGGAACATTGTCCTCCCCGTGCTCCCCGTCGTCTCCGGCCAGGGAGGCCATCGACGGGGGAGTGTGTTCCGCCCGTTGTGGGAAAAGGCCCTCAACCACTTCTCGCAGGAAGCTGGGCTGGAGAGTCTCCGTAAGGGGGGGGCCCGACGCGCGGAGCTTTTGTCGCACCGCGCGGTAAGGGCGACCCCAGGGGTCACGATTAAGACCCTCCAGCATCTCCTGTCTTTTTTCCTCTTTGGCGCGGCTAATGGCCAGCTTCAGAGTTTTCCGCGCCCGTCGGTACTCCTCATGAAGCCGGTCCTCCTCACCGTCTCCACGGTGACGCCGCCGACTGCGCGTGTAGGACCTCCGGGCACGTGTACAGGCCGCACGGAGGTCCGCCAGCTCCTGGGACCACCAGTAGACCTCCTTCCTTGGAGGCCGACGACCTCGAACGCGGGGCATGGCCGCATCGCATACATGCGTAATCGCATCGCGAAAGCGGCCAGCCCCCACGTCGACCTCCTCGGTCGGAGCCTGAGGAGACAGCCACGAGTGAATTATGGCTGCCTCCTCTAGTAGGTCCCGGTTCAGCCTGGCAACAGCCCACCGCGGAAAGCGGGATAAACGCCGCGCCACGTGACCCCTACTGGAGTCCTGGGTCCGGGAGAGCTCAAATCGGATATACAGGTGATCCGAGAGCGTCTCAACCTCTTCCAGGACACACCAGTTCCTTACTCGTGCGGCGAGGACAGGGGTAGCGAACGAAAGGTCCACTATCGACCCCCCCTGCTGTCGCACGCACGTGTTGGTGGAGCCTCTGTTTAGAAGACAGAGGCCCACCGAGGCCGCCCACTCCTCTACGGCCTCGCCCCTGGCGTCCGTCCTGGGGGAACCCCACGCAATGGACTTTGCGTTGAAGTCCCCCAGCACAAGGACGTGCCCAGACGCTAGTCGCCGTATCGAGGTCTCCAAGCTGGTTAGGAAAACCTCGAAGTCGTTCAAACTCCGGTTGGGGGAGAAATAGACACCATATATGGTGATCCCCCCCCACTCGACGGCAACATATCCAGTGCCCTTGTCTCTTAGCGACAAGGGCGGGGAATGAGCCGTCGTGGAACCGACGACTGCCACGGAGCCGTCCCAGTCACCCATCCAGTTTGGACGGGGAGGGACAGAATAGGGCTCCGCGACTACGGCAACACCTATCGACCACTGTGCCATGGTTTGCAGGAAGAGATCCTGCGCCGCGGCACAGTGGTTCAGGTTCGTCTGGACCAGGAGGTTGGAGACTTGATCCATTACTGGATCGTCTCTACAACCTCCTCCATGGGCGACGACGTCGACGCACGAACTACATCGGAGGCAGCCTGGGTCGACTGGCTAACCCCCGACGTCTGCCGAGAACTGCGGGGAGGCTTGCAGCCTCTCTGCCCCATCTGGTGATTGGCGGGCTTATTGCCCGCAGCACACGCTGGGCAGTGAGGGGCGGCAGAGCATTCTGCCGCCTTATGCCCCGGTTGACCGCAGCGGAAACACAGTCCGCCGCAGTCAAAACAACTGTCACACTTGACGCGCGTGTGTCCCGCGGCCAGGCATTTGAAACACCTCATCGGTCTCGCCGCCAGGACTGTGATCCTGGCGCTCACGAAACCGATGAGCAGCCTGCCGGCGTCGGCCAATACTTTGGCCGACGCTACGGGACAGCTGACCCACACGGCGCCAAGCCCTCCTGGACCGGGGCGGATGGTGCCGACCCTGACGTTGTCCGCGCTGCACCCCGTCTTCTCCCGGATTACAGCGCGGACATCTTCGGCCGTCACTGAGTCGTCCAGGCCCGAGATGCGCAGTTCCGCGCACTTGGTAGGCCTGGCGACCCTGACACCATCTGTGGCTGCAAATATTCCCCGCAGCTTCTCAGCGAAGGAGTCCGCCGTCTTTGCGCCTTCAGCCCCAGGGAACTCGAGAACTCGAGCTCCCGTCTGGGCGAGGCGCATCCTGACCCCCACCGTCCCAAACTCGTTGGCGAGGCTGTCCCGGGCCTTCTTGAAGACGGCCGCATAGGACAGCCCGCCGTCAGCCGCCTCCGGGGACACGGTCACAACTACAGCCGCGGTTTTGGGCGGCTGCAGCTTCCGCGGCCTCTTTGCAGAGGCCGTTGCCACCGGTGGCGAAGGCTGGGCTTGGGCTGCTTTTTGGGCAGCCTTTCTGGCCCGCCTTCGGGACTTCTTGGAGCCCCTCGCCTCCTGCCAACCCTCGTTGGAGGGGGCAGGTGCGGAGGGGCCCGGCAGGGGTGTCGGAGTGGGGAGCGGAGGGAATGCCACTCCGCTCCTCGGCGCCGTTTTAGGCCCCGTCTTGGCCGGCGCCTGGGGATGTGCCTTGGCCGGCGCCTTAGCCGGTGCCTTGGCCGGCGCCTGGGCCGGTGCCTTGGCCCCCCTCCTCGTCGGCTTTTGTGGAGCCGATGGAGTCGGGGCAGACGCCGCCGCCGCGTAGGAGACGCGGCCTCCCACTACGGGGAGCGCGGTCGGAGCGGTGGCCTTAGGCCGCTGTGCCGACGCGAGCGGGGGGCGCATAATCGGCGCAGGGGGCAGTCTCGCCTCCAGGCCAGCCAGGCGTCCGTCCAGCATATTCCCAACTGCGATGAGGATTTCTCGCAGTTGGGAGTCAAATGCCCCTGAGTTGGTGGTAGGGGCAGGCTGGGACGCGGACGGGGCTTCCCGCTCGGGGAGGTTCGCCTGGAAGCGGGCGAACTGAGCACTCAGCTCGTTCACCCGCTCCGTCAGCCTCTCGTTGGCCACCTGCAGGCGAGAGACGTCGCCCGCTAGGCCCTCCACGACCTCCGACAAAGCGGAGGAGGAGTCCTTAAGGGCCCTCACAAACGAGCCCTTAAGGTTCACGGATTTGGTGGCCACCTTGTTGATGACGGCCACCGCCGCTTTCGCCCTCTCCTGCACGGACACGGGAGCCTGGGGGGCATTTCCCCCCACCGGCTCCCGAACCTTGAGCAGGAGATCCGCGATCTCCTCCTCCGCTACGGCCTCGCCGTCCACTCGTACGCTCCTGTAGGACTCCGCGTTTGAGAACGCGGAGCCTGACGGGGTCGAGACCGAGGCCGATGCCGGTTTACGCGCCCTCCCTCGGCGGCTGCTTGCCACCTTTGGTGGCATCATTTCGCCGGACGTGTCGGTCCCCTCCTCCCTGGAGCGTCCGCGTTTCCTGCTGTCGCTTCGTTCCGCCTCCATGGCCTCCGCGCCATCTGACGAAACGGCGGATCCAGAACGTATACGATCCGATGCTCTTCGGCTCCCAGTGACCAGAGTCAGACTGACCTCTGGGAGCCCCATCGAGATAGGCGTTCCTGACACCATCTCACCCTCAGCTAACGAAGTAACCTAACCTAACCTAACGAAGTAATGATGTCAGATCCATTTGATGAAAACCGAACATCATGTTAACATATCGTGTTTTGGGTTAAATTACAACACTTCTTACAATTAAAATGCTGAAGCCGTTGTACTGCTGTTACTGCTGTCACGTTATGAGGTAGAAAGGAGTAGAACACCCATATACTTACTGTGAGATAGTATGGTCATCCTAACGCCTCTAGAGAGCAACACCATGAACTCTGGTTTCATTTATAAATTTCACTAAACGATGCAGCGCTGGAGCGTTTGACTTCCAACTTCAAGCCAACGAAGAATTCCTTCAAGTGGAATACCGATTCACTCGGTGAACAAAGCTGCCTATGAGCTGACAAGTTTAAACTCAAAACCTTTGCGGGTGCGAATCGCTCGTAGAAGCTTGTAGAGAAAGAATCATATCTGAAGGATTAATTAAAAACGTAATCGTGAAAGAAAAGAGTGAATAGGGACATAACATAAATAAACATTGTTTTACAAGTAAATTTTTTAATAAAGTAATAATGCATGTAGCTAAATAAAAATTCATCATCTACATATATGTTGCGTAGCTAGCAAGGGTGATTGTGATACTGTCTAACTGTGATGTGTGTTTAACTATGAAAAATAGTCTAGACAAATTTTGTCTAAATGGCTACAAGATTAAGTGCTTTATAGTTGGCAAAAGAAAGAGTTCTGCTTTTTCTGCACTTAGTTGTCACCCTCAAATGGAAGGCACTTCAATGCCTTCTGCCCTAGCTCCGCCATAGGATTTATGTTAATTAATTCAATTTATGATTATTTTGAAGACCCCGACTCGTCCTTTACCACTGTGAATAATTTAATCAATCTAGTGGAATCTTCTCCTTGACAATCTGTAACAATTAGTAAGACATTAGTGTGGGTTACTATTTTATCTATACTAATATTATAAAGCTGAAGAGTTTGTTTGTTTGTTTGTTTGAACGCGCTAATCTCAGGAACTACTGGTCCGATTTGAAAAATTCTTTCAGTGTTAGATAGCCCATTTATCGAGGAAGGCTATAGGCTATATATCATCACGCTAAGACCAGTAGGAGCGGAGCACCAATGAAGAATGTTTCAAAAACGGGGAAAATTTATTACTATTGAGAGACGCAGACGAAGTTGCGCGGGTCAGTTAGTTGTGAATAATGTTGTTGAGGATGTCTGTTATTTTTTGGTGGAATGTGTCAAAACTAGGGCTGTGAGAAAGGCTCTGCTGAATAATTTAAAAATTAATATAAAAGATGTTGGCATGTTGCAAAGTATATTGTCAAAGCCTCTGTCAGAAGCAGCGTTGTTATTTTTTTTAATTTTTAAAATTAATTTAATGGGGTTTTTCTGATACAAAAAATAGCCTAAGGTACTTTTTATTATAGACAGCTATTTGGTAGTAAAATATTATCAAAAGTTTTGAAGATTACCCGGATCAAACAGACAGATAGACAAAAAATATTTAAACTAGTTTTTAGCATAAAAAACCTATTATTTTGACATTACAAACAGACACTTCAATTTTATTTATTTGTATAGATTTGAACTGTAGTTTACGAGTATATTGCAGTATAAGTATATAAGTAAAAGTTAAATTTAAAGTAAGTACATTGTAAGTTTAGGGTACGACTAGCTCAGACCCGCGGTGTTACCCGCGTTTGATGTTATAATCGCGGGCAACGCCGCGGGGTGAAGCTAGTTTACAATATACGTATACCCACTGCATTCGATTTTAAAATCTAAAAGTAACATTCTAGGCGGTTGTCACGAGGTTGTCCGGTTGTCCGTTTATTTCGCTCGTTAAGAAAAGATACTGATATGTTATTCAACTGACAATATAACTTAAGACTACTACTGATTTTATATTAAGACGACTTAATAAGTCTGTAGAAAAAAAAAATATAGTTCGGAGTCCGGCCAAACGGTAGAAAAAAAACATGCATATTACAAAAAAAGAAACTACATTACAAAATTAGATTAAGAATAGTCATCAGTCGGAGTGTCACCACCCCTACACTGTGTAGGCTACACATCCCGTGGGTGTCGTAAAAGCCGACTAAGGGAACTAACTATGCAAGACAACAGCACTGCAAAGAGAAGGAAATTTTGAAGCAAACCCTATACCAACCCGTCTGGCCATCGTGGTATAGTAGGCCAAATCCTCTTTTCTAAAGAGAGGCCTATATCCAGCAGTGGACTATTTAAGACTGTTGATGATGATGAGTCGTAGATTCGATCATATTGTCTTCTAATTAAAATAAAATTTTGTTATTCTAGTACATACAAAAATCATTAATTTTCTATTTATGTACTAAATTATTTACGTAAATACATATTTAGTACAAAAATAATAATGTTCGGCCCAATGATCCGAAACTAGGCTAAGGACAGGTCCTCTGGTTACCAACCAGACTGCTGATAAACATACTTATATATTTTTAAATATTTTAGGTAAATTACTGCTGTATGTTTGGATTATGTCAGTGTACCCATATAAGTTAGTCTGTATAATATATCATTGCTACATATTTTTAATGTGCCTGTACCTCCGCACACATGCCGGCATAGATGGGGTCAGTGTCCCATGGCCCGCGCTCGGGAAGCGTAATCGCGCGGCGGCGAAGCTCAGCCACGAGTTCTGTCACGTCCATGATGGGAATAGGGTCAAGGCCGCGCGCCAGCCCCGCCAAGTACTCGACGTAGTGACCCCTGAAAGTAGAGCGTATGTCAACACACCTCGAGGAGGCCTCGCTTGTAGAGGCCATCTAGTGAGCCGTAGGGTCGAGGGGGCGGCCGAAGCGCGGCGCGCCGCACCAGCGTCTCCAGATCGTCCACACCCAGGATCGGAAGCGGGTCCACATTACAGCGACGGACCAACCGACTCAGGTATTCCAGGTAATGATTCCTGCAAGCACATGCCTTACTCATCGCAGTATTTACTTTATTAAATACTGTTTGAAGTCATCCCCGCGTTCCAGTACCACTATTATTGTTGATTTCCGTGATTAAATAATCTCTGATGAAGTAAATATTTATGTTGTGCTATTTTTTATGTAAAATTTAAAAATAAACATTTCAATTTCTGCAGCTTAAAACCTGATTCTTCGTAAAATGCACTTCGCTTAATATAAAATCGAAATTTCTGCACAAAATGGCCTCTGCAACTTTGTTTCATTTTAGTATATTGTCTTACAATTATAAAACATCTTTTATTTTGTGTTAATTACATACCAATATTTCAGATAGAAGAAAGTTAAGCAAAGAAATGTAGACAAAGTCTTACTGACGATTGCCGTAGTCCACCTGAGCTCTATTTTGAGTGCGTTATTTCAATTTACATTATTGTGTATTAAGATACATGCATTAAAGGAACATTTTACTAAATATTATGAAGTAGACATTCCTATAAATGTGCCTACTTACACAAGATATTGATTTTATGACAGGTTACTTACTTGCACAATCCTGCATAGTTGGCGGGTGCTTCACTGCCGCATATACCATCTATGAGACCAGTGGGTGTTTCTCTTTGTAACTGCACCGGACAACGTCCTGTACTTCCCTCCGCCGTTTCCGTTTCGTATTTTACATTATTCATCTAAATTAAAAATTAAAAACTTTTGATATGATAGAGTTACAGAATAAAAATGCCGCATAATTTCAATTCATCGCAAAAGACTACTTACCTAATTTAATTAAAAACTTCATTAAAAGGGTAAGTTGTCTACTTATAAAAAATAAAATGAAAACTAAACAGTACCTATCGTTATTCGACAACAAAAGGGGTGCACTACTGAACCACAGAGCCTGTGAGGCCCTATTTTATGCAAAGCTATATAATACCTGTTAGATGATCCCGTTACATATATGTACATAATTATATGTCATAGAACGCAAAAGTTTAAAATTTAATATTTTATACAAACCTCTCTTGCACGTCTCTCCATCAACTTGAAGCTCGCTAAACAATTTATTTATAGTATGCGTAAGATATATGCTATGTCTACGTTACCATTACATATATTGCCCCAGTATTTTTAATTTTGATTTTCAGCAACACCTAGGACCTAGGTAGTCAGATGTTTTCATTTCTATTTCGTTGCTAACGGTTACATTTTTAAACTGAAATTTAGAAAGAACTGTCTACATATAGTGCATAAATAATATATAATCTAGTTCTTACCTGAAGTAGAGTTTGTAATTCATGTGGTTCCTTGTCCCGTAAATAGAACAGACAGTTTCGAGGATGATGTGAGTGTAGGCCTAATTTTGCACAATAGTCGCTTAAACCACAGCGGGCACCCATTGTAAACGGCTTTCCGCAACCGTAACAAAACTCATATTTGCACTGAGTACAGGTAAAATGCATACATCCTCCCCTAAAATACATAAAGTTTATTATATTGATATTCACAAACACTATTTTTGTATATAACTGCACTACAATGCAGTTCAATGAAAGCTTATTAGTGGATATATTTCTAAGTGGTGATTATCGGTAATCGATCTATCAACTTTGGTTACTTAGTGGTAGGGATTAATAAAGTAGTTATACTAGACACGTTATAGCAAATTAAAATTAAAGCTAATCTGCATTGAAATGAACGATGTCAATTAACTTACTAATATTGGCTCTGCATCGCCCTAAGGTCGACTGGTAGAAAATGCCTAGGGCATTAAGTCCACCTTTGCCATATGTGTGCATAAACATTAAATAAATAAAAAAGTACTAAAATATGCCGTATTTTTTTTATGTTAGTGGGGGCAGACGACTAGACGGGTCACCTGATGGAAAGTGACCATCTCCGCCCATGAACGTCTGCAACTCAGGAGTCACAAACGCGTTACCGGCCCTTTAGGAAGGAATACGCTCTTTTCTTGAAGGTTTGAAGGTCGTATCGGTCCGGAAATACCGCATACGAAATGAAAATAAATAAATATAACTTGAAAATGTGGATATTTACCTAGACAACGAGTATTTAAAGTGGCATCGTGGACATTCTAAACCATTATCCCGTAAATGCTGTTGTATAGCAGTAAGTGAACGTTCTTGATCATTGTCTTCGACCCAGGCAGTGTATTGTTCACAAGTAAGCCCTTCGTGATTGGTAGTCCACTAAAAATAAGCGTTTGTTAACAGAACTTCGATTTACATGTTTTAAGTTAATTGTTAAAATGCAATAAAAAGTACCGGTTTCCTGCAAGCAGCGCAGCTTACAGACCGACATTCTGGACAACGTATCTTCTTTTGTTTCGGATGTACAAAAAATCCTGACGAACATTCCATGCACCATCTGAAGTTTGGATCTCGAGCCAAGGTTCGGTCTCGTAACTGCCAAGAAAGAAAGAAGTTTTATTTTAGTGACTGCAACACAATCACAAGATTATTGTACAAAATCAGAATACGAGTACGAGTATATATACGAGTAGTATTATAACACATACATAATTAGAATATAATGTAGTATAGTAATTATAAAAAATTGATAAATTTCTATATATTCTTACACATTACCTACATAATAACATAGTATATAGAATATCATAAGATATTTGGTGTACAGTCGCGTCGCTCGTCTTCGTTATTGGTGTAAAATATTAGAAGTGTAAGATTTTAAAATAGGAGCATTATACAATATGAAAACATGACTAGCAGAGGACTGCGTGTGGCGTTTGAAGGTTTAGAATTTGTTCATAGGAAACCAGCGTGGTTCAATGTTCAGCTGTGAATAACATATGATTCACATAAGGGATTTAATAATTTCAAGTATATTTTTAATTAAATCCTTCAAAAGGATTCAAGTATTGCATAGTTACCTTTCTTTGAAACAGCTCATGAACATCGGCTTCAAGAAGAGTTTTCAAAAGTATATCCAAATGTGCAAAATATTCAAGCCATGAATCTTCTGGTAAATTTTCTAGTTCCGGTAGTTTGCAGAAAGGACATACGCAATCAGCTATACTCCGCTCTGTTATTTGTACCGTGAAATATAAGTGCGCACATTCACGACAGCAGCGATGTGTGCAGCGTAACATTGACACCATCTATGAACGAAAAGTTTTTTAATTATCTAACCTAAACTGTCTCGCTGTGGAACTACAACGAAGGGAAAGCTTCCCTTGGAAAGACTGTCAGGGTGCTTATGCGTACAGAATTTTTGTCCTTATGTTTAAGAAATTTATTTTAAAACATAATATTGCAAAATATCGTTTTAATGAATAAAGAGTTTGAGAGTAATAACAATTGAACTATGGGTACTTTTTATTCCTATAGATTTCATGTAATTCGAATTCGGAGCAACATTCTTTGTAATTTAAATTTATACTAATACGTAAGATAAGCTTACAAACTTATTTTCCACTAGCTGACCCGCGCAACTTCGTCTGCGTCTCTCAATAGTAATAAATTTTCTCCGTTTTTGAAACATTCTTCATTGGTGCTCCGCTCCTATTGGTCTTAGCGTGATGATATATAGCCTATAGCCTTCCTCGATAAATGGGCTATCTAACACTGAAAGAATTTTTCAAATCGGACCAGTAGTTTCTGAGATTAGCGCGTTCAAACAAACAAACAAACAAACTCTTCAGCTTTATTATATTAGTATAGATTACATATACTTAAACTTACTTCATGTTCAGGAAGTCGTGATGCACAAAGTTCACAATCTTGGTATAAGTAAGCAAGAGCAGAGTCGAGGTCAGAACACTCGAGCGCAGCTAACAGCGCCGCTGGCGGGTCGGCACCACGAGACACTAACTCTACAGCAAGTTGAGCTTGTTCCCAAGTCTCGGTTGCACCTTCAGCGAGAAGCATTCGAGCTTGCCTCTGTATATAATATATATATATAAATATTATACATTATAATGATGTTTAATAATATAATTTCCCAATTACAGTAGCAATTTACGTACCTCTGGGGAACCTTCTGGTAATCGAATTTTTGCCAAGTCAATAAGTTGACCTGACACGCGACGTAAAGTAAGAGGCGGAGGTGGAGATGGGGGCGAAAGTGGTGCTTCTTCACTTGGTCTTATAACTCGTGATTGTGAATCATCTGAATCACTGTCAGTCCATTCATCTTCAGTGCGGCATGTTTCTCGAAAATATTGTTTTTTCTCTTTCGGTGGCGATGATATTTTTGGGGATAATACTTGTTGTTCCTCTAGTTGTGTTGTAGGTGGTTGTGGAGCTGGCTTTTTTTTGTTAAATGTAGAAGTACTAGCAATAACTTCGGTTGTTTTAGGTGAATCGGAGACAGACTTAGGGGGTGTGACTTTATTATTAAAAAGTCTGGTTTGTAATTGTTTTACATGGCCACTTTGAATATTACCAAAATGACTTTTAGGAGGAGCAGGAGCAGGATATTGTTTGATTGAGGTGCGACGTACAGGTACTTTGGAAACGACCAACTTTGGAGAATTTTTATCCGCTTTCATCTTGTTATTTGTTACGATTTTTATAAGCTTCGGAATGTTAGATTTGTTGTATATTGGGTTTCTATTATTGTTATTAATGGGACTTGTTTTATCCATTAAAACTTCGGGTGTTTTTTCTTTATATGATGGATCTTCATTACTTGTATTTACCTTAGTTATTTCAATATTGGCTTCATTAATATGATCTTCTTTTACTAAAGGTTCACTTTGATCACGCACCATAAGGCTTTCTGAAGGTTCAATAATAATATCTAAATCATTGATTTCACTTTGATTTGTATTAGACATTGGTTTCTGGTGAATGTTCTCATCAAAATCCGTTCTAAGATGACTATTTTCATTATCTTTGGTTTTTAATTGATTTACTTGATCATGATTTTGTGAATAATTATATAAGTCTTTCTTAACATGTTCTGCTGTGACGATATGCACTTGCTGTGTATTATTTGCATCATCAACATTTTGGAGTTCTTGAACATTCTCTATCTTTGCTGTTAAAATGGGTAGCTTATTTTCGGTAATTAATAATTTAAATGGTGTTTCAGTTTTATTCACTGAATGTATTATCGTTTCTTTTGCAAGTAAATTAATAGTTTTTGGTCTAATTTCAATTTTAATATCTTTTTGTGCTTCTCTAGAATTACTGGTTTTAGTATTCAATTCTTCATAAATTTCTTCGAAACTGTTAACAGCAGTAAATAAGTTATTATTTAGGTCTTGTTTTTTCGGTGGACGTGCTTTTATTTGATCTATTTCAAGAGTGAAGGTATGTTCCTCTTGTAATGTACGTGCTATTGAATTAAGCATTTCTATATTAGCATTCTTAAAATCTTCAAGCTGATGTTCTACATGATCTAAGGCTTCTTCAAAGTTTTCGTTATCCTCAGAACTTGTTCTATTTCTTATAGTTTGTCGCTTGTCAGATTGTTCTTCTACGGAACTTTCATCCTCAGAACTACTAATTTCTTTTTCATCTGATGTTAAATTCTCTGATCTTTCTTCAGTGTCGCTATAACTTGATTCTTGCTCGTCATTGGTTTCTTCTGAGCTAGTGTCTATCTCACTTTGTGATTTGGTTCTACCATCAATGGAATTTATATCTGAATTAATTTCTTCTTTCATCTGCTGTATGAGTTTTTGAGTATTATCAACCATCTCTGAAAGATTATTAGATTTTTCTTCAGCCTGTTTTTGAAAATCACGCTCTGTAGTAATTTCTTCTAATGACTTATTTTTGTCAAGTATTGATGGCTCTTTTTTCGTTTGGGATACTTGTTGAGTATTTTTAATGAACGGTTTATTTGATATGCCATTAATCGCTTCCTCTTGGGAAATGTTTTCTTGTGAAAGTTTATTCAATGCTACGTCTTTTATCTGTTCTTCATGTTGATGACTTTCATTATTCAAGTTTACAAATGCTGCATCTGTTACTGTTACATTATAGTCTGATTGTTTTACTTCAGTCAAATTTTTATCTGACGGTTTCACGTCTTTGGGAACATTATTAAAATGGTTATTATTATTTAAGACTAGTTTTTCGTTGGTTGTATTTACTTTACTGTTCGTCCTTATAACTGTATTTAGGTCACGGTTAAAATTTTCATTTAGGTTTGGTAGTGGACTAGACCTAGTTAAGGCATTATAAGCATCGATAAAATCGTTTTCGGATTGGATTAAGTCAACCGTATGCGGCTTTCTACTAATATCAATTCCGGTTTCGACATTTGAATTTCCAGATAATAAGTCTTTAACTAGCAAATTTTCATCAATGCGAGGGACACCAGCTTCTTGAAGAAGTTGTTTTAGTTTTTTTGCTATATCGGTTTTATTTTCATTACTATAGTTTTCCGCAAACGTGTTTTCCGTAGTAATTAAATCCCTTTCATAATCATTAATATTAACATTCAGTGGTAAATACATCCAGTCGTCGTCTTGGAATTTAGTTGGTATCGGCGCTTCAAACTCATCTGAACTATCTTCTGCTGAAATGTAAAGTGAAGGTTATGACGTGGTACGATGATGATGCGATCTTGTAATGTAACGTAATATTATTGTTTTGTCGGTCTTTTAAGATTACCGCGCATGCGGTGAGAGTGATGGGATGGAGACCGAGGAGGTGCCGCGTCGTCATCTGCACCCACAGGGGAGCCCCAAACATGTCCGCGTAGCCTTCCTTCCTCTCCAACTCCAATTACCTCGGTCTGAAAATATAAATCTTTTATTCTATAATTACCCTACATTGATGTATAACTCAAAATAAATTTGGAATTACCTGTCGACGGTGTCTTTCGACGCATTCTGTCACAGCGGGCCACATAGCCCCTCTGTGTCGTGCTAGTGCTGCTCTAGCTTCCATGTCAGTTATAGCAGCTGCAGGTGCTAACCTGACTGCAGCTGCGCGAACACCCGCACATAAACTTGGCCAACGCTCTCGGAGCCAAGCCAAAGGCGCGGCTGGGCTTTGTGTTAGTGCTGCTTGCACTTCTGCTGCACTAAAGCCTAATCTTTCAGCTTCACTCATTAATTGAGCCAATTCTATTCCTCTTTCTGCTTCTCGACTGCCTCCAGCACTTGCTAAAGCTTCTAGCGAGATTGCCCTATTAGCGGGTTGTCGCTCAGGAGAGGGTGCCTGTTAAGAAGTAGAATAATTGCGTAAGCTAATCGTATATAATTTAGTTAAGTTGAATATATGAGAGGTCTTTGTAAGTATGTACATAGAAAATAAAAGTTAATTTCAAGGGTCATGCATAAATTACGTCGTATTTTTAATAAAATGATCATGAAATCAAGCATTCACCAAAACGAACATTAAATCAAATTCAAATTTCGAGTTTTAATACTAAATATGTATTTTGAAATGTGACGTCACCAAACTTAGGCCCCCTCACATCCCTTGTCGCGCAATGTCACCCTTTTTTTTTTTTTTTTTTAACGTGTGGAAATCCCCTCGGACCGTCACCCCACCGGGGTTAGCGGCGGGGTGGTGTGTCGGACTCGGACCGACTAAAACCACACGGTGTGCCACTCTGCGCCTGTAACAGGAGGGATCCGGGAACAGCTGTTATTAAGACATCCGGACCCCTCCTAGCGCCGGCCCGCTCCTGGTGAGGGCTCCGTCTCAAAATTTTTCCTTAGTTTTAAGGGACGTCCGGCACACGCGGACGCCGCCCCCTCGCGGCTGGCCAAACTAATGCGGGTGGAGGGGAAACCCACCCCGTCCACCCGCGGCCACACTCAGGGCGGCATGAGGCGGTGATAGGCGCGCCTCCGCCGCCCGGTTCGCCGGCAGCGGATCGGGTCCGAGTGGAGGTCGTCCTCCCGGGCCCTCTCCGCCGCCTCCTTCTGCGAGATTACTTCCTCGCAGAAGGTTGCGACCGCGGTAAAACAACTGTCGCTACCGGCCATGGAGCGTACTATGGCCGGTAGCGAGAGATCCACTCCGATGACTGCAGTGAGGGCCCGGCGCTGCGTCGCCCATGCGGGGCAGACCGCCAGCGTGTGCTGGGCCGAGTCCTCACTGCAGTCGCAGTGGTGGCAGGCGGGACTCAGTTCCCTCCTAGCGACAGAGTGCAGGTACTTTCCGAAGCAACCGTGCCCGGAAAGCACCTGCGTCAGCCGGAAGGTAAGGGTCCCGTGCTGCCGCCCTGCCCACTCGGCGATGCGCAATATCACCCTTCCTCAACCCCCTCCCGTAACGTAACGTGTGACGTAATTTATGGATGGCCCACATGTAATTTACCTCAGAACCATAGAAACTGGAGCGGCGTGTAGCACGCGTGCGTCTTAAATCTAAATGTGAGGCACGACGTGATAGTTGAGTGTAACTGTCCGCCCAGTCACCTCCGGGACTGCTGTCACGCTCACGCCATTCCCATCTGTTTCCTGGACCGGTTGTACGAACACTTCGGTCACTTTCCTATAATTGTAGTTAATGGTTTATGATTTTGTTTTCGTCGTAGGATTTTGTATTCCTTAGTTTACTCATTTTATTAAGTTTATTGTATCAGTTATGTTAGAATCTGTATCATATCAAGTGCAGGCTAAAGCCTGTAGGTACTATATAAACTAGATATAATATTATGGGGAAAGTAGACGTACCTACTATCCATAATGTTCAAAAATTGAAATATTTATATACGGGTTTTACGGCCAAATTCGTATAAATTGTTTGATATCTTTATGAGGTGTATCATATATATGCATTCTAAGTATAATTAAAGATTATAATTCTAAAGATACTTGATATCCAATAAGATATCAAATATCTTTCTACAGTTCGCTTTTTCCTTTATTTTGGACATACAGGAAAAGGCGAAGGGTGAAAATATTTTTATGTTTAAGTAATCATCAGACAATGGTGCTAATTCTGTTGGTCGAAAACTCTAAACTAAAAATCACCAAAAAATAGTTTTGTCCTGTCAAACAACGTTTCGCATTCTGAAAATGGATACTTCACAGGACTTTACAAATTTTTAGTGATTTTTAGTTTAGTTTAGAGAGTTTTCGAACAACAGAATTCACACCACATTTGACTAAAGAATATTCCCGGTTTAGACCCGAATACTATTTACAAATAAAAAGTTTTTAAGCATTTTTAAAAATTTGGAAAAGATCAGTTTACTTTGAAAAAAAAAAACATTTTTTTTTCCATCCAAATTTTAACTCACACGAGTATCACTTGATAAAGAGTGCCGGCTATGTGATCGTTCCCGCCTACTGTCATCTCGGAAACGTCGACGTGGCCTCGATCGTGACGCAGACGGAGCACGATCCCACGATTTAGGAACTTCATACGTCTGAAATAGAAATGTAAGAAGACCACAGGTATTAATAGCTACTTTCAACTATTACAAGATAACTTCTGTCTGGCAATATTTACCTGCGTTGATATACTTTGTGGTGGTGGACTTGTACCTGTATTCGACACTCTACTGGTCGTTTTCACGTTGCCTCTGTCAACAGTGTCACGTGGTGGCGACGTTCCAGTGGACCTTTTTGGGACGTTTACTGAGTAAGAATTGTTAACCAAGTTCTCACGTGGTGGTGAAGGTCCTACGGATATGCTATGTCGTTTAGGCGCTTCAGACCCAGAGGATAATTGGCTCTCCTTATATGGTGAAACTCTCATTGTTTTGTTAGCGTCTGATGGAGGGTATACATCAGTACTTATGTCTCGTTTCATGTGTGTGCCATTTTGAATCTCTCGAGGTGGCGAAGGGCCAACGGCCATATCGTGTTTGTCCAAGGCATGATGTTGATTATTGACGCTGGGTTCACGGGTTGGTGTTACGAGTCGGTTCACTGGTTTCTTTAAGATATTTCCATCTCGAGGTGGTGATGGTCCACAACCAGTCGATGTGCGTTCTTTTGTAATCTTTGTGGATGTTTTTTCTACAACTGAAATAAAGTTTATGTATAGATCTACTCTGTTATTTTACAACGAAGACTTTAAAATTCTGTTGTTATTTAACGTTGTATTCACAAAATGAACTATTATAATCTTAAATGAAATGTTTATTTATAAATTAATTGGTATGAAGAAACATGGAAACATCAACAAAGTTTTCAGATTCTTCAGCTTGATAACAGTTTCTGCTTTAGAAAAGAAAAAGTCTCACTTTTGAGATGTCGATAACTTTATTCGAGTTCGGAACGTTAGATTGGATTTGTTTGGGAAAATCGACATTCAAAAGAAAATCTTATGAAGTGAGACATAAGGTAGATTGTTCAGCTTTTAGATAAAATAAAGTCCCAAGCACCAGCTAGATATCTTCGTTTTGCCATTAGTCCCCTGCATTCTCCGCTTCGCAGAAGTGTTCTCGGTACAAAATCCACCATTCCACGACTTTGCAAACTGCTCAATAGTTGCAGCGCCCTGGGCCTCAATTCTGATATTTTAATATTGTATCACTAGAATGTCGTCGGAATAGTTTTGTACTTTTTCTATTCTAATAACTATGTAAGACCAATGGCCGATGACTTATCATTATTACAAATGTCGTCGATGTCATTGTAACAGTTAAGTAAACGGTAAATTTTAAATTTGTAAGAAAATGATATATTTAATTTTCCAGGTATGGCAATATTGTTGATATCACCATTGATGACCTATATTACTATATCAACAGTCTCTTGACACTGTGAATTTATGTTAGTAGAATACTGATATATTGATCGATGTCAATGGCGTGTCAATTGCACCTCAATAGTGTGTCAATGGAATTACAGTGGCTTGGCGTTAACATAAAATAGCAGAATTGAGGCCCTGGTCGATATACACACTGACCCACTAAATAAATTCCGCAGTACCATACAAAATACTTTACTAGGCATGCCTTTTAAGTTCTATCGTTTCCATACTTCCCGGCAATTTTGAATTTGGAACTGTTCTATATTCGAATGTGTTTAAAATTTGAATCTCAAAACACTTTAAGGTATTAGGATTAATGCTATTGTTTGGTTACAGCGTCGATTTGAATCTGTCAGGTTACGTACGAAAATGAATTTTTCTAAGGAAAATGTTCGTGAAATAATTTTCTACAACTTTAGAAGAGGCCTGACACGGCTTCAGTGTTTTGAAGAGCTAACATCTGTGTTCAGTGATGAAGCCCCATGTCTGCGGACTGTCGAACGCTGGTATTTAGAATTCCAGAGTGGACAAACTAGTGTTAGTGACAAATCTTGCGAAGGACGCTCAAAATCCGCCCTCACTGAAGATAACATCATTGCTGTGAGACAACTAATTGTCGAAGACGTCATGTGACGTATCGAGAGATAGAGGCTGAATTAGGCATCTCAGGGACAACCATTCAGAAGATCTTGCATGAAGCGCTTGGTGTGAGAAAGCTAGTTTTGCCGTTGGATACCGCATCTGCTTTCCGACGGTCACAAGGCGGCCCGCCTCAGATGGTGTAAGAAAACTCTGCAAAGGTTCAACCGAGGAAAGTCAAATCACGTCTACGACATCATCAGTGGTGACGAATCTTGGATCTATGCCTACGATCCTGATTCCAAACAACAATCTACAATCTGGGTCTTTCAAGACGAGCCAAAGCCGACTAAAGTTGTTCGTTCTCGAAGCACTTCATAGAAGATGGTGGCCACGTTCGTTGGAAAAACCGGCCATGTTGCGACTATTGCACTTGAAGATCGTAGAACGATTAACGCAGAGTGGTATACCACAGTTTGTTTACCATCATCGCCGAACTTCGAAAATCTAACTCAAAGCGACGCATCATCCTGCACCACGACAACGCAAGCTCACACAGCGCTTGTCAAACGATTGAGTATTTGAAGCAGGAAAAAGTAGAAATTCTTGACCATCCTCCATACAGTCCTGACCTAAGCCCTAAAGATTTCTATACATTTCCTAAAATTAAGAAAAGTCTTCGTGGTCAAAGGTTCCAGTCCGGCGAAGAAGCAGTCGACGCTTTCAAGTCAGCCACTTTGAACACCCCACTTTAGAGTGGAATAAATGTTATAATAACTGGTTTGAGCGAAAGGAAAAGTGTATTAAGCTACGTGGTGAATACTTTGAAAAACAATAAAAAGTACTATAAGGTTCTAGTTGTGTTTTTTTCTTCAAACGACAAAACTTAAAAGGCATGCCTCGTATAAAGGGTACTTTAATTGATTTCTATCTATTTTTGTCTAATCCTATTTGTATTGTATTAGTATAAGCATACAATAATATTGTTTATCGTGCAAGAGGTGCTTACCTATAAGTAATTGTAACATTAAACACGCCACTTCACAATATTTGCAAAATGTCTTTTAACTGTTAAACAGTGAATACAATAGGCTTGTGTCTACTAATAACAAACTGCTTAGTTTATAGTTTCAAATTATAAATGAAGAGAGAGATAAGAAAAAAACTGTTTTTTCTCATAAAAGTTAAAGATTATTAATATTTAAAATAAAAAAAACATGTGACATGTGAAAGTGGATTGTTAACGGTAACCGTAAACGAAAAATGCAATGACTAATCCCGGGTCAAACGCCCCAACGTCAAGTACCCTAAGGCAAAGATTACCAATGAAAAGGTAATGGTGACTGACTGTTTGTTGGTCTCTTCATGGTGTTATTCACTATAGCTTTTTCAGGTCTGGTCAGGCAATAACAGCAGATGTTTACTGTGCCGAACAATGATGGCGAAATTGGCAGTGAAATAGCCCCGACTCCTGAATCGAACTTCACCACTATTGCTCCATGATAACCAGGTCTCTAGCCTATTGGAGGTCCTGGGCAAATTAGCTTAATGGGGCCCCTACGAACTTAGCTTAGCACTATTTTTTTAGAATAGACAAAAAAGTATTGTAGTCAGTCATTACAAATGGATTTATCGAAATAAATATGTTTTTCGGTGATTAATATTCATTTTCGATTGGTGATCTGGCAGGAATCGGGCGCCTATCGATCGAGGGGCTCTTGGCACATGCCCAGAGTGCCCAGTGGGAAAGAGGGGCCTGATGATAACGCAAGATCATCCTCCATCCTTGCTCCAACGGACTACCATTTTTTTCGTAATTTGGACAATTTTCTGCGTGATAAAAACATTTCTTCCGAGGAGACAGTACAAAATGCTTTCACACACTTTGTCGAATCTAGATCCCCAGAGTTCTATAGTAAAGACATAAATGAGCTTCCGTTTAGATGGCAACAATGATAAACAACAGATAATGAGGGTAAATATTTTGATTAAATAAATATTTTACATTTAGAAAAAAACGAGTTTCAATTTCAATACGAATCGGCAATTTCCCCCCTAAACTCTTTAAATGTGATAAATACAAAAGCGCTCATAAAAACTTACAAATGGTATTTGTTGAACTAGACATGAGAGACGCCTAAAAGAAGTTAAAATGTGTAGATTTATATGTGTATGTGGTGTGACTAGGAAGAACAGAATGAGAAATGAATATGTTAGAAGTAGCTCGGAAGAAGCTACAGTCCAGCTCAAAAATGTGATGATCGTTTTATGAAAGTTGAGGGGTACGAGAAAAGAGGTAACATGGCTAAGAACAGTTAGCCCCAATGAGTCTGTTGCAGAATAGAACAGCATCGATCCCATATAATATTATATTAAATGCCATCTATATTAAAGTGATTCAACATTAAAAAAAAAAAAAAACTTATTTCTACAACGTTCACCTTCCTTTTAACAAGCTTTTCAAAATAATATAAGTACCTCTTTCTGTATTAGGCTCCTTCTTCATTTGTACTAGAGATGGCGATTGGATGGGAGTTATTTTCAGTCTTTCAATATTTTCACTTATATCTGAAGTAATTATAGGTCTTGGGACAGTAGTTGGTGTGCGACAGCAGATAACGCACACTCGTACACCGGGCTCATTAACATAAGTGCAATGTTCACATTGCCATGTGGAGCTAGGTGGAGCAGGAGCAGGTCCTAAGAAATCTTCATTTTTATCCTGCGGCTTAGGAGTAGGGCCGTCGTAACTTTCACTTTCACTCTCAGAATCTGCATCACTCGAGGGTAGAGGCGGCGGTGATGGTGTGCGATGTTTGGGTCGGCGGGATGTGCGTGACCGTACGCTTACGGCAGGTGATGCGGCGCGAGACCCTGCGCGTGATGCAGCGCGGGAGGCAGCGCGGCTTTCAACTGTAATTTACAGTTTGTATGAATTTACATTATATTGTATTCCATTCCATTCTTATTAACAACTTTTTTAATTTAAATATAGAATAAATTACCTCTCCTGTAAGACTGCGGTGTTTGTGGCGGGTGTACATGTGGGTGAGGGTGAACGTGCACATTATGAGGGTGCGGTGGTGAACAACAAGTGGCTGGCCAACCCGGAGTAGCAGCTGCCCAAGGGTGATCAAGATTCGCGCAACTACCGTATCGCCAGGGCATAGAGGCGCAGTGAGCACAACCGGCGCAAGGCGCCGCTCCAACACCGCTGAGTTCTAGCACAGAGGCTCCTCTGCGCATAGGTCGACCCCAGTTTTGAACTGGTTGACCCATGTTATCTGCGCTGTCCCATGGCTCTTGTTGCACTGCCTAGAAATTAAAAACATTCTTAATCTTTTTAATCAAGATTTTATAAAGCACATTACTAATTATTTTTTTTGTTTCATTACCATATTTGGATGCATCCCAAAGCCTTGCAGTGATCCTCTCGATCTGTTCCAGCCCGAACTCATGTGGGATAAAGTATTTGTTTGTCCCTGTGTTTGAGCAAAAGGTTGTGCGGCAAGGTGTGTATTTGTTGGAAGAAATGGCATACTGCCGACGTGACTTGGTGTCGGCGTCGAGGTAATTTTCGTCTGAAGATGTAGAGGCATCTGTTGGCGAGCTTGCTGTTGCGCAACGTGGTGATTTGTTACGGGTGCTCCTGTGTTTTGAATGTGTGTTCCCAGTATCAAACCAGTGTGATTCAGAGTTGCATGTCGTTGATCTAGCATTGGAGGCTTGGGGCTCGCACTCATTCTATCACCGCCAACCTATGTATATGTTATCAACGGTTATCATATATTTATTTTTTTACATATTTTGATTGGGACGTTATCAATAAGATGTTTGATTGTATCGAAATTAATAAAAAGATACCTTGTGTCTTCGTGGCGGTGGTACAGGGGGAGCAGCCTTTGGAGGAAGTGGTGGTCTCTCGTCTCGGAGTTGTGATTGTGACAAAGCCTGTAGCATGTAAACAACGACTATTGATTGATAGCAGATAGCGTCAAATGTAAGTAGCATTGTATGTTAAAGCATTTATTGATACCTGACGTTGATGATTTCTCCGTTTAGGGTGTCTGTGGTACATGTCATCGCATGACGCACAGAGAGCCCGACGCCCACACTCTGCGCAGCGGACTCGTGCTCCTCCACCACCGCATAATCCACATGACGCTCCTGCATCAGGAGGATGACCTACATACAATAGAAGTAAAATTATTAACCTACTGTCACATTTCTGCAACGTAAATTTTACTTTTTATATGAGTCTTTCGTGTAGCTCATAATGATAAGCAATCATTTTACCCGATATAGGATAAAGGTACTTCTCTAATATTAATTTTTAAGCATTAGCGGTGATTGACCGGCGACTTTTGTGTTGATTGGGACCAAACGTAAAGTATAGGTACCATCCCAAATGAAATTACTTTTTCAAATCGATTCACAAATGACAGAGTTTTGAGGTATTAAACATAAAAACATACAGCCGAATTAAAAAGGTCTTCGAGAAATCGGTTGATATCCGAATTACTTTGTTGGGGGAGATTACGGAACGATAACGTACCATCGTTTCTTGGTAAGCGGCCTCATACCACTCGAATACCTCTTCGAACGGGGGTCGACTGCCGCTATCCGCCCGGAACTCAGCCGTCCGCCGATACACTTCGGCGAGCATTTCCGCTTCCAACGCCGAGTTACACGCCGCCTCCGTCGACACGGTGCGGTAACCGCATATGACTTTAACCGCCAATATTCTCTGAGGGCGCTAGAGGCGTGTCCTATTCAGGGCGGTCTGAACTGGTACGAGGACGGAGTTCACCACGATTGAGGCGGCGAGGGGGAGGGAGAGTCTGCCACGACGTGAACCATCGAATAAAAGGGCCTGCATCCTTCCTAGCTTGGGCCCTTGAAAGTTCGACCCCCGGGTTGTAACTAAAGTATGATTGGCATAGCAAATTACGTTCGCCCGTGGGGCAAATGGACCCAGTAGTAGCCAATGTTCCACAAGAGGGGTCCAAGAACAGACCCCTGAGGAACACCGCACGACAAGAGCCGACTCCTTAGATATCCATCTCGATCCTCGTACATGACGGCACGTTACTCTAAATAGTCTGCCACTAACCGCCTCAGGTACTCTGGCACCCCGTGATAGAGGAGTACTTCCCTGATGCAGCTGAATGGCAGACTATTTAATGCGTTGGCGATGTCCAACGACACCGCCAAGAGCAACCACCTCTTCGGTCACGGCCCTCAGGCAAAACACAGCATCGACTGTCGATCAATTTACCCGCCTCGTCCAGCAGCAAAATGGCCGTTCCGGCTCTCTCAAGATCACCAGCTGTCCGCTCTTCGTCGACGATAGCGTCAAATACCTCCCCGAGGCGGTTTAACATGCTGTTGAGGACCAGTGCCAGCACTTGGGCAGGGATTCCATCTGGCCCTGGGGCGGTGAAACTAGGCAGAGCCTCTGCTATGATAACCAGACCGCTGATAAACATACTTAAATATTTTTAAATACATAAATATTAAACACCGAGACACAAAATAAATGATCGTGCTCATCACACGTTTATTTGTATTGGGTGGGAATGGAACCCACGAACTCCGGCTTAGCAGTTAGGGTTAGGTATATATGATGAGATATGAACATTATTTACAAAAAAGCCTTGCAACTAGTATCTTTCATAAAAATATAATGTCATAAGTAGGTATGAGTAGGTAACTATAATGTCTTGTACAATGTAATGTAAAATGAAATGTAAAATGTACTTACCAGTTGGAGGTCGTGGTGGCGGAGGTGGTGGAGGCTGCAGCTTTGCGTTAACATATTGTTCACCAGGAAATTCAACAACTTCGTAGTCCGGCTCGGGTCTTGATGCTGGTTGAGCTTTATGCATAGATGGGGTGGGAGAGCGTAATATCGTCGGTGGTCGTGATGCAGCGTGTAGGTGCGCCGGCGGCGGCGTCGTCAGGCTTGCGCTGCGAGGGTCGCGACCCCGACCCTTAAGCATTCCTGTTTACCTAATACTAATGGAAAACAAAATTTCTTCTAAAGTAATTTATTTGCGCTTAAGACTTACATTTTCTCAAATAAACATGTAAAAGTAGTAAGTAAGGAAGTAATTAAAACATTAAAGCTTTTAAAGAAACTATTAAATTATATTTACTTTAACGCGGTAGTGCCTCCACGTATGACATATTTTTGCTCCAAATCTATGTTTACATTATAATGCAAGTACGCTGTAAATCTGCTGTCTGTTTTTCAAAAATATTATCAAGGTGGATAAAGTAGTGGGTAAAATAGACAAGCGCGCTGGAGACCCTGCAGCGGCAACGTGGCAACGGTTCAGTTAAATATTAATATCGTAAGTTATTACAATCACATTTTATTTGACACTTTAAATTACAATTGACTGGTTTATTTCGGTGACAGGGTAAACAAAAAATATGCAGCGGAATGAAATTATGATTTATATAAACTTTTATGTCTTGAACTAATTTTTGTTTCAGGTGGGGGTATATCTTTTTAATTTTTATGTGTATAAAATACATAGTTGCACAATACATTATTTATACTATTTTCACGTTAATTATTGAAGTAAAGATATGAAAATATCTAGTTCAGAAATTGTTTTAGCGGTATTATTAACATTTGGAAGCCGCAGCTGTGACCGGGATAGAACGGGCGTTGCCGCATCGCCGATGACTTCTCGACCTATATTCCGCCACTTATATCCAAAAATATCGAAAGTGTGTTGTATATCCAAATAGTAATTAAGTGCATATTTGCGTAATGCTATTTGGCACTCTTTTCAGATTTAATCTGAAAAGAGTGCATATTGCATTTTTAATTTTAAGTCAACCATCTTAAACATAATAATCCTACCTTCTTCAACGGTAACAATTTCAGAGTCTTCTAACTCTGTACAATAATAGTACTAAATTTCACTATGTTGGGCCTCACAAGTCATCGTCACTTCACAATTATGCAACTAGACACAGTTCCACTGCACTCGCGGCGTCGCGGGACTTGCAATCCAGCAGCAGGTCGGTGCGCGACACTATACCACACTCTTCACTGGTCGAGTGTCCGCTGGTGGCTAATAGTGCTCCCTATGCGGACGAAATTGACAGCATGAAGACGCGTGTGCCGCCGGCTCTATTTCTGTCCGCGGCCGCGTTGCCCCGATTCTACTAAAATTACGACGCGCTGCTATTTCCGCACTCATCTCAATGCCTCTTCCCGCCAGAGTCAAATACCTTGCAAATTTGTTGTTTAAACTACAACTGTTGCATTATATAGTTACACACAATTTGGATTAGACAAAAGTTTCGATCAACGCGATTACTTTTCATTAAAGTTACTAGAGTAAAACTGCAGTTTACTTTTTGTTTTCATTGTTATCATAATATTACTAATAGATGAGCTGTTAGGCAAGTCAAATGGATCTAAATTTACTAAATAAAAGACAATTAGGTTTTCTATAAGTAGAGAAAACTTGGACCCCATTTTCGTTCATAATATTTATTTTAAAATCTAAAACAGTATGGTAAATAATGTTAAATTAACTTTTGGTTGTTATATATTTTTCTAGCATTATAATCAAAGGTACAAAATCGAACCTAAAGAAAATATGTTCTAAAGAGTATTGAATACTTTTTAAATATTGTTAGTAACAACCGTTTCTATGTAAACAGTGGCGATACTGTCATGTGTACAGATCATTAATTTGGATTATAATAAAGTGTAATTATTATTATTGTTGTGGTATGGAAATACTGCAGAAGTTTAAACAAAATGGTTATTTTGCCGCTGACCTGTACCATTTGCTTACTAAGAAGAAGTTGCATGATCCCTCAATTGATGTAAGAGCTGTACTTTAATTAGTGTACTGCTTATTGCTTCAATAAATTTTTATTGATGATACCTGGGTATTTATGAATTCTTTACGTTGAGAATGATAATTAAGTACTGACTGATATTTCCCATAACGTTACTTTACAAGATCTCCGTAAGGTTTAGTGAGTTACAGCTCGTAACCCTTAAATATGGAAAATTTAACAAACGTTTCATTTTTTTTAAATTATAAATATTAACAACACAACTCACATACGACCGTTTGATCCCAAACTAGACAAAACGTTTTATGTTTATAAATACATTTTTATTTGGTGATTTAAAATATATCATCATCAGCCTATCGTAGTCCACTGCTGGACATAGTCCTCTCTCATTAAAATATATGATAGGTAAAAATTAACTTCACAACTCTCAAGCACAGCTGTTATCCAATCTACGAAGAGTCTGTGCAATGGTAACCAGACTGCTGATAATCATACTCTTATAAATTTCTAAATACATACTATATGACAGATAAATTACATCCAGAATTATTCACACAATTATTTGTTCGGGGTGGGAATCGAACCCACGAAGTCCGGTTTAGCAGTAAGGACTAAGGACTATAACTAGATCAACAGGCCAGTCAAATATATCTCATGTTTTCTTTTGATATAGCTTACCTCTCATACAGTATTTTTCTTCTGTATTATATATGGCCCTCATTTGCGGGAGAGAAGAGTACTAGCTGTCTCCCTGTTTCCTTTACATCGCCTCTTAAGCGCATATCACTTCTTTATAAAATAAGGCAACAAAATCCCAAACACTCACTTTGGGCCTTGGACAGAATCTTGGCGATTATCGAGAGCTTGCTCACATCTATTCGATGCGGCCTACAGCCAGTATTCTGGCTGCTATTCTGGTGGTAATAATTGACGGGAAAATTCACCTGTCACCCTCAGTTTATTGTATTATTATTTACACTTCTGATCGACTATAAGAGTTGTAGTGTCTATCTTTTTTTTTTATTTTACAGATATTACCCTCGGAATATGAAAAACAAATGAAAATGACGACTCAGCAACGGCTGCAAAATTTGAACAATTTTGAAATAGATAACATTGTATGTATTGGTAATAAGCCCATTAAAGTGGTGCTGTCATTTACGCCCAGACTCCTTGTGTTTCAAAACTACAAGCCTAATGAGAAAATCATCGCTAAGTTTTCTGTTAAAAATGTTAGCAAGGTATTACATGGTATTGGTTTTATTATTTTATTTATAATTCAAATAATTGTATTCATATGATTTATGTATTGTGAATAACAAATATGATCGCAAAAATTGGATATACACTGGCACACCTAATCAGGTTTATCAGTTAGCTTTCAAAGAAGAAGTCCTATAGTAGGTACATATATAATCGTATGGTCGCGTCACCTACCGACTGACGCATGTACTCACTGGGCATGGTTGCTTCGGTGAGTACCTGAATCGTGTTGGACGCGAGGAGCCGGCACAATGCCAGCACTGCGCAGCCGACTGGGACTCCGCCCAGCATACGCTGGAAGACTGCCCGGAATGGGCGTCTGAACGCGAAGTCCTGGTCGACCAAATCGGACGAGACCTGTCCCCGGCAGCAATCATAGCTGCAATGCTGGCAAGTGCGGAGGGCTGGGGCGCAGTGGTCTCTTTCTCTGAAGATGTAATGCTCCAGAATCAAAAAAACAAACTGTTAGAACAGTTTGGCGAATCGAGAACTTGTTGTCGGGGTGGTTTTAAGTAGAAACACCCAAGAGCCGGAGTTCCGAAGGGATTTTCTACACCGTCAAAAAAAATGTACATAAATAATTATAGTTCATATTTGTAGTTACAGTCAGCTTCAAGTTGCACTTTATTACAAATGTACACGGTTTTCAGTATGAGATTTGCTGATACTTGAAACGAAAACCATATAATACATCTTTCCGTTTACTTTTGTAAATGAAACAAGTTTTAATGTAACAAATAAGAATAAATATAAATAATGTAATAAATAATTATATAAATAATAAAGTAAATTCAACAAAATTTTTGGGCGTAACTATAGATAAAAACCGCAACTGGAAAGATCACACATAGCAACTGAGCAAGCGACTAAGTTCTAATGTCTACGCTTTCTCTAAACTTGCGCACACCATTAACATGGATTCTCTTATCATGGCATATCATGGGATTACAAAGTCAATTTTGAGATACGGTCTATTATTCTGGGGAAACTCCACAAATAAAGAACAGATCTTTATATGTCAGAATAGGTGTATTAGGGCTATGTTTGGCCTTCAATCAGACGATAGCTGTAGGCCATATTTTGTTAAATATAATATATTAACACTACTTTCGCTGTATATATATGAAGTGGTTATGTTTGTTAAATTAAATCCACAACTGTTTAACAAACTATCTATTATAAGCAACCGACACAGACGAGACAATGACCAATTGTGTGTTGTGAAGTCAAGTACAGAACTAATGCAAAAAAGTATTATCTGTATGGCACCAGATGTATATAACAAATTGCCCAAACAACTTAAACAATTATACCTGATTAATTTAAAACGACAATTAAAAATATATTTAGTCAGCAAATGTTACATAGCAGAATACTTAACTGACACGAACCTAAGTACATAATATTAATGTTGTTCGTATTGTTGTGACATGTGTTTAAATATGATATACGAGAATTGGTATCTTGATTTTATTAATTGCTGGAATAGTGCATGATGCTTTACTATTACTACTTTTTTTTGTATGAATGTAATATTTTAATTTGGAAATTATATTTTTTATTTTTTTTATTTTATTTTTTTCTATTCTATTCTAGTGTAATTTGGTGTGAATAGAAATGAAATCTACTTTTTCTAGGCTCCAACCTTTCTCAACATGGTGTTCAAGGAATCTTCGTATTTTTCTATAAAACCCTGTGGAGGACAATTACTGTCGCGATTAGCGCCGGGAATCAGTATATCTTTCGCCGTTACCTTCTCGCCGGTTCAGTATGAGGACTACACTCATCGAGTCTTATTTTATACGGACGTTGATCAGTATAATTTGCCATTGATTGGTAAGATTTTTGTGCTTTGAAACACATTTTGAAGAAAATTTTCTCTGTAGCTTGCTCGTTTTTCAAAATGTAGACGCGATTCTGTATAAGATATAAGAAAAAATATAATTGAAGGCTCTGTCGTGAGTCGATTTAGTTCTTAGGGGTAAAAGAAAATATTCTGAAACAAGTACTTTTTACTTAATTTGGGCTGCAATAAAAAGGTCCCCAAATAAAGTACTTGCCTGAATTAAGAACCCTGATCGTTTTTCTATTTCTTTCTTCAGTCGAATCTTCAAGTTACCGTTTGTGTTAATCTTGTTCAGAGGACACGTACTTTTAACATATTATCTAGATTAATTAATAATATTTAATATAATCCCATTTAACATAGTAAGATAGATTGTATTTGGAAATTTGACACCAAAAACTCTGACGCTTGGCGGAGAATTGTTACAACACTCATGCAATGCAAAATAGGTTACCTACTAGTTAAATTGGTCAGCTAGTTTATGTATTTTCCTGGAACTATTTGTTTCAGCTATGGGGCCAAGACCAATATTCGATTTTCCCGATAAAGTTGAAATTCCAAAGACTCCATTAAAAATTGAAAACCATGTCTCTATTATGGTTCGTAATGTTGGAGCTGTTGCGGCTGGTTGTACATTGCTTACAAGATGGTATATGTTACAAAATTGGTTATTCCTGTTTGATAATATTAATCAATAACTTTTCATCACTGGATATTCTTACAGTCCATTTTCCGTTGAGCCAAAATCAATAAAGTTGACGCCCGGTGAACATTTTTACATGAAGGTGAAATGCAAGACTATGAATTTGGGACAAGTACAGGGCTCACTGTATGCAATTTTTGAAACAGGTAATATAAATTAACATGATATAGCAGTATCGTTAAACAATGTTAAAGTACAAACATTATTGTCATGTATAAAATGATGTTGTAAAGATAAAATCGACGAAACTTCGTTCTCTCTTCATAAAAAGGTATTCTACGCAGCTAATCAGCTAATTCTGTTTTCTTAATGTTTAATATAATTATTTTGCGCTCTGCCAAGATCCGACCATAAATAGTCGTGAATACAACTGGATGTAGGTACTCGTATAATGCATTATTTTCAAGCTATTATTGTTTCACTCTACGTCATCTAGTTTAATGCTTGTGCGTTGTAAGTTGATTACACCCGTACTTTAATTAGGCAACTGTATCAAACCAAGTACCTAGTGGTGACTTGGTTTGATAGGGTTTTGTTTTGGAAAAATATTTTAAATAGGACTACCAGTAGTATTTACCAGTCTACCAATACATAAAAAAAAACTGATGTACAGTTACGTTAATTTGCAGAAGAAAATTTGAAAATTGACTTATTGGGAACAACTCACCTCGTTAGCGTTGAATTGGAGAAACAGGTCGTGAGATTTTTTGACACTTACAACACTATGGTGCGACAACAAGTATTCAAAATTGTCAATAAATCAGATCATATACTAACTTATATGTGTATGAAACACGAATGTGTGTTTTACGGTAAGTTCACTTTGGTAATTTTTATTGTTTAAGAATTGAGGCAGCAAGAACCAAATACCATTTAAATACTGACAGTTTGGTCGTTTATTAAAAAATAATAACTTTTGTAACTACAAAGTCTAGGTCCTAAATTAGGTATCTGATCGTAACGTTTGGTTAAGATTCTGAAGTTGAGAGTTATTCCTGTAGCCACGTATATTCTATTCTTTTGTTAATAACATTATGGATTGGTTTTATTGTAGGGTAGAGTGTGTAACAGTGTACTACAGGTAACAGGTGATCTTTCGCCTTAGCTTCGAATGTACTTATTGCATGCAATCGACTGAGCAAACGTTAGTAGTTGCTGTTAAATTTTTCTCTCGGCCCAACTAATTATTGCCACCCTAGGGAGGGTGTGCTGTAATGTACCGGTCGACAGGCAATGTCTAAACGTTATTATTATGTTTCTTGTATAATTTAAAAATAATGATATTTTCTATGGTGCCAAAAATTGCAATAACAAATTAGAAAATAAAGCATGTACTTCGGTATTTTAACCTTCGGCGATCCATCTTTCGGCACATATGGGATGGCTCAACCGGAGTTATAACCCGGCCTTATAGACAACCGGTGTAAAACAATTATTTCGTTGCTTTTCACCGAGTGACTTTACGATGTTACCGGAGCTCAAACCCCTTCCCTCCATTTTTCTCATGTTCCCATGGCCGTCAGTAATCACCTACCATCTAGTGCCCTCTGCTTGTTTGCTCCTTTTATCATAAAATAAAATAAATGACAAACCAGGAGAAGAAAACATCTAATGGTGGTTTGACTACGTATTTACGCATTCAAATTGAAGCGTCTTTTTGGCCCCTTTATCCGCGTTTAGGATTCATCAGTGCTTTCGGCGCCCAATAATTAACGCTGAGGTAATTAAGGGGTAAATAAATATAACGGGTCTTCTAAATCTGCATTAATCAGAAATCTCAAATAAATCTCAAAAAAATCATAAATCTGCAGAAATCCAACCTTTTCAAAGTATCTATATCAAGTAGCAATAGTTAGTCACGAATAGAAAACGAAACAATCCAAAAAATACACGCCAAGTTTTTAACTAGATACTACCGGGTTGTCTTCTTTCGGTCCGGTCTTTTAACTAAAATTTTTTATGAATTCTGATATTATCCTAGAATATTATACATATGTACTTTGTTGGATAGCTGAGAATACGTACATGTTTTTTAATAAATCTGCAGTTTAACTCTCATAATTTTTTTGTTACTTGTCAAAGAATTTTTTTTTTACATTTATTTTCCTATTATTAACCATCTGCTTTGGCCCAGTTTTTTAGTAAACTACAATTTTAGGAATTGTTTTTTTTTTATCAATAACACAAAAACAGTTGAAAAGAAGCATAAATAAAAGTTCTAAAAAAATTGCTAATAGGCAAAAATTCGGTGATTTTTATAAAAAATCTTAAATGTCAGAGAAGTCAGAACTGATGGCAACTACAACCCCTTTAAGTATTTAGGTCAACTTAACCAGTAACCCTGTAGAAACCTTCTTCTTGAATCACTCTCCTACTAGTGAACACCGCATTGAAATCCGTTGCTTAGTTTAAAAAAACTAAGCGTACTACACAAAAAAGCGACTTTATACTATGTAAAGATACGTTTCAAACCTTTTTCAGATTTCCAAAACAAGTTACAACTAGCGAAAGTATTCTACAAAGTCAAAGAAAGCGAGTCTAAGAAGAATGAGAAATTGGTGCATTATGACGTATTGAGCAGTGATGAACACGAACGAGTGTATACTAGAATATTTTTCGATGAGATGCAATCATTGATAGCGGATGAATCACTACTATTCCAAAATATGCACTTTTCAATAACACCTGCTGTAAGTATTAAAATGTCACTTTAAGACTCGGTGCTAATAAAAGTGGGTACACTACATAAATACGTAAAACATTATTCCACTATAATAAATTTGAATTTCAAAATACCGATTTCATAATTCCGAATGGTTCAACATTCCTAATTACTAATTAGCGCGATTTAGCCTTCATCCTATTTTTATAATTCAAAAATTTCATTATTCGTAAAGGTTATAAATACTATGACCAGAATACCGAGTTTCAGTAGATCGAATAATAAAAGTCCGACTGAAAGTCGAAACATCAAAAATTCGAATAAAAATATTTTGTTTCGCTTCTCACAGTTTTACCATAAACGTAGCCCAAATAGTTTACAAACAACAGAGGGAATCTTTCGTTAATCGCCACTGTTCTAACCAAAGAATTAAATACCAGAAGATGGTACCCGACGCAGGCATACGATTTTTAAGGAGAAAAAGAAACTACAAAAAACGCATTAACACACAAATATTAATAAAATAAACAAAGTAGAAGTTTTAAATTACATTAAACGTTATTTATAGACTTACTTAGTTACATACTTATAGGTATATAACTAAATCAGAATCCTAATTTTAGCTGTTTATTCAAAGTATCGAAAATCAGAATTTCTTTTTCGGACCGAGAACCCATCGAGCATTTGATTATAACGTATATAAATCGGAAAACAAACTTCGGTAAAATAAATTTCGTGAATTTGGTTCGTGAACTGTACATCAGTTTTTTTCTGGGCCAAAGTAGTAGATGGTTTTAAGTTATCATTCTTAGGTATAATGAAATTCGGACTTTTGAAAATCGATATTCGGAATAAAATATTTCGGAGTTTTTGGGTGTTCCCAATAAAAGTATCCTAAATACAGTTTTGAATTCTAAATGAACATACGACTGTTTGATCATCATGTTAGTCTTGACAGGACCCACGACATTATGCGTATCGGGTATCATACATTGGCGCTATTGGATATTAGATTACTTTTTATATATATTTATAGCATATTAAAAATTCAAAATTCTTTTATTGTAGTTATAAGCCTAAACAATCGACACATAGGGAGTACTACACTAGATTACATGCATGTCTAGACCTAAGCGTATTCACAAAATTTGCTTCCATTTCATACATTTTAGGCTATTTTTTATTATTATTTTAGGCAGTATATCCGTACCTGTAGTGTTCCCTATATCTAATATGTAATAGTGGTAGTAATAGTAAGATGAGGCATTATAGATAGATATGAGTACCTCCATTACTAGCAGTAGTGGTAGTAAACCTCCGTTGTGAGGAGAGGCCTATGTCCAGCAGTGGACTGTTAGGGGCTGTTGATGATGATATATGAGTAAAGAAGTGTGTATATTTGTATACAAGTGTTTACAGAAAGTTGTGAAAATTTTCTCTGTTGTGTAGCTGAAAGATATTAAGAGTGCAAAAAATAGGTTAAATTGGTTGATTGACAAAAAATTGAACCATAGTCTTTTCTTTCAAAGCTTTTTCTTTGGAAAATGATTAACCTTGTGTTGGTGCATATATCTAAATTAAAATTTAAGATTTTTTAGGTCATTTTGGCACTTTGAAAATAAGATTTCGGTATTCAAAATTCTTTAGCGTTTTAAGTTATTATTATTCTCTTTATTTACTTTATATACATATTATTTACATTTTTAAACATACATTTTATAAAAAATTATAACAAAATACATTTAAAAATATAAAAAATAGTAGACCACCGACATCGGGTACAGGGACCAAGACACCGGTGGTTAGGACTCCAAAGATAGGAACCTCCTCACTATACGAGCCGTGTCAAGGAGGACTGCCTTCTGCATCAGACCCTTGATCCAGCCGTCCAACGTGAGCCTCTTAAGGTGTTGGTCGAGGCTCTTGGCTATCAATCCGTGAGCAGATACGACTATCGGAACAATGATCACTGAATCAACATTCCACATATCGACAATCTCGTGAGATAAATCCAAATATTTAATTTGTTTTTCTTTTTCAACTTTCACGAGATTCTCGTCATGAGGAACGGCGATATCAACAATCATTGCGCGGCGCTCTAATCGATCTATCAGCACAATATCAGGCTTATTAGCAACAATAGTCCTGTCTGTGATAATAGATCGATCCCAATACAACGTGGCCCGACCATTCTCGAGAACTGGGTCGGGCACATACCTATAGTATGGCACCTCTAGATTCACAAGATGGTATTTAAGGGCAAGCTGTTGGTGTACGATCCTGGCTACTTGGTTGTGCCTGTGCAAATATTCTCCGTTAGCAAGACGAGAACAACCAGAAATAATATGCCTGATTGATTCGCCAGGACGGTGGCATGCCCGACAGATGTCAACCGTACCATCTTTCAGGATATATTTCCGATAGTTATTCGTCATGATAACTTCGTCCATAATCGCACAAACAAAACCTTCAGTTTCTCCGAAGAGGTCACCATACCGTAGCCAAGTCGTAGATGCTTTTAAATCTATATCGGACCCGTTTAGGGCCCGATAAAACCGACCATGGAGCTCTTTGCCCTTCCATACTTCCCTGCGATCATTAACACTAAGTACTACAGGTCTGCGCCAATTCTCTTTAGCCAGAGCGAGCGGGGTGAAGCCGGTATCCACTGCAACTACATTGCGATGCACTCCCACGTCGGTATGTAGAAAATATTCTCTGAGATTGCATATCTCGCGATTATGTAGGGTCTTGATATTTAATAGTCCGCGACCCCCAAGCTTTCGCGGGATATACAATCTCATAACTGATGAACGTGGGTGGTGCATTCGGGATGCAGTCAGCAGTGTACGGACTTTCCTGTCAAGGGCATCTAATTCGGTCTGAGTCCATCTAAGTATACCAAAGGAATACATCAGAACCGGCATGACCCAACCATTGCAGGCTCGCACCTTGTTGCCCCCTGATAAAAGACTTTTAAGTACTTTTTTCAAGCGGCCAAAAAAGCGTTCCTGCAATGTTTGTTTCATGTTAGATTCTGGTATTCCCAACGACTGTGATATACCCAGATACTTGTAAGTTTCAGTGGCAGACAGAGATCTGAGTTTTGTTGAATCTGAAAGCTCTATTCCTTCAGATTCAACTATCACACCCTTCTTTACATACATGACTGCACACTTGTCTTAAGAATTTGTCTGTCAGAATTACTAAAGTTTTCCGTCACCTTTAGTAACTTTGTCAATTGTAATTTGTTGGAGGCTAACAGTTTCAAATCATCCATATAAAGAAGGTGAGATATAACTTTATCATCTTTCTGCAACCTATAGCCTAACCCTGAACCCTCTAATAAAGTGCTAAGAGGGTTCAAAGCCAGACAAAACCACAAGGGACTCAGACTATCACCTTGAAATATACCCCGCTCGATCTTTATCAGTACATCGTGTATCACCGTCTGCCGACATCCTGGATAGCGAAGTGCTGTTCTCCATTGCCCCATACATGACTTCAAGAAAGTGCACAGAGTTGTATCAATTTTATACAACTCCAGCACCTTCAAAAGCCATGTGTGTGGAACCGAGTCATAAGCCTTCTTATAATCTATCCAACACGTCGCCAAACTCTTACGATTACGACGTACCTGTTGGCTAATGGTCATGTCTATGATAAGGAGGTCTTTAGTGCCACGGGTCCCACTTCTACATCCATTCTGAGAAACTGACATAATCGAATTATTATTAATATGTAAAGTAATTTTGAGTCTCAGAATAGATGTTAGAAGTTTATACATGGTAGGTAAACATGTAATAGGTCTAAAATTTTTGGGATCCATGACACTACCAGACTTATAGAGTAAGTGGGTTATGCCAGTGGTTAAAAATTGGGGTAATGAACCCGAATCCAAAGCTGCCTGGAATTGAGATGCCAAACGCGCATGTGAGCTTCGGAACCACTTAAGCCAAAAGTTGTGCAGTCCGTCTGGACCAGGTGATTTCCAATTCGGTAATAAACGAACTGCACAACTTACATCATCTTTATCAATTTTAACAGGTTCCATAGGTGTTATTGACTCACATGAGCGTCTGACATCCTGCAACCAATCACCTTCTATATGAGTGACAGGCACCGACCAGATGTTACGCCAAAATGTATTTGTGACATTTTCATCTGGCAAATGCGTATCACCCACACATGGATCCGGTTCCTCCCATTTCCGGTACACCCACTTCTCATTTCTTTGGAACATCCGATTCTGATTATACCGATCTATTCGTTTTTTATACCGTCTTATCCTATTTGCCCATGCATAAATTTTCTGCTTTAGAAAGTCTATGCGCTCTGTGACACATGACATGTACTGCTGAGGACTAATGGTAGTCCCCAATAATGCCTGTTTCACAAAGCGCATCACTCTCGGCCGCGTATTCCCTGATCGGTAGCTAATAAGCTTACCGATGAGTGTCCTGGTCTCAGCAATACGACGCTCAATTCTATACTGCCAAGCTGGTACAGTAGATTTAGGTCGAGTAGTAGTGACATTGTTAGCTATTTTAACACCAGCTACTCGACAAACTGCAATAGCCGCACAATATAGAATAGAATGTGTATCACTAAGATCTTCGCTATTATCTAAATATTCAGGCAATAACGAATCCAGGGCACCCACCAGCGCTAAATTTCGTTTATGAATGGGCAAACGGAATAACCGGGGCCTGTCATCGCAATTTAAATATCGGTATTCCAGAATCGCATCCTCCAAAGCACTCCTTATCCTATCATTGTATTGGGTACTTACGGATATAACTTCACTCTCCACTAGTTCATCAATATCATCAGAATATGATGCCAACTGAGGTGTGCTGTTGGCTACCGAATCCACAGTGTGTGACGAAGAAGGGATAATTAAGCTATTCCGTATGTCAGAGCGTATCCTCTCAAGTACTGCATCATCCAGCAGATGACAGCGCTGTATAGCTCGTACTTGATCCGACAATCGTTGTGCTGATACGTTGACAGCTGGTTCAAGTTCCTGAAACAAAGAGACTAGTCGAACACGGTACGCAGTAAGGTTCGTTCCCACCTCTGTAGCCCGATAATATGCCCGCATGACATTTTCATTAATAGACTTTGTCCACTTCATGCGGCGCACATCACCACCGGTAGCGGGGACCCTGTTCGAGGTCAGTAGTCCTCGGGATCCCAAGCTGGTCGGTGGCCGGCCTCTCCCCTGCCGACGTACAGGTGTTGGCGACGTCGGCGGAGAGAAAAACTCGTCGCTTGAAGTTGAGCTCGACGCCTCAGCCACGGCCGGAACTTCTGTTGTAGCTTCCGGGGACGGCAAGACGGAGCGGAGCGACGAGTCCGGGGATGTTGTCAGTGCTCTGGATCTAGCTCGGGTTAACATTTTCCAGTCGAATTTCTTTCATTATGAATATTTATTTGTATTTTGACATGACGTTAAACGTCATGTCGTACTATAAACATATATCTATGTATATTATTTATTTTAAACGGTTTTGTATTGTATTTTTATAAAAAGGATCCATTTTATTACAGTTTTATAGTTTTTAATTATTGTACGGGATTGTAAATGTATAGAAAACTTGTTTATTTCGAAAATGTGAAGAAATTCCGACTGATGTAGATAATTTTTCAATAATTTTCTTATTATTATTATTATTACACTTCACACCCAATAAATGTAGGGATTGAATTCTGATAATATGTCTTTGTTTACAGAAAGGAAACTTATGGCCTAATAAAGCTACCGAATTAACAATTACATTTGCCCCAAAAGAAATAGGGGAATTTCAGACTATAGCCTACTTGGATATTGACGGTGTGTTTGACAGAGTCCCTTTGACATTAGTTGGGATTTCTATTCCACCATTTATACAGTTGAATATTGAAACACTAGATATGGACTGTGTATACATAAACAAACCTTATAATTATGAGGTAGTCGCAATTAATAAAGGTAAGTTAACAAACGTAGCCAAAGTATTAAAATTATAATCAACGCTTCAATTATCCTCTGCGGAACACAATCTATTCGGAAATACGAGTATGTACACAGTTAGTTCTACCTTCGTGTAAAAGTGCTAAGGTTGGGAGGTTTTAAGAAATTATTTTACTAAGTACCTTTTAAAAGCTAACCATGTGATTAGGTTTCATTTGATGATGGTTTCACGTGGTATAGAGCCTACAAACAGTAGCCTTAGGTTTCTTGCTCGCAAAGTGGGATTAGTTCCCGCTCGTATCTCTCTAATCTTTGATTACCACAGAAACTCACAAACTTCACATCTTTATAATATTAGCATAGATAATAATGCAAGAGTGTAAATGTTAATATACTTACACAGCATGGGTAAGTTTTTATGAAAATTATTATTAGAAATGTTGTCACATTGAAATACAACGATAAAGAGTGTTTAATCCAGTGAAAAGTTAATAGTTATATCGATAGAAGCGCCGCATTTTTGTAAAGTTTTTTTACATTTAAGTCATTATATTTCAGGACATATTAACGGGGTGATCGTTTACAAGGAAGTGCCGACTCTCTTTGGGAGTATTATTTCATGTTCCCCAGAACTGCATTGTTTAAAACCAGGAGATAAAGAGATGTTTGTCATATCATTTTGTAACTCCAATCAAGGACCATTCTTTGAAGAAATAAACTTTTCAATAAAGGACACTGCTGTTGTTTTAAAACTGTATCTAAAGTAAGCAACAATTGTCTTTTATTTCATATTGATTATTTTAGTAAATATCTACTATTTTACACTTAGTCAAAGTAAGCCTTTCAGTTGTTTTAACATTGATACAAAACATTACGATTGTAATTAACTTCACTGATTTATTTCTCCGTGTATATATGCTCACGTGGAATATAATAGGTGGGTAAAAATCAATAAAAAACATAAACGTGACTTGGGTAAGCCAGCCACAACTTAGTTATTTCATTATTTTAAATGCCGTTTAATTTTAGTCCCGTTCTATGGTCAGTTTTAGGCAGAGATATGTTTTTTTTATTATTCATACTTTTAAATCTTTTTACTTTTTATTTTTAAAACACGGATTTAATCAAATCAAAAAAAAAAAACTCTTGTAGTTTTAAGTATACATTTTAATATTACAGAGGGGAAGTTATCTATCCATCGCTGAGGTTTAGTGTTCCGTGTCTGGATTTTGGAAAAGTTAGCGTAGGTACGACCCTCATTTCTACTTTCTGTTTATAAACTGTATTTACATAATTCATGGCTTAATTAATTTTAACTAGATTATCATTCATTATAGCTTAATTATTTTTTAACAGGAGTACCGGCAACACTTGAAGTGGATGTTATTAATGAATCCGTGGTCAGCATTGTAGGGTCTGTTAAAATTTCATCAGACGGTCCCGAAATAAGTAGCATTACACTGCAGGATTATGCTGTCGCAGAAAGTCCTAAGCCGAAAGTTCCTCAGTGGCCTAGAGAATTCAATGTGGAGCCGTGCAAGGTCGACATAGAGCCGCAGTCAAGGATTACAATAAAGGTAGTCAGACTATATTGATATTTCTCTTCAGCTGCCATCGAAATTTCATCTTAGTTGAGGAGGAGGAAAAACGATCGTTGTATAAAACCAGTTTCGAACAAAGACTTTTTCTTTTTACGAAACCACGGTTACGTACAAGGAATTTATTTATTTAATTAATTTTAGGATTTTCTTATGGATCCTTCGTGTAACAGGGAAAACTCCTCTTCGTGTGGAGACAATTTTTTTTTGTTTTTAATATAGCGTGGATATATTATTCTGCACTAATGTGACTTACTAAAGCTTGCCCTATGCCGGAAGGGTAGCTGACAAATGATAAATTTAATCTAATCAATTCATCTCAACCGTATACAAAAATAAGTTTTATGTTGCTATTTTAGGCCCGGACCTGGTAGTGTTTATTGATAAAATATATTTAGCTTTTCTTAGTGTATTATTGATTGCAAAAATCGAGATTGCGAACGTTGTTAAACGAAAGTGTCATTGCGTCGGTTCAAAGTTACGTCGGCGGATTTGCTTCTATCGTCAGCGGTTTCAAGCTATATTTTACGGACTTTAAGCTGAGCTTGTACTATTGAAACTAGATTGGCTGATAGAAAACTGATTTTGGTTTTTCGTAAATATGTACATATTACACCTAAAAAAACCCAAACTCCGAAATAAATATTTGTAGATCATACAAACATTTGGCCCGATCCAGGAATCGAACCCGAGCCCTCAGTACAGCAGTCGCATAGGCTACTACTGCACAGTCAGAGTGTTGTTGTGAGCTGTATTTATACGTCTTCGTAACTATAATAAAGAATATATCTTTTATATATTAGCTTTCATATATTATTTTATCAAACAGGATTGTAAACAATTTACATAACTCTTTAAACCAGACTGTTTTTTACGAAACCTATTCGTAAAAAACAGTCTGGTTCGAAACTGGTTTCCTTCTAAGATCATTTTTCTCCGTCTCGACTGGTTACCACCAGTGCAGCAACAGTCAACTACGGAAATCAAAGAATTATGTAAATTGTTTACAATCCTGTTTGATAAAATAATATATGAAAGCTAATGCTAAAAGCTAATATATAAAAGATATATTCTTTTTAATATTTAGACAATATGTGGTTATAATAAAACTCAAAAAAAATATTAAAGCATTTTGCTGAGTCTTAAGTCTGAGTCTTTTGTTTCAACAGGTGACGCTGATAGCCAATTTGATCAGAGCCAATCAGACGTCGCTGGAATTGGAATTAGAAAAATCCGATAGTCCTCCGATAATTCTTCCTGTTATCTACAATGCTTTGGTTCCCGAAATTACTATTGCTCCAGATATTAAAATGCGAGCTTGTTTTTTGGACTTTGCATACAAAGCTGACGTTGTTGTTACCTCTAACGAATTCAGAGGATATTTTACATTGGAAGAAGAGGAGGTACAAAACACAATTAATTGGACAATTGGACTGAAAAAATAATGTATAAAGTTTTTTTGTATAATTACGATTTTTGTGTATGTAATGATGTCCAGGATTCCTAAAATATATTTTTTTTGTAGCGGCAGTTGATTGCTGTACACTGTGTTTTTAAAAACTTATTTCTACGTACTAGGAATGTGCACGTATATAGTAGGTACAAGTTATTATGGTTTACATAAAATCTGCATTGAATAAGGACATATAAAATAAACGACAAGAATGAAAAAAGAAAAGAAATTGTCTGACGTATCGACCAGGATATGAACTAAATGATAAGAATAAAAAAAAAGAAATCGTCTGACGTATCGGCCAGGTTTAAAACTTAGTGCAGCAAAAACGGCTGCTGACTAAAATAATATATGAATATATGGATTGAAAAGACTGTGATCTTTAACGTAAACTGTAAAAAATATGCTAGGGGTCCTGCTTACCACTCACTGCTTTGTATGAAATATCTGTAACAATATAATAAAGATGATTTTTCGATTATTTTTTATATCGGTAATATTTTGAGATGCTTGTGTGATGAAGAACTTTGGTCTTAATAAAATCACGTTACTGCTGAAACTTCCAGGAACGCTTCATACTCGTATCTCTTAATATTAAATTTCGTCAAATAAAATTTTAACAGCTTACATTTGTTCATTGATATTTTAGGAAGAAGGTTGTTTAGTAGTGAACACTCCGATACGAGAGGGTTACATAGAACCAAACAGTACAATTTGTTTGCCTGTTAGCATTCAAACAAGTGTTCTGGGGATGCAGGAGTATTCAATGAGGTATGTTGTGTCAAATCAGTTTTAACTGATAACTGCCAGTAATAGTAATAAATGCAATAGATGTCAAGTTTAAAAACCTGCAAATAATTTTGATGCGAATTGGAACACTTTTCCGTGTGAAACCCTATTCAGCCCGTGGGTTTCCTAAGAGCCGACTGAGTGAGCAAACTATGCAGGACAACAGCACTGCAAAGAGAAGGAAAACTAGGCACTACCGCTTACCAACCCGTTTGGCCAGAGGGCAAAGTAGGTCAAAACCTCTTTTCTAAGGAGAGGTATAAGTCCCACAGTAGACTGTTAAAGACTGTTGATGATGATGATATACTGGGACTTTTCACTGGGAACCCAGCTTAACTAATCGCGTTCCCGTTGTTGCTAATTTAACACCTTTGTTACTTACAGGTTGAACCTGTTCGGGTTGTCTAAGCCTATCGAGATATGCCATATCAGTGGATGTGGTGTTCGCCCAATTGTAACCTGCACTCCAATGGCCTTGCACTGGGGGCAAGTAAAACTGCTAACCACGGCTCAGAAATGTTTGACACTTTGCAACGATTCCCCAGTGGTTGTGCCTTATAAAGCAAGCTTGGTAAGCGTTTGGTTTTTGGTAACAATGCTTTTATTAAAGAAACTTTTAAACTACCGTATTCCATAATATTGTGTAACTATGTTTATGGGAATAAACGCGATCACGATTGATTTTACTTTTGAATTGCCTGACGTTTTAAACAGGATGCCAAGGCCGTGGTCACAGGCTGACTGACGACGTGCAAATGTTGATTCCCGTAAACATAATTATATCGTTATTATGAGGGGGGAGGGTTTGTGGCTAAATGGGAACCCAGTAAATTAGCACATTGCAACGTCAAGCAATTCTAGGCATGTCTGTCTTCTTAACACATTGAGACCCCTCCGTGAATCAAAGAGCACATAAAGTCGCCGGTATTGGTTGCTGTAAGAACATCTGTGGCAATCAAGCGTGTGGTAGTTAGAGCACTAGAAAGTCTGGCATAGTCTATTTACACTTTGATGTAGCCTAATACTTGTGTTTTGGAGGTCTGATGGCACTCCACGTAAAAAATTGAAGTTCAGCTGTGTCGTAGTAAACTGAAAGGCGATCCCAATCTAGTTTTGGCAAAGGCTTAGAGAATCAGAATGAGGATGTGCTGATATATTATCTCACATGGTTAAAGAAACAAAATAATTGTAGCTCGCTATAACAATAGTGTACAAGTGCTAAAAGTATGATGTTTGAAATGTTTTAGCTATATAAAGACGGAAGATGGCAAATAACACCTTCCGAGGGAGTGATTGAACCCGAATCGGAGACAGATTTAATATTAACTTTATATTTAATTGATGCTAATACTTATACAAACAAAGCTGTTATACAATTAGAGAAAGTGAAGGACATTGTAAGTATTATGTGTAGATTTTTAGAACTCACTTCACTAACTATTGAAAAATCCTTATAATGCATCCGCATGTCGACTTAGGATTATTGACTGAAACTAATAAGCAAATCCGTCCGTTATATTGTTCTTTCTGTTCTCATAGTATCTGTTGTTGATTTTAATAGCGTCTATTTTTTGTCTTAACTATGAGCCTATATGTAGTTTGGTTTTAGTTCCATTCGTAAACAAATTGTATACAATTGCACACAAATTATCTTTGAAACCTCTGCTATCGTTATCTACTCGTACATGCTATTGAGGTAGTGATTAAGCCCATGGGAACATTAAAACTGTTTTTACATACAGTTTAGGTTAATTTTTTTATCAATAAAATATAACAATAAATTAAATTATTAAAATTCTTTATCCGTTCCATCCATTTTCTTCTCTAAACTAAGTTAATAAGCTTTATATTTTAGGTTTAATTAGTAGAATTTGAATGGATCATTTACCGGTTTGCGATAAAACTTCTATGATAAATTCCAGTTGGTTCCTTTATCTGCTACTGGTGTCGGAACGAGCATATTGGTAGGAGATCTACGAGACAGGGTTGAGCTCGGTCGTCATTTTACCAAGATACCTTTGAATTTTAAAGTGATTATGGAAAACCGTGGTACTAGGATACATGCCCTCGAATGGAGTGAACACTATAAAGCGCCTAAAACTAAACAACCAACTTCGTACGTACTATATTATATATATATATATATATATAGACGCTTTATAAGTAATAGCAATACTAATACCTACAATGACGTAGTGACATGAACCATTTTATACAGACAGACCGTAGACAGACCTGCTAAAAGTTAAAAAAATGAACAATATAATTTATGTTTTGTATTCCTAGTGAATATGGTTTCCATTTACTTGGAAAGGTACTTACTTCATTTAGGTAAGGTAAGGTAGGGTAATAGTTTTCTTAATGGTTTTAAACCATCGCGGTTTAAAGTACGGCAAGGCAAAAAGTAGTTAGAATTAAATTTTCTTTCTAATTATTAGTTTAGATTTTGCGTTCCCGTAAATCCTTCTAATTTAAAATAGTATACATCTGTTCTAGAGGGTTTTTTAATTTAGAACCCCGAGTATTTAAAATGGCTGCAGGAGAACAATTGGATTTAATGATTACTGGAACATCAAATAAAGTCACAACAGTTAAAGAAATGTGGTATCTGGTAGGAAGTGTCGAGGGCATAAATAAAAAAGAACTGTTATTGGCGTGTCAAGTTGTAGCAGAATTTGTTGATCCAAAGGTAGAAGTGTCTTCTACTTTGATGGATTTCAGATATGATTACGGCCCTTATAGTGAACATTACAAACTCACAGGTATTTATATTATTTTGTAGCACAGTAACAATAATTATCTCCGTGTAGTGAAGGATTAAGAATACGGAGTGTCACCGCTCCTATTCATCCCGTGGGTATCGTAAGAGTCGACTAAGAGAGCAAACTACGCGGGACAACAGCACTGTAAAAAGAAGGAAAACTTGAAACAAACCCTATACCAACCGGTCTGGCCAGTGTGGTATAGTAGGTCAAAACTACTAGAGGCTGTTGATGAACAATAATAATACGTGTCAGGATCTGTGTCTAGGTTATGTTGGGAGCTTCGCTAACCTCCCTGTTAACAATACAGGTAATTTTGTGATAATTACACGGACTCTCCTCTTAAAATAATCTACATTTCTAAATGGCAATTAGAATAGCATATAGAAATGACCCATCATTCACTCTCAGCAACTTCCGAGGATAAATTACTTCGAAGAATTGTCTAGAACAGGGTACCTGAATCTGTATGACGTCTTGTTTTAATTTTTATAAATTATGAGGATAACATAACAGGATAACTACAACAGCAGGTTTCGACTTACTAATTAATTGCATGCAAGTATAATATGACGGTTTAAGAGGAATCCAGTTGGTGTGGGTGTCTTTGAGTTCTGAAATACAAGGCTTTATTAGTTTAGGCTGAATTCCACTAAATACAGATTTAAGAAACTACCATCCTTCCATTTTTTTATTTCTTAAATTAAATAAAAAATTAAAAAAGAAAGGGAAATGCACAGACGTTTCATACATTTTTACCCTCTTTTGATAATATCTAGACGGCACTAAATTTCGTAATATTAATAGTACCTACAGCACCGGTTCGTCAGCTTTTCAGCCGCTATGAATTAAGTTTTTTTTTGAGTTGGTAGAGAAGTTGGTTTGAATTCTTTACTCTACAAGTATTTTTGTAATCTCGACAGATATCGTGACGATTAAAAATGTATCCAAACTACCACTGGACCTGGATATAAGCACAAAACCACCATTTGCTATAATACAGAGACACGACACGTACATAGTACCGCCCGAAGAAGAAAACATGTGTTGTTGTATAAGATACAGAGAGTCTGATATAGATTTAGAAAAGCTTTTGTTAAGCCTCGGGCCTCATCAATCGCGTGTATTTATTGACTACTTTACTTCTAAACCAGTTGAACCACAACGAAGAGGTTCCCTAAACTTTTTTCGAGACATCAATAAGATGAAACTAGCATTCAATCTCACTCACACAGTAGAACAGCGCTTGGAAGATCGAGACGTTATGAAACTACAGATACTGTTTGATACTACTAAACATGCCAGTTTAAAATCCAAGGTGTTTAGTGACGTATTGAGAATAAAATTTAAAGGACACAAGAACAAGGCAAGTAATAGACAAGCGTTACCATCTTTACATCTTTATTTTTACGTTTTCTATAATTAAAAGCATATATTATTGATATCGACGATTCACAAGAATTAAAACTCTCCTAATTTTTGTGAGTCGCTTAAAACTAAAATTGATATGAATATTAAAAATAGAACTATATTTTTAGGATGCGATTAAACTAATCGGACACATCAACTATCCCAATTTGTTGATATTGTCACCGCGAGTCGATTTTCAATGTCTTCTGAATGGAAGTGTAGAAAGCAGAACAATAAAAATACAAAACATTACGCCACTTCTCGTTTGCTACAGATTTCAGTGGAAGAAATGTTGTGTTACTGATATACCGATGGTAAGAATTATGCACTTCTTACTGTTTTCTAATGCCTGTCTACCGCATAAAGTCTTCCTTCTTCGCTGTTTTGCTATAATTAGAAACTGATAACACTATATGTAATACACACTTCATAAATAAGTCCGATTTGAGAAGAGGACCATTGTCATTGTCCACATCTAACACTTACGACGACGACAAAGAATGTTTCAACAATTTTATGAAAAAAAAACATTTATAGTTTATACTAGCTGACCCGCGCAACTTCGTCTGCGTCTCTCAATAGTAATAAATTTTCTCCGTTTTTGAAACATTCTTCATTGGTGCTCCGCTCCTATTGGTCTTAGCGTGATGATATATAGCCTATAGCCTTCCTCGATAAATGGACTATCTAACACTGAAAGAATTTTTCAAGTTCCTGAGATTAGCGCGTTCAAACAAACAAACAAACTCTTCAGCTTTATAATATTAGTATAGATTATTATGTTACTTGTAATATAATTGATTGGTATGCTTAAGAGTCATTTGGTCATCAAACACTAGTTAAATTTAATAATGTCGTTAGTTTGGAAATATTTCAAACTTAGGATCAGAACTAACAGAATCTTAGAAAAATCCAGCAACTCCGAAAAATTCTATCCAATGTTGTGCCGAGTTGTAAGGCATTTGGATACATCATTTCTTGATTATTATAGAATTCTCTTTACTGGTGCTTAGAAAAATTATACTGTATCAAGTTTACAAATGAAATCATTTGGTATTTACATTTCATGAAGTTTAAATTTGTATTCTTTTTTTTTATTCAGGTTGAATATCCTAACAAGGGGCACACAAGTGACACAGAGTACAAATCACTGACTACTGATGATACTACAAGTAAGACAAGCTTCCTATAATATCTAACTACAGAGCAAATATTTTTATCGCATAAAGGCATTGTTATATTTAGTACATGAGCCAGGTCTAAAGTTCATTATATTTTTCTTCAGTCATAACTAGTAAATGCTTAAATATTAATTAATACAAATCTGAAGTATTCCGTTGTACAGCAATAGCATTCCAAGTATTTAGCAAAAAAAAACATTTTGTACAGATTGAAAACTTGTTAACCTGAGTCTACACAAGAGACGATTTCAAATATTTTTTAAAATTTTATGAAATAAAGATATTTGAGTTCAGGAATTATACTTTGTTATAAATATTCTCGGTGTTTATTTGCATAAGCACTAAACATATACCTGAAATGTTTTGCATAAATAACGTTCATTTTATGCACAATAACAAATTAGAATAAATCTCTCCTTCATAAAGATTTGACTGTCGTGTAAGCAAAATCTTTTCACTCGTCTTTAATATGCAGTAAACACGATTTTCTCATCGTCTGTCAACAAAGAACAACAACTTTTTTCGTCAACTGAATTAATATATTTATTTTATTACAGCCAGCGGGTTACACGAAATACATTTGAGAGAACCTAATGAGGATTGTGGTATTCGTAAAGAAATATGTCGAATTCAAAATTTTTCTTATATTCAAACGACCACTTCTCCACAAGAATTTCATCCAGAGCTAAATCAGAGTCCGGTGGAGTTTGCTGTACCTAGTCTCGAATATATAAAAAGGCGTACGATGATAAAAGTAACACCTATGATAAACACTGATTGTGATACCAAATTTGAATGGATGCATAAGTTTTCGAAAAAAGTTAAAGTTTCCAGGACCGACATCAACGGAGTATTATATTTGGTGCCGCATCGTGGACTGCTTAAGCCGGGCGAAATTCAGTATGTTAATGTGATGTTCCAACCCAAACCAAACATAAACGTGCGAGCCACTCTCGAATGCGAAGTACTAGGAGGGCCTCCTGAGACCGTACTAGTAACTGGACGAAGTTCTGATTTAAGATATAAAATTAACACTCACAATTTAAATTTTAAAATAAGGTCTTTTCACGAAAATGCCATCGAAGAGTTGTTGATAACTAATATAGCTCAGTTACCTTTTGAATATAAAACTTACTTGGCTCCAGTTATTTGTAAAAATGAACTTGAAGGTTATATCCTCGAATTATTACCCCCGAATAAGGTGTTAGAACCTGATGAAGAAGCTGCGGTACAAGTTGTCGTGCAGCCAGGAATACTTGGGCATTTTCAAAGAGTGTTCTTGTTGGAAATCGGTCACCTTCCTCACATACCCATTAAGGTGTATGGTTGGGGAGTTATCCCTCAAGTATACATAACTCTACCTAGACAAGAAGAAATTCCTCCGGTAAGTTAAAATTGTTGTTTAGATTCTATTTCTGACATAGTTGTTAGAATAATTAGGAAACCATGAGTTAAGTACGTAACGTATCCTTGTTTGGAAATCTCCAACTCTCATGTCCTATTGTGTAATTCAAGCCGAAACAGTCTGTTTCGAAATTGTTGTTATTTATTTAGTTAAAACATTGCTTGAAATAGTCTGAACTCTGATGGCATTTAGCCAGATGCTCTGATGCCATGATCTTAACAATATAATGTCAAATAGATTCTTTACTATATTATTGCAGTTGAAACCTGAGATTGGATACCAAGCTATTCAGACATTGACATCTTCGTATTTGGAAGCGGTAAATGAAATATTTGCAAAACACAAAACTGAACATACGAATTCTCCTTTGACTGATATATGTTTTGAGGATCCCGATTTGCAATATAACTGGCATATTTGCTCATCATGGGTATTCAACTTACTAGTTCCTTATTATTTGGTTTATTATTATTTGTATACTAGATATTGAACCATGTTCCTGATTGTAAATGTCTGGAGCCGTGCATGAACAAGAAAGGAAAACCGTTTCTCTTCTAAGGCTACAATATATTTATAATTATATCTTTACATATACAATAACGTACGCTATAGAGCGCGGGATTCAGAGACATCAGTATAATCAGCCTCGGATCTAGGGAGACAAACCGGGACACCCGCCCCGGGCGACAGTTTCAAGGGGCGCCAAAATCTATATCTATAATATAGTAATAAAACAATCTATAATACGGTTTAAAATAAAACAATACAATAAATTGTTACGAATAATGCCAACTATCATAATATATTTATCTAAAGTATAAATATATATAATATAAATACAGTTATTTACCTCATACGCTGGAGAGAGGGGGTGCTATTAATTAGGTTCTGTTCTCTGGTTCTGGTTCGAAAAAATCATAGATCCGGGGCTGAGTATAAATAATACATATTAATCATAAAGCGGCGATAGCCAAGTGGTTAAGGCATTAGACTTACGAGGTCGTGGGTTCGAATCCTGACCAGTACACTACCGACGTGAACCCACTCTTAACACAAGTAAGTTAGCATTGCTGGAGGGGTTAACGGGAATACTAGTAATATCGGTTGCTAGTAAAGTAAACCTTTGGAAAAAAATATATATGCAAATACGAAAATAGAAGTATCGCCTGCAATGTAATCATAACCTCATTTTTTTTAAATGCATTCGAAAAACTAGAGGGTCCTTTACTAGAAATATTTTTTTAGTTCTTAGTATATGTGGACCATATTCTATTGTATTGAGATGTACACGAATTCATTACAATCAACTACGAGTATGTTCAATGTTTTCAGGACGGTTACCCTTCAATCATTGATGTAGAATTGGCAATTGAAAGGTTACTGGTCGTTAATCATGTGAAGGAACGACCTGAGCTATTAACTGTATACGCTACTACAAATAAATCAGGTCCTATTCAAGGATTCCATACTGTACCATACATTATAGACTATGGGGTTGTGATTACGGGAAGCACGGTTAGTTAATGTTTAAATTAATATTGTTTAAATAACAGAATTTTTAAATCTTTAAAACAATAATTTGTTATTTTATGTGTTATGTTGTAGATAAGGCGATTTCTTTTGTTATTTTATTTTTTTATTATTCTTGTGTACGTTTTCTTTTCAATTTTTGCTTTGTGCAATTATAATCCGGGATGTTTGACTCGATATCTGTAGCCCCAAGGTATCAAAGATAGGTTATGCAAATCGTTAGGCAAGGGAAGCAACATAACAATGTGTTACCTAATTTTTTATGTTGGTCAAAATAATGTACTTCATTTGTTTCATTTCAACAGGTACAATGTATAGCCGAAATAGTGAATTACGGACCGATTGCAACTAAACTTCATTTTTCGAAAGGAACGCAAATTCCGAATTGGTTGAGTATGAAATTATGTGGCAAACTAAACCCAGGTGAGACGGGTAAACTGGAAGTGACATTCTCTCCTACGTCCTTCGACTTCACTGAACTGGAACAGAATGTGGAAACTTCTCTTCACTTGGAGGTATTTATTTACATTCACCAAATTTCGTAATTATACTATCAAGACGAGTTTTAGAGTTCGAGTATCATTTTTAATTTCATGTTACCATCATGTTAGCCTACCGTTCGTTGGCACTGAGATAGTTTACACGACTTACCTGTGCCCTCAATCGACTATTACCCTACTAGGTATTTTGGCTTTGCCGGATTGATATCTACAAATACCAGGTCTAGTATAGTGTATCCACTCCTCCGGAATGAATTCATAGACATTAAAACCGGAAGGTATTACTCTCGCAGTTCCGCCGCTAAACCACTGATTTTCAAAACAAGAACATTTTCTAGCCACTTATAAGGAATCGGTCTGGCCAGTGAGTTTGATTCTGAACTAGATAATATTGACTTAATCAGATAATCTTTTCATGCAACACACAAAAGGATTATCTTATCTATCCTCAACTTATAAATAATACTTATATTAATAACAACACATTTTAAACAAACTCTTTATGCAGGTACCCTACGGCGTGTCGATACCGATTCATCTTAAAGCCCTTTGTGCAGTACCTTACTTAATGTCAAATGTAAAATCCATTGATTTTGGATCCGTGCGATGTGGTGATAAAATTGTTTGTTCTATTCCTTTAAAAAATGTGTACGTACAGTTTTAGTAATATTTTATTTTTGAAAATTATTTGTGCTTGAATGCTCATTATTCTTCAATACTCAACATTTTTTTAAAGTATGTTAAGTCAATTTGTATAATATATTTTTTGTAGTTGTTTTGTTAATATTACCCGAGTATAATGATAAAATACGTAAAAAAATGGCTATTTTTTTTAAATGATAACCGGCCCTAAATTGTGTTTTTGTAACATAAAGTTTAAACATGTTTATTACATTTGTTTTCTACACAACATTCTGACGTAATAAAGGGTCACTGCCTAAATTTTGAAATTATGCTTGTTATTAAAAAAGCTTAAAGAACTGGAGAGAAGAGCAAAAAAAGTTATAAATGGGAAGGATCTTTTTAAACTTAATAAACCATACTGTTATAAATGTCATACCTTGTTACGATCAATTCATGACAGTCCACAATTGTTTTGGAAAATGTAATATGTTTAAAAATCAATTTATTTGGTTCTAGAGGTAAACCAACATGTATTTGGTATGTAACTCTAAGATTAAAAGCGCATGGACCGTCTCCAATGGTAGTAATGGATAGTTCTGGAAAATACGAACCTGGAGAAGGAGGTTGGTTAAGTGTTGCCTTCAAGCCGACGATGGAGGTTTGTAATGCTAATCTTTCTGATGTTTACATAACATGATGAAGTAAAAGATTATGGTATTAATACCCAATATTCGTTAAACAGATGGTGTATGAAGGTTTACTGATATTTAGATTTCATATGAATCCGAATAGAATGACGATACCCGTTACTGGACAAGGCATTGTACCAAACGTACATGTTATTGGACCAAACGTGGTTTTCCCGCCTACGCTACCCTGGGCCGAAACTACATATTACTATTTTGGATTGACAAACCCGTGCCCTTTTCCTATAGAATTGATAATAGCTCATAGTGATGAGTAAGTTCGAAGTGATTCTTATTACAAATACACATTTACACAGAATTAGCAGAACACAAAAAAAAGGAAGAATTAATGTATTTTTTAGTAACCCTGGACGGTTACATTACTTTTTTAGTTTTAGGTCTAATTTGAAAACGGAACATTAGTCGAGTCATTTTTTCATTCGTTTGTTTTAATTTTTCATTCATACATATCTATCGACTGCTTCAAAGTTAATTTTCTGTTTTCGTAAAGTTCGTAAATTTCATTTAAAAAACATTGTATTGCAGTTTTGTGGGGCTTTTGTGTTTTCTCTCAAATTGATCAGTTACGAGCATCAAAGTATGCCTGATTTAATGGTATCAGAAATCATTAGGACAAATGAAATGAGAAGAAATTGTCAATCCTACAGATCGATTACTACAAGACTTCGTCGATTGTTATCAACGATTCATCGTAGCATCCAACAGTACAGAGTGATGAATTCTTTAGTGAGGAGGAGAGGACAAGGCAACAAAAGGTGTACGTCAAGCAGAGATGACCGTTTTCTACAACTTCAAGTTCGTCGGAACACGAGACGAACGGTGGTACAGACCTGAAATGTATTGGAGGAGATTCGAGCATAAAAAGTGAGTGAGCGGGCAGTTCGCAGAAGATTCAAAGAAGCCGGTATAGGCTCATTTGTGCCCACCAAAGCAACAAAACTTGAGAGACACCACCGCACAAACCGACTATACTTTGCTCGTGAACATCGTCATTGGGACTGCGACGAGTGGAGTCAGGTTCTCTTCATTGAATGCAGAATTCTGGTAAATCAGATTGATGGTAGGCAGCGAGTATGGAGACGCAAAGGAGAGCGTTGTCTAAAGTCTAATTTTGAAAATACAGTGGCATATGGCGGCGGCACAATTATGGTCTGGGAAGGGATATGTTTAGGAGCTCGCACGGTGTTGGTGGTACTCGACGGCGGGAATCGGTATATCAGGGAGATTTTAGAAGATCATGTCGTGCCATTTGCCTCTTATATTCGCAACGACTTCATTCTAATATAGGATAATGCTCCTGCTCACAGTACTCGCTCAGTACAGGCATACCTAAACCATGTTGGTGTAACGGTGATGGAGTGGCCAGCTTGGTCCCCCCATTCATGGAATCTAATTGAACACGTTTGGGACTTGCTAAAGAGGACTGTCAAATCAAGAATGCCACCTTCCAACAATCCGGGCAAGTTGCGAAACTCATTACTTGAAGAATGGCAAAAGTTGCCCCAAGAAATCATTGACAACATCATCCGCAGCATGCCCAGATAGATGGCAACCATAATCAGAGGATAGGGGGGGGGGGGGGGGGTTTAAACTACTCCATATTATACATACATTTATTAAATTTTTAAGTGTCTTTGCTTTTTCTTCTTTAAGGTGTTGCAAATTAATGTCAGTACATATCAATTTAATTGTTGTTTCATGTTTAATTATTATTTGTTTAAAAATAAAATTAACTATTTTAGATGGTAAGTGTATCATGGATTTACATCCAATAGGTACTCGTTCACATTATCTAGTCATCTCTTATCTACAAAACTATTAAGGGTGTTTAGAAATACTTGGATATATGTATATTGCTCCTTGGGAAAAAACTTAAGGAGCAGTAGGGTGACGATTTATTAATTAAAAACAGTTAATAACAACTGGTGACGGCCACCCTTAAGTATGGTCAGCTGTATATACAATATTAGAAATATTACCCTAATTGGTTCAGAAATAGATTTTGGACTTAATTAAGTTACATTTGGGGACTAAATTAAATCCAATAATGTTTTTGTTTTAATCCAAATGACGACACACATTAGCATAATATCACTAAATATACTAGATAATTACTAAAAAGAAACAGACGCAAACAGTGAGACCGACAGACAAATTATATACATTTCAGGAAGTGGAAAGAAGAAGAGGATATATATAACTTACTGTACAAGTATTACAACAAGCCGGAAGAGATGTTAGTGCCAGCAATGAAACCAGGAACGGGATATCCACCAGAAGTTGTGAATTTTTATCAAAATTTCTATGCGCGAGTTAAAAAGTAAGTGAAAAAAATCAGTACCCAACGCGGACGCTGACTTTTGTTTTGTATTGATACTATGTATCTTCTACTGGTTAGGTACGCAGTGTAATGTTATGTTTTAAGGGATATGATATAGTTTAAAAAGATTTTTTTATTTGCATACATAATGCACTTTTGGTGCACTGGCCGACTTAATGCCTAAGGCATTCTCTACTAGTCAACGTTTGTTTGAGGCAGAGAAAACAGGAAGTAGGTTCTTTTTGGTTAAAGTTTGTTTGTATTAACAATATATATTGCAATAATTAAATTTGTGAAAATATTATCATAAAAAAAGCATTGTCCAAATATTTGGCGGAAACTATTTTAAGTTCCATTATGTAAAATATTCAATACCATTTTCAGAAGAAATTCTTTAATCACATATCTAAAGTTAGAGAATATTATTATTATCTAAAGTTTCCTCTAAACAGTCGGGCAATGCATAAATGATTTGGTTTCTGTTCAGCTGTTGTACCCTCGCTAGAATAAATTAACCTAATTATAATGCTTTTCGATCGATAGGAACATCAGCTATAATTGCACATTGATAAAATTATATAAAGAAATCTCATTTTTTAGGCTGAAAGAAGAAGAGGAGCTGCTGAGTGCAAAATCAACTACAGCAAAGTCACATGCAGCTTCAGGGAAGTATGTATATTTATTTATATATGTGTATGTTTACACGGAGCAAATACAAAGAGGAGATAGAGGGCATAAGCAACTGTGCACTGTGATTCTAAGTAGGTCCTGACGTCATCACAGTGGACGTGGCTTAAAATTAGCACACTCACCGTCCGTACTGTGCGCTTGTGTCGCAAAATCGCAAATCGTTATATTTTCGTGGTATTAAGAAGAAAAGGGTGAAATTTTGTATTTTATCGTGTTAAAACATTTTCAGACAGGCGTTTTGTTGCTATAGATGGCATCACATTTATTTTTTAAGTAATTTTACACTTATTTTAATAAAAAAGTTCTGAAAAATCTCTTAGTGTTTTTTGAAATAAAGTTACTTCTATTCGTCACTAGATGACTAAACTTTGTGTAATTTAAACTAAAAATTTAAAGGTATGTAATTCTTAGTTTTAGTCAGATAATACTGAAATTTGTTCTGCATTCAGTCCTAAATAATTTTTAATCGCTAAAACAATCTATTTAAATTTTTAGTACACATTTTGCAGACTGTCATCTATCGTCAAATAGAAAAACATACATAAACTAAACAAAAAGACAGGCCCGAAATTGGAAACCAATGTTAATCTAATAAAGTACTTCTTATGTGAAAATGCAGGAAATTGTACTAAGGTGATTTTCACGAAACTTTTAAATTATAAGTGACATTCTTATTGCAAAAAAAAAACAATTAATAAAATTTGAATAATATTACTCAATAAACATTTCTCTGCCTCGTCTGACATTAGTGACAGTACAAAAGCTAATATTCTTAGATATATTTCTACTACCCCTACTCCCAACTATCCACCTCTCGTCTTTGATCAGTTGTCCGCTTGTGATGTTAGGAGGACCATTCTGGCGATCTCATCCAGCGCAGTGGGAAGTGACTGCATCAGCCGAAATATGATTATTCCTATCCTTGACGAAATTCTACTTATCCTATGCAATATCCTTAATCACTCCGTCACAAGCGGTGTTTTTCCATCTGCATGGAAAGATGCCCAAGTAATCCCTCTTCCAAAAAAAGCTAAACCATCTTCATTTTCTGACTATCGGCCCATATCTATTTTACCTTTCCTATCCAAAGTACTTGAACGCCTCATCCACTCTCAACTGACTAACTTCCTCTCCAAAAATTCTCTACTGAACCCCTTCCAATCCGGATTTCGCCCTGGCCATAGCACTACTTCTGCGCTGGTACACATTACAGACAGCATCAGACTAGGCATGGATAGTGGAAAGATCACAGTTCTCACCTTACTTGATTTTAGCAATGCCTTCAATACTGTGGATTTTCACATTCTGCTTGGCGTACTACGGTCTCTTAACATATCTCCAAGGACAATTGATTGGTTTCATAGTTACCTGTCTGGTCGCCGGCAACGGATTTGCATTGATGACTCCATGTCCTGTTGGTGCAGTATTTCTGCTGGTGTACCTAAGGGTGGCGTTCTATCTCCTTTACTCTTCGCTGTTTTTATAAACTCAATCTCTAATCAACTACGTTCCTTCTACCACCTTTATGCAGATGATTTACAAATATATACACAAGCTCCGATTAACATGTTATCGGATGCATTCAACATAATTATTGCTGACCTTCAACGCATTGGCGAGTGGAGTTATAACTATGGACTTATGATTAATCCTATGAAGACACAGGCGTGTGTTATTGGCAGCCCCAGGCTGATCTCAAAAGTTAACTGGACTCTACTGCCCCAAATTCAGTTCGGTGGCACAACTCTTGAGATAAGCACTGCTGTAAAAAATTTAGGGATCTACATGGACAAAACTTTATCATGGGGTTCACAGATGCAAGAGGTCAGTCGTAGGATATTTGCTTCAGCCGGTTCTCTTCGAAGACTACGCAAATTCCTTCCAACTGCAACTAGGGTTGCGCTTGCACAAGCACTTCTCCTCCCAATTCTCGACTATGCTGATGTCAGCTATCTAAATCTCACTGAAGCACAACTCGATAAGATTGAGCGACTACAAAATATGTGTATACGATTCGTATTTGGTTTACGAAAATACGATCACGTCTCTGAATTCCGTCAAATGCTCAAGTGGCTTCCAATTCGCTCTCGCCGGAATACTCATTTCCTTATTTTCCTTTACAACATTTTGTTTAATCCCAAAACCCCTTTCTACCTCAAAGAACGATTCAAGTTCCTTAATGACACACACGAAAAATGTCTGCGGTCATCCGTAAGTTTACAACTGGAGATGCCACTGCATTCCACCAAATTTTATGATCAATCCTTCACTGTTGAAGCTGTGCGCTTGTGGAATGCACTGCCGCTTAACATCAGGCAGGCGCAAACATTAAATAGATTCAAGAAAATGGTACAGGAATTTTATTCACCTTAATTGAGTCCATCACGCTTGAGGGTGTAACGAAACTGTTTCTCTTTTCTATATGTTTATTCATTTAAGAATGCTTATATATATATGTATGTGTATATGAATATTTGCTGGTATAGTATGTAGGTACTTATATATATGTAGGTTTATTTATTGTGATATGCATTGTAGATGTAAGTATAAAAATTGTAAATGTTTGTAGATAACATAATATGTGTAGTATATGTAATATGTATAGTAGATAATAATAAACTAATAGTAGGTTCACAAATGCAGATATTCAACTACTACTGTCTCTCTGCAACTTTTGATCCATCCTAAGGTTGCCTGGAAGAAACTGCATTTAGCAATAAGGCCGCCCTTTGTACACTCGATATTTGATCGCTGTGTTCCTTTCTTATAACTCTGTAATTTAGTGTGCAAATAAAGAGTTATCTATCTATCTATCTATGTTTAGCATTTCGTAAAAGTCTAACCAAGAAATGTTTATTTATGACTTATAATAATAACAATAATAAATTTATTTATTTTCAGACATTAGTCCATAAATATGTTAGTAACAGTAATCTTACAACTATGTTAGTTATACCCACGGGCAAATCTGTTAAACAACGCGTGTTAATTTACGGGGTGAGGGGATATAAAGTATACTTAACTACGGGTGTAAACATAACACTCTATTGCTCCGTAGTGGGGTGACAATAGGACAAAAAGATAAGCTGTTCATATAAATACAGATAAAAATGAGAATAAATAAGAGAACAAATTTTAATCGTTATTCGTAATTTACCACAAATGTTTTTATTCTCACACTAGCAATACCCAATAATCTCTCTTTATACCACATTTTATCCAAATCCGTCGAACCGTTTCAGCGTGAAAAATAACACATACACAGTACATAGCGTGGGATAAGTTAACGAGAACGAAACAACACATATACTTTCGATTTTATGATATTAGGGAGCTTAGTACGATTATAATATAAGTAACATTTTTGCAATAGGTGTAAGTATCAAGATGGTACAGAAATTTAATTTAAAAAAAACTCAACGGTACGAAAATTCTGAGTACGTCCCTTACATCCTACAGTTAGTGTGAGATAGGTAAACTAAATAGCAACATCGACACAGAACGATGAGAGTAGTTTTGCTATTATTTGGTAGATGACTCCTCTTTGTATTTGCTCCGTGTATGCTCATATATCAATATCATATATATCAATCAGTGTTAGTATATGCTCATTTATAATATATTTTACCATTTTCGTAAGGTGTATCGGATTTGTGATGACGTTAGAAGTCTAGTTTATGTTTGAAGCCTTTGACCTAAAACATTGCCTATGTTTTTAAGAGAACAAATTTTTATTTATCGATACTTAACGATCTTGCGATGACACAACGTACAACACAACTACAAAGCGAGACGATAAGTAACCAAATGTAATAGAGTCTGTGATCTTCAAAAGTAGCATTTAATTTTACTGAACCTAAAAGCCGACCCGGGGTAAAAATATTAACCGAGATCAGGTAACCACCTGTTCTCAGTTAATATTTTTACCCTATGTCATAGTTGAACATCAGCATAGTTTTCTCTTCACAGAAAAGCTAAAACCCCTAACAGTAAAGGAGGTGCGAAGACTCCTATTGCAGGCAAAGAGAGCAATATACCTCCAGTCAAATTTCGAACTGAAGGTGAAATAATTGCAGGTACTACTTACATATTATTATGTACATGCATACTCAAGCTTAAATTTAAGCACCTGTGTTTTTCTAAGATATTTTATTACAGAATATAGAAAGTTCAATGTTCAATGTCAAACGATGCATGGCTTGTATGAAAGATGACCTGCGCTGATGTCACACTAAATACATACAATTATTTCAGATGAGATGAAAATATTACGAGATGGGCGCATAGATCCTTTACGGGAATGTTTAAAGATATTCGATGAAGAAAAATTAGATTCAGATATCGATTTGCATTCTAAGGGATTTCTTTTATTTGTCCACGGTTCTCCATGTGAAGGTACAAACACATATTAACCTCTAGAAATAAGCTATGTTTATAAAAATGTTAATTTGGTTTGTGTACGCTTCAAACTTAAAAAGTTCTGTACCGATTGAACTCAAAGAAAATCAGCCAAATATCTATAGAAGTTGTACCTGACTATTATTTTCTGCGGACAGAAACGAATTATAGTGGGATTAGATTGTTTTCATGTAGTGAACACCATCCTGTTTGAAAATAACATAACATAAGTATAGATACTAAAAATACAATTTACGTTAGGATAAAAAAATAGGTCGATTTAAAGGCAGATAAAGTCCAAGTACAAGTAGTTTTTAACGATCTTGTTTCTATTTACTTACGATACTACGGTATAGAACAGATAACGCCAATAAAAACCTAAGGGAATAAAAAAGAAATATTTTATTCGTTATCCTCTCATATTTCGTAAACGAAAGATTAACATTTTTGGCATTATTAACATTGAACGTTCCTTTGTACGCATTTGTTATGGTATGGAGGGTAGAGGCAAGGAGAACCATCTCTGTGTAAAAGTGTCCGTCATGCGTTTAATTGGGGGAGCTACAGTAGCATAAGGATAATTTTTTGGTAGACTACGAAAATATTCAATAAGTTTTACAGACAATAAATAAACTTGTAATAACTTTCTTACAATAAAAGTATTGAGATGGTTCTCATTGCCTCTACCCTCCATAGCATTTGGACAAAAGCCTGATGTTTACTACAAACATATTTATTTTTATGACAAAAATCAACGAAATTAAAGAACCTCTAGTTGATTTCTTATTCACGTATTTGATTAATTGAATTACTGCTAATAACTAAGAAAAATTAGAATAATTATTGTAACTTTTGAAATCATTTTAGATGCGAAATGATACGTCAGTAGGTGCGTTCTGAATATTAACTTAATAATAGTTTCGAAGTTGTTCTTTTTCTTTCAAAGACTGTTAAGAATAACGTTTTTTTATATAATGTGGCATATGTAAGCAAGCTCAGGTACATTTGGCCGTAGTCCTTTTGACACGATGGTTTTTATCTACTTTTCAGATCATTTTTGTTCCTCATATCACGTGCGATCACCGTTTCGATTGAGATAATATGTAACTCAGTAAATAAGCTGTTTAATTATTACAGAAATGCAATGCCAAGAAATTGCATATTCCGCTGGCAAAACGCTCAACTTGCCTGTAATAAACGTAGACAATTGCATAGTTGAAGCGTTGCTCACTGAACCAACGACCGGAACAAAAGAACTCATTTTGGCTACTATAAACGAAGGGTACGAATCATCAAAACGAAGTATAAAAGGCGATAGTAGCTTTAATGGCGAGGAAGCTGAAGGTTCCGTTATTTTATTGTTTTTTGATTGTGTGACCCCTTAGTGGTGAAAACTAATGTCTCAACCTCAAGGGTTTAAAGGACAACGCCAAAACATTTTGAAATGTTATTGTTATCCTAAATATGTTAGATACTCCTTTCCCTTTTTTCTGTGTATGAGGTGTCCGTAAAACACGTCCAATGAGGGTGGCGCTGCGGTAGACTAGGATAAATATAAAAAAGCGCCAAAAGTATTTGGAATAACATAGTCTAATAAAATCACGTAAATAGTTGAGGTTTTGCATACTGGCATTTTAAGAGCAGTACACTTCACTGCGTCTACAACAACTGTGTTCATATCGTAGTTTTTTGTACACCAGCGACCGCTTTTTCAGTATACAGCTGGACACCTTTTCAACTATCCCCCATATGAGATGGTTCTGCTTGCCTCTACACTATACATGTTAGCTATAATGTTTGACAGCACCACACAATTAAAAACGTTATCGCCTAAACTATGGTTATAACATAGAAGAAAGCCGATCAACTGTAAATGGTCGGCCGTGTGATTTGGCACCGAATGTTTTATTAATCACCTTTAAAAAAACATTGTAACAAGGTATTGGAAATAAAATCAGGATATTTTATTATTAATTGTTTCTTAATTAATGAGAACTTAGCTAAATTAGAAAGTTAATAATTCAGTTTCATATATTTAGATATTTTCGTTTATCTATAGTCAGAAATTTACACCGCACCAATTGTTAGGCTTAAACGAGAATTTTGATGATTTGCAAGTCAGTCAGACACCCCCAACATTGAGGAACTTTAATTGTTTTTTTCACATAAACTATTGAACTAAGAAATCACGTACAGAACAATTTATTTTTATAGGGTTTTTCGATGGGATGTGAGAGAGTTTCGTAATTACTCGAAATGGCTAGTATTAATATATCCTGAAATGCTTTAGGTTCGAAAACTTGCTCGCGCTCCCCCGTAAAAAAATAAAAAACCTAACATAGTAATTACTCTTCAGACGATTTAAACATAATGGAGGATGCTTTTGAATCGCTCATGAGAAAAATATTACGTATGGCCAATAACAAATATGTTGGAACACCTCGGTCAAAAGGAAGCGATAAGAAGAAAAAGAAATCTGCAATATCATTGCCCACACATCAGGTAGTGACAGCCCTGGGATCGACCACACTGTTTCGAATGGTAAATAATATAGAAACATTATAACTTCTATGAGATTATTTTTAATGATTTCATCGAGGCACTCATTATTTATAATATACCTTGACTATTTTTCAGGATTTAACTGAAGAACTTCTTATTGAATATTTTCAACTACCAAAGTTTGACCGCGGCTTTGTGGTAGAATCACTGTCGAGTAATATTCTGAAGAATCCACCTTTGGTGCTTACAACAATTCTTAAATGTAAAAGTAGCATTTGGAATGCGCATTTAATTTTATGTCAGTCTGATTTTGCTAAGTGGGCACAAGCCTACGAAGAATCTCTTAAGGAATTGGATCACTTAAGCGAGTATGTGCAATCCGATTAATAGTATATTACATCATCATCAGCCTATCGCAGTCCACTGCTGGACATAGGCCTATCCCATTGCACGCCACTTAGATCGATTTTAGGCTTCTCGCATCTAGCTCATGCCAGCCGTCTTGCGCAAATCGTCACTCCACCTGGCCTGTTGGCGCCCTACACTACGTTTGCCGAGACGCGGTCTCCACTCAAGAACTCGTTTTCCCCAACGGTTGTCGGTTCTGCGGCTCTGGTAGGCTATGTTGGTGACCTTGGTTCTCTGCCGGATCACTTCATTCCTGATGCGATCCCTTAGAGAAACGCCGAACATAGCCCTTTCTATAGTATATTACATTATCCATAAAAAGAGACATTGACCGCATTGAGGAAATATGCTTATGACGTGCTTAATTTTTATTTAGTGTAATTAAGAAACACATAATACGTGTAAAATAATTTGATTCCTATAATTTAATATAAAATTGGGGATAAGAACTTACATACGTTGAATAGGTAGTGAATTGTAGTACCAACTATTCGATAAATAAATAAGTAAAGAAGAACATTTTTGCAATAGTTGTGCATATTTCTGACAAGATATTCGACCTCCCTGGTTATATGCTTGCAAGTGCTTTGCTATTATAATCTTATTATTAAAAATCGCCTTATGGCCATTTTTCGTATTTGAACTAGTAGGTTTTGATAAGGCTGACTACTTGAGCCAGCATAACTCTTTCCAAAAGCACAAAAAATTCCCAGAGCAACCTTGCCCGTTGAGTAGCCGCTCTCTTGCATTCCACGTTCAAGTTAGGTATACGTGGTGAGATCTTCGTCAGCATCAGTTTAGCCGGGTACCGGTGTTGGCCAGCCACCGTTGCTCGTTTCTCACGTTCGTTGTTTAATCCACGAGCGGTTGACGAGAAGTGTCAACAGTACAGTCGGACTTGCTAATGTTATAGATCCCTTTCATGACAGCTCACAGCCCACAGGCTCACGGTGCGGTGGCGTCATTCTTTATAGCTATATCCTTTCATCTATAACAGGAGCACTCTATATTTCAACTAGCAACCAAAATTCATGGTGTTACCCTTTAGGACATTTAGACGGCTATACGGATGTTGGACTTCTTTATACCTCTTGATCAAGTGGTAGCGTAGATTATTGTAATACATTCACAATGGAATATTGTTATTGTGATATTTTTATAGTTTGATCTTGTCAATGTCTCTAATCATCTGTTTGTTTGTCAATCATAAGGTGCCACAGCGTATTTGCAATAACAGATGCTGGAGATCCTCATATAAGAATATCGTAGGAGATACTATGGACATAGCTAAGAAAATAATTCGTAGGGACATAGATTATAATTTTTAAACATATAGCGCTTATTACATTTATTTTCTTATTAATGTTCGAAACATAAAAGCTTAAAACATTATTTAATAGGGCTGCGCCAAAAACCTACGACGATGACGAGATTAAGGAAATCGTAGACAGTTTTGAAAACATGGACGAAGAAGAATATGAAAAAGCACCTGCAGAACTAAAAACAATTTATATTACATATGGTTTAGAACAAAGGCGAAAGAAATATTTGGAAAAGATAGCTGTACAGTAAGCTGCATTCTATTTTACATTAAGTTTCGTTATATTTGCGGAAATTGATTTCTTATTTTTTATGTATCTTGGTATTTCTTTTTAAGTTTATTTACAAAATAAATTTCATAACATTCACATAAATAAATAAATGTCAAATATTTATATATTTTCAAACCAACAAATAAATATGTCGATCCGTTGTCGAAGTGACACTATTTGCATTTTTTAAATCTAAATACGCTATAATCTAATTATTGTTTATATATTAAATATTATGTTGTCGATTTAAAACCCTTATTTAATATGTTAAATTGAGGAGTTCCGAGTTTATCATACCGGCGCTAGGGCGAACATCTGATGCTTGACACGAAGGTGTATTTTGTAGAGAAAAATAAAGTTGTTGTTGCTACTATTTTTCTGTTTTTTTTCCACAGTTTCTCAGCATTCAAACTTTCCCTGCAAAGATAATTCATTTAATAAACCTGTTAATTTCAGATCCGGGGTAGGGTTACTATCGCAAGCAGTTGGCAGTAAAGAAAAGGGAGGAAAAGGTTTGCATTCAACTAATCTCTTCAATCTTAATCAATGTTTGTAAATAGTAAACCCGGAGTTTCCTAACCACTATTAAAAAAAAAACTTGCATTTACAACCAGGTCTTCAATCACTTTGAACTACTACACTAGTAATTTTAAGACTATTTTCTAACATGTTCAGATACTATTATTTTTGAGATATAGTACTTTTATTTTTGAGATATAGTATTTGATTGGTTTTTAAGCCAGTCAGGGGACGGGTTGCTTTTTATGTGAACACCTACGGGAGTATCAAAAGAAGTCGATCTGTAGTAAGCATAAAAACTTAAACTTATGACGGGCCTTTCGGGTTTGGTCCTCATCTTAAAATGCCTCAGGTACGGGCTGAAGATTGTTATCCTTAAAACATCCATTAAACAAAAGAGGGAGTTTATCTTAACTTTATAACATAGGAATACATTGCAGAATATTCACCAGTTTATTACATTATATTTCACTAGATCAACGCAGTAAATCCTCGCTCACAGTAGACGCATCAGATGCTAAGAAGAAGTTGAAAAAAGACGAAGGCGGAAAAGGTAAGAAAAGAGGCGAACATTCAAAATTGGCTATCTGAAATTATTTGATATTTTTGTAGAACGGCTTAAGAGTACCTAAAACAGGCATAACTACTGATCTAGTTTTGTATCCTCTTAACGACACTTAGGGATTAATTGCTACTTTAGTACCTTAGAGTCGGAGCTATCTTTTAACCTTTAAAAAAATAATATTTTTCGAATCATAATTAAATTAAATTGAACTTTAATGTGTTCATAGGGTAAAAATGAACAGAGAATTTTCAATGTAGGGTTAAATTTAAAGACTTAAAAAACAAAATTAATACCTTTGCCCATGCACTTTGTTGTTGTAAGTTATGCTTGGTCGGAATATCGGTTGACCTTGGCGCATTCTCAAATCTCCCCAAACAGAACGCGAAAAATTAAGTTATTATTATAACTTCCTTCTTCTTTATCTTTCTCATAATTTGCAGTATGATTCATTCTTCCTTCGCTGTCCAAACTTAAATTTCAAATGCACTCAAACTCGAAATCAGGGTGTCTACCCGCCGATTCACTTTTAAGCTTAAAGATCATAACCTCTATAAAGAGTTGTTGACGGTGTCATCTACGTAATATTTATATATATTCCATCGTAATACAACACTATACACATAAGTGGGCTCCAATAATATACATGTGTGTGCTATTATTAAGCACACACATGTATATTCTAAAACACATTTACGCACGCAATATGCATTCACGCAATATATACAATACATTCACACAAACACATACACACGCCTAAACATATACACACTCACCCACAAACACACACACACGCACAAATATTCTTTCATTTATGTACGAACACACTGCCACTGGGTAGTAGTTGTTATACACTCTCACTCAACAATAACACCTACTTTACATACTGCATTAATCGAGAGCTGGGAGAGGCTGGTAATCTGTCATACAGGTCTGTCCTAGTACAGATACCAGTCTTTCACATAGAACCATTGCAATTGTCTAATGAATGTTTGTTTTGTTTTGTTTTGACTAATGTATTGCCGTACTGTGTGAGAGAAACAAACTATTATTATTATTATTTAATTTTAAGAGTGTCTTAATTATTAATGTAAATGTGTATATATATAGGTGCATATTTCTATTTTAATATAGTAGGCATAGATTATGTACGTATATGTTTGCCTAGTGTAGGTATGTAGGGATTTTTTTTGGTAACACGTTAATTTAATTTGTCATCTAATTCGTTTGCAACAGAGCTAGCCACGCAAAGTTCTGAATCACCCAAAAGGTTGGCTAAAAGAAAATGCCCACGGCATTCAGTCCGCCTTATGCAAGTGTAAATAAATAAATAAAAACTACGACAATCGAGTGTGTAAAGATCAAGATAAAGGATATGATTTATTTTTATTTTTAAATATGTACCCATGTAATTCAAAATTGTTATCCTCATCATATTTAAAAAAGTTTCAATTTTTATCATTTTGGAAATTCTAGTTTTTTATGACAATAGGACTGCCATTGGTTTAAATTAGTTATACATGAGCGGTAATACGAAATTTATAAAATTTCAGCTAAGGCTACTACTGAGTACGTGGCAATGAACGCGAAATATAATGAGTATTTTAAAAATACTTATGAGAACCTTATTAATATCGCTAACAATTGGGTTTTTGAAGAATGTGACGTTGGCTTCCCTTTATATAATATCAACGGCCAAGTCGCTGGTGTGGCTGTTAAGAAACTGAAAAAGAAATCTGAAACGCAGATACCGGTATTACACTAACTTTCACCTGTTTCCATAAAGGCTTGCATCTATAGCAATTCAACAAATTTTTACAAAGACACTGTTTAATAGTATTTATCTAAACAAGTTTTATAAAAGTCTACATGAGTTTTAGTGAAATAAGACTGCCACGTCGAATATTCCGGCAATAAGATGTTTTCGTAGGCTGTGAAAGTATACGCAGCGTTATATTTTATAGTTCTAACCTCTAATTCTCTAGTTAAGCATTAAATAGGCATAGGCATTAGGCAAATAAAATGTAGTACATTTATTTTTACATTAGTTTATTTCATGCTAATTTCAGTAAGCATTAAACTTCTCTTCTAATTTGCTTAACAACCATTGTGAACATATTCCAGTAGTTAAACGTCAAATTCATTTCATTAGTCAAGATGTTATAAGATAATACACTGGTTGGTGGGTAATTATGGCCTCAAATATTTATTAATGTTACTTTATATTAATAGTTTTATGTACTATAAATGATTAATATTTGTCTATCTCTGTCTTGTCTTCAATTACAGACCTCTGAAGTGAGTCTGGCTGACAGGGGCTTTCCTTTAACTCTAATAATGTGTCCTTGCATAAACTACAAGAACGCTATATTGAGTATGCTCAAATACTCGCCAGTTGTGTATAATGCACTAAAGGAAGAAGAAAGGGTGGATGTTCTTAAATATCCAGTGAAAAGAAAAGAATATACGGTGTTATTACCTAAAACGTTTCCCGCCATTAATCACGAAATACCATTAAATTGGAGATATTTGGATGAAGTGCCGGTAATTCGCAACTTCCTGAAAAAATTGTATTATGATAACTATGTAATGATGACTTACTTTAAAACGGGCAAATTGCTAATGCTTTTAACTTCTTGCCCCAGAGTTGCATTAAAGTGCTACTTCTTTATCACGTACACAATATACATATACACAAAAAGAACCTAGCATTATCAAATATTGCACAAAATCTTATTTAATTTTCTTAATTATAATAATTATTTTTACTGTAAGTTACACTTTTAACCTACAAGTAAATTGAGAGACCTAAGAGGTATCAATATGTTCATTTGAATATACCAAGCGATAAAAAAAAAAATTACTCGATGCTAATGGAACTGTATTATTACCTGGTTCTTCTATAATTCTAACCTCTCCCACATTAATTTCAGCTCAAAAAGTGTGAATGTAATCAATTAACTAATCTTGATTTGTTAGACGACTCGAATCAGGATAATGTTTTGAACATCCTTTCGAAGTGGCATTGCGTTTGCGGCAAGAAGGTTATTTTTTTCATTGATACATAACTTTTTTAATCATTTGAGTGATGCGAAATAATGACATACACGTAACGAACACTAAACAGGTTACATCGTCTCAAACATCTACGACTGAATTCCCTTCTACAGTCGAGAAAATGGTAGGGGAAGATGAACCAACAGAGATATATCCGTTACCGTTACATAGTGTTAAATCGATGCAAGGTAAGCAACTAGACATACTTTTATATTTTATTACATTTTAATGAAACTGGATACGACAAGTATTTATTAAAATTTTAATTATCAGTCATTGCTCCAATTATCTGTCTTTGCCAGCTTTTACGATACTTTAATTGACGATGGAAAAATACAGCTTTGAAGCTTTTGAAAAATACAGACTTACTTAGACAATACTTACGATAGACAACACTTTGTGTAAACCACAAACTATTGTTTTGAGTCTGAGTGTTCTTTGTGTCCGTTTTATGTATGTCTGTACAGTCCTCCGCGACACAGGATATAGTCCTTTTTTTACGTGTGGAAAACCCTAGGGGCGTCACCCTACCTGGGTTTGCGCGGGGTGGTGTGTCCGAATCGGATCGACTAAAATCACACGGTGTGCCACTCTGCACCTGTAACAGGAGGGGTCCGGGAACTGCTGTTATTAAGACAGGATATAGTCTTAGTGCATTAGTTGTCTTATTTAAACAAACAAAAAGAAAAACATTAAATGTTTTTAGTTTTCATAAGTAGGTATAAGTAAATTTGTTTTGAAGGAAATTAGCTATTTGTAGGTATTACTCGTAGTAATAAATTATTTTACTTATTTCACTAGAAATCAGTTGAATATTGATATTTCGAAAAAATATTCAGGTAGATACCTTTTTTTGAAAAATCTGTAACTCACGCAAAAACAAGATCATTTGTTGGACAAATAAAGATAGATATTTGACGACCGGATGGCGTAGTGGTTTGTGTAACGGACTGCTATTCCAAAGGTAGCGGGTTCGATTCCCGCTCAAGTCAAACATTTGTGTGCATGAACATTTGATGTTTGATTTGGTCTGGGTGTTTCTATGTATAATATGTATGTATTTACAAAAAAAAAAGTATATATGTATTTATATCAGTTGTCTAGTACCCATAGTACAAGCTCTGCTTAGTTTGGGACTAGATGGCGTTGTATGTATGTGGTAGAATATATTATTATATATCATTATAATTACGTACTCATTATAATTCTCTGAGATTTAAGTACATTTAAAAGCTAAATTATAATATTGTAATTGAATCAGCATAAATTGCCTACTTTTAATATCATTTGTAATGATTTAGAAACACAAACGCGTCTTGTTTTGGAACCTGGTGACCTAGTGCGGTGCAAATATTCCTTTAATCCTCAAAATGAAGGCAGTTATAGCGTCAGACGTTTTGTCGAAGTGAGCGGTTGGCCAGACTCGAGAGTTGACATTAATATTAGCGGCATATGTGATTTACCGAGGTATTACAAATATTGTTTATATTTCTCATCAGATTTTTGCGAACTTACGACTATACTAATGGTGTAAGGGACGTGTAAGGGAATACTGAAAAAGTGTATTCAGACCATCATTCTGAGTCGAAAATCATTGGAATTTTCAGTCGGCAAATTAAACTTTTTATGCAAACAGCTGTCAAAGGTTAAGGTCATTCCCCGTAGGTATCGCACAAAAGTGATAACTACATGTGTATTCCGTACAAACAGTCTAACATAATTTGGCGGCCGGAGAGGGTGCCCTGCGGATGAATTACATTACAGTTTTTGACCGTATAATAATAATAATAATAATAATAAGCCCCCTAAAAATCCAACCACACGTCCTGATCGACCATCTGATCACGTGGGGGGCGGACACACGAAAGTAAATTACTGGCGTGGCTAACGTGGCACTGGTAGGTAGGGATTAGAGTAGGCAGGCAGTAGAGCGACAAAATAGACGGTTAATTAAATGGGTAGATAGGTGGATAAGTTAATGGATAGGTAGGGTGGTAGACAATAGATAGGTAGTTAAGCAGGGAGGTAGGAATGTAAGGAGGGGAAACCCAAGCCAAGGTGGAACAGAATATGCCAAGGGCTGCGTGGCTAAGGGGGAGCTTAGTCGATAATATTCGAACTCTGAAGAAAGGGGGACCTTCAGTTTAAAGTACCCTTGCCGTGGTGAACGCGGGGCTATGCCGCGGTGGACCGTATGTCCCCAGCTACTCGTGGGAACGAAATGATAAAAAATGCAAAATAAAACCAATAAGTATAATTTAAGGCCGCTACCCGGGGGTCGCCGGGACTCAATTAGAAATAATAATATTAATAACCAAACTGACAGACAGACTGACAATGACAATATTAGCTTAAATTCTTTGACATCGCTATCAGTAACTGAACCATATAGTCCCTCAACTAGCTCGTACAGACCTACACCGGTGTCTTTCGTGGATGAAGATTCACACGAAACACCGAATCCAACCTTAGCTGTTACGCAGGAGGTGAATGCCTTTTTACCTGCGTCCACTAAGAGTGGAAAACCTAGAGTACGCATGAGGTGGAGTAAAGAAGTGAACCTATTCATCATGCGTACGTACTACCAAATCACTAAATTAGAGACAGACATGACAACATATAGGAAACAATTACACGAACTTTTTACACGACACTATCCCGATATCAACGTTACTGAACAACGAATTGCCGATCAAAGAAGAACAATTGTTAGAAATAAACTACTAACCGAGGAAACACTACACATATTAAAAGAAGAAATACGAATGCAACTACAGCAAAATGAACACGAGTATATAGAAAATAATTCGAATCCTCAACTTCACAATACTCAATCAGTAACAACAGCATTACCTACACAGTCACAACCACACACAATCACACAATCTTCACAGATATCCACACAACCTGAGACTATAACTTTAACCCTTGAGAATGATATAGAGATTATGCAAAATGTTAACCCCTCATCAGATAATATAAAAAAAATACAAGAAAAATTTAGAACAGCATTAGCGTTATATTCTAGAATGGATCCAATCACTCGACCAAAATTGCCTAAATTAAAGTACAGTAGGAAACTTAGTGAATTAACACACGTTTTTAATCATAAGATACTACACTAATTTTTATCCGAAGATAAACAATTAACAGATATTCATACCTTAATATACTGCACAGCGTTAGTTATAAGTGAAGAACTAAATTATAAAATAATAGATCACCCTAGAAATATACTAAGAAAGAATAGTAAACCTCCATGGCAAATAAGACTAGAAAAAGACATTGAACAACTTAGAGCAGATTGCGGCAGACTTACCCAATATATCAACAACAACAGGTCAAACAAAATAGTTAAGAGAGTAGAACAAATTTTTAGAAGACAAAGCACTCACACTAGACACGAAAATAATAATAGAAAACCCGAAGAATACCTAGACACATTAAAACAAAAATTAGCACTTAAAGTACATCGACTGAAAAGATATAAAAAAGCACAACAGCGTAAAAATGACAACATGTTATTCACCCTCAATGAAAAATCATTTTATAGAAACCTATCGAAACCACAAACTGCTACAACTAGACCCGAAAACATAGACATTCCTACACAGACACAACTTGAAACATTTTGGTCAGGTATTTGGGAAGAACCGGTACAACACAATGATAAAGCAGACTGGATTACAGAAGAAGAAAATAAATGGAATTCAATAGAAGAAATGGAATTTGATTGTATTACAGAAGACGATATTGCACACGTAACAGGTAAACTACACAACTGGAAATCTCCTGGCATAGATAAAATACATAATTACTGGTACAAAAAGATAACATCATTTCACAAACCTATAGCCAAAAACTTAACATATATAATTCTGGGGAAACAGAATATACCTGAATTTATAGGTATGGGTATAACATATATGCTGCCAAAAACCGCACACTCACCACAGCCTTCTCAATACAGACCCATCACATGCTTACCTACTATATATAAAATTCTTACATCAGCAATAGCCCACAAAATTAATATGCACATTGAACACAATCACATAATAGCAGAAGAACAAAAAGGATGCAGGCGGGGACACATGGGATGCAAGGAGCAGCTGATCATAGACTCTACTATCCATAAACATGCTACTACAAAAAACAGAAACTTACACTGCACTTACATAGACTATAAGAAAGCGTTTGACAGCATCCCACATTCTTGGCTTATAAAAATTTTACACATCTATAAAATTAACCCTAAAATCACAGATTTTATGCGCGATATTATGAGCCATTGGAAAACCACATTACATCTAAATATGAATGATAGAACAGTCACGACCCGACAAATCTCTATAAAAAAAGGTATATATCAAGGTGATTCCTTGAGCCCCTTGTGGTTCTGTCTTGCCTTGAATCCCTTGTCTCATTTGCTGCAGCGATGTCAGGCAGGATATCGTCTGAGAAATTCTACAGAAGAAACTATTATCTCTCATCTCACATACATGGACGATATTAAACTATATGCAAAATCCGATAAAGAAATGACAAAACTATTACAAAATACAACAAAGTTTAGTAAAGATATAAATATGGAATTTGGACTGGATAAGTGTAAAACGTTACACATAATCAGAGGGAAAATACGCCCTGGGGACTACGCAGTGGATGAGTCAAGTACGATAGCAACTATGGAGTCAACAGATTTATACAAATATTTAGGTTATAAACAACTTAAAGGGCTAGATCACACCTCAATCAAACAAATATTAGCTACTGAATATAAAAGTCGAACTAACACTTTATGCAAAACCCAACTTTCTGCTAAAAATCTTATAAAAGCATTAAACACCTACGCTATTCCAATATTAACCTACTCATTTGGCATTATAAAATGGACAAAAACTGACATAGAGCAAATAGAACGAACTACACGCACTACATTAACCAAACACAACAACCTGCACCCTAAATCCGCCATAGAAAGACTTACTATCAAAAGAGAAAATGGTGGTAGGGGTCTAATAGATATTTATCATCTTTGGCAAAAACAAGTTTATAATCTAAAAACATTCTTTTGCACAAAATCACACACAAGTAACATCCATAAAGCCATAACTCTAAACGACTACAATTTCACACCACTAAACTTAAATGATCACACTGGAATACACAACCCTAATAACATAGACCCACAGGCAGACAAAATAGAAAACTGGAAAAAAAGGTACTACATGGCAGGCACCCTCATGATTTAGAGCAACCCCACATTGATACAATAGCGTCAAATTCATGGCTTAAAATTGGTAACCTATTTCCAGAAACAGAGGGATTTATAATAGCTATACAAGACCAAATAGTTAATACGAAAAATTATAGAAAATATATAATCAAAGATGCAACCGTTACAGATGATAAGTGCCGAAAATGCCACATTCCATCTGAAACCATTCAGCACATTACTGGAGCATGCATTACCCTCACACAAACGGATTATACACATAGACATAACCAAATAACTCACATCATCCACCAAAAATTAGCACTCAAACATCATCTTATACAAAACACAAACACACCTTACTACAATTATACTCCTCAATCTGTATTAGAAAGTAGCTCACACAAACTTTACTACGACCGCGCCATCCTCACAGATAGAACCATCCACTATAACAGACCAGACATAACCCTACAAGACAAAATTAACAAAACCACCTACCTAATTGATATTGCAGTACCGAATACACACAATCTACAGAAAACCATCACAGAAAAAATTAGCAAATACACAGAACTAAAAGAAGAAATAATACGAATCTGGAGACAGGAGAAAGTTTACATAGTACCCATAGTTGTATCTACAACAGGAGTTATACCTAAACATCTTCACCATAGCCTTAAATTAATCAATTTAAATGAATCCGTGTATTTTAACCTACAGAAAGCAGCAATATTGAACACTTGCCGAACAGTCAGAAAGTTCATGGATATTGAAGAGAACGGAACAGCACAACACACACAGCAACCACCATCTACATCTACATAACAAAGACACACACCTCACTGTATTTACTTGGTTTTGGCCCGTAAATACAGTTGAAACCAGCCTTGAGCTGAGAAAAATTAAGATTACAAAAATAATAATAATAATATATCCCCCACACTCACACACGGCTGTCTGATCCCAAACTAGGCAGAGCCTGTACTATGGTAACCAGACCGCTGATAAACATACTTATATATTTCTAAATACATACATATTATAGATAAATTACACCCAGACACAGAACAAATGACCGTGCTCATCACACAATATTTGTCCTGGGTGGGAATCGAACCCACGACCTCCGGTATGCAGGTACTTATTAAATTGTTTTCGGTTAAATGTTCTGTTTACTCATTGTGATATCATTTTTCATCATTTTTAACCAAAAAATGGAAAAAAAAAGTTGTTGAACTTTCTGGCTGAAAATTCCAATGACTTTCGACTCGAGAATCACAATGTGAATACACTATTACAGTATTCGTTACGTCCTGTATATAATTTACTGCAATTTATTTTAATGAGTGAACTTTTATTTTCATGAAACTTGAAATTAACATATATCATTTAAAGTTTAATTACTCTGAAAAAACCAGCACATATAGTCTACATTAACCTTGAATATACACATTGAATATATATAACCTTGTATATAAAAATACTTTTAGTAAATCTTGTTTCTTGCTTCTTTAGATTGGACAGTCGGCCTAAAAAGATGTTTGAGAATTTTGTGAGAAGGACGATTGAAGATTACGTCTATAAGATAACTTATTTAGATGATCTTAAATTATTCGAATTTGGACCAATATTCGTAGGCCTTAACAGAATATACCAAGAAGAGTACACTATCGATTTAAAAAATTCCTCTCTGATAACTGCTGACATCGTGATTGAGTTCCTTGAAGATACCACGGTGTTTCAAATAGACAAAGAATTTATACGATTAGAGGTGAGACTATAACAATATATCCTGTTAGTCGTTGATATTATCCGGAGTGATACCACTGCCTCACAGAAAACCGCTGTTAAGCAGATCTTTCGGGGGTTTCCTAACCGACCACCCGAGTTGTCCAACACGGTCGGCAACCCCCGATCTTTCGATGTTTTTCACCGAATAAATGAGGTTACTGGAGCCTAAAACCTCCTCCCCGTATTAATTTCATTCAAACGACGGCAACGCGCTTGTGATTCGAGTTGCGGTGTCCATGGGCGTCGGTAGTCACTTCATAAAAAAATACTGTAGTATCTATATTTATTTAAATGTTAAGATGTGGTTGTGTCGAGTTAAATTTGATACTTCAGCTTAGCTTAGAAACAATTTGAAGTATAAATTAGATTTTCACAGTTTTTTTCCATAGTACTAAAGACAACATTTTACTTTCGGTAGATTTGAAACAGTGGGAAAGTAAGTATACTTTGTTCAGGGTTAGCTTTTTGTAGCTTAGTGCCCACACTTGAGTGTTGACGTCATAACGCACAACTTTTACTTAATTGTTTCATAGCAGTTTACTTTTATTACTTTCGCTTTCATTGATTAAAATGAGGTTTGGTTATCTTGACTGTAAAAAGTAGTCAAAAATAACCAAAATAAATTTTTTCTGTTATTAAGAAACAAACATTTGAAAAGACGATCGAACTGCGATAGCATCAGGAAAGTATTTTGGTTGTTTGCGAACTTCCTTTTAAAATAGAAAGACAACAACTTTTAAGAAATTTAATTTTCGAATTATTATGTTTTGGAATATAGCCAGGATGTCGTGACAAGCTCACTATTTCGGCCGCTCCAGCAGATGTTGATGTGCATAAATGCACATTACTGTTTTGTGTCAAAGATAATCCTGAAATAGTAGAAGTTCACATTGCCTGTACTGGAGTAAAGCCTACCGTTGAAGTACTGCCATCAACTAAAACTATAGGTAAGTTCTAAATAAATTCCTAGAGTTGTGGATGTGTTAGTAGTAAAATAGTTAGTAGTATAGTTAAAATAGTAGTATTGAGTCTCCGAGGAGCAGAAGATTCGAAGGGATTTTTCACCCCGTCATCAAAAAAAAGGCTTACATAACATCTCTGCGTAAGACGTGCTAAAGTGCTAACTGTGACTGTGCAGTTTCTCTGAAGATGAGGTATCGTGTGAATGTATGTCTGTATGAGTAAATATATCAAAAGAATAACAACAAAATTATGAATTAATAACATTTGACTGGTGTTTTACCATCGTTAAGATTTAATCGTTCTTTTAGAAGGCGGTTTAACTTACAAGTTACCTTTGAATTACAGACTATAAAAAACTTTTGTTGTATCGCCGAGAAGACGATAGATTTATTGTAAAGAACGATTCAATATTACCAGTGATGTGGAAAATTCGTAATCCTGCGGACTTCGCAGAAGATTTTATAATATCCCATAAATCTGGCATTGTTGCAAGACACGATAATCAAGTTGTGCCTGTAACATACATCGCATGTCGAGTTGGAGTTATCAGTAACAGGATACTCGCTATCGATGTAAGCTTTCTTATAATTGTATTCTAACATACAGTTGAACTAACAAGTACCTACTCACTCATGAAAAAATCAAATATCTTAAACGATAAAGAGGCAAAAGCTGATAATTTTGAACTAGCAAACCGAACTACAGTTATGAAATAAAATAAAATTCGCCGTTGCTATGACTGTAGTCCAAAAGCAGCTAACTTAGAGAGTTCTAGGCGGTGTTTTGTCATACGAAACGTATTTAATTAGAAGTATATTATCAGTTCAAACATCCAAATAGCCAAAGATTTTAAAATATATAGGACCTAGGTATGATATGGAACGATGAAGGTGCCACGGACTTTTCTTTGGTATTAAGAAATTGTGTTCGGATAAAGGGGAGGAATTATAATTGTACGTCAGTCACCAAATGTTTCCTCAATCTTTTCCCCTGAATTTTCATTCACGACAATGAATTTTGAATTTTCATTTTTAAGACAAGCACTAATGAAAGAAATGCAAACATTAAACAGAATAATATTGCATAAAATATTTTTCAGATTTATGATGCAGAGGGCCGCGGAGAGCCAATGCTGACGGATTGTCTGTATTTATCAGCGGAATGCTACGATGTTATGGTCGAATGTGCTCATGAGAATCCTACAGAGAATTATCTTAATTATGGAAACGTCAAAGTCAATTCTACTGTTTATCGAGATATGTTCTTACTAAATCGTGGCAAATATAATATTTATTTTAAGTAAGTACACATTTAATGTTTACAGATAGTCACGATGTTCATTTTTATACAATCATTATTGTTGTCTGGTATACGATAATTAAAAAATGGATGTGAGATGAAATAAGTCTCAGTTATTTTGTTTATTCCCCTTAATAACACATAACTTTCATTTGAAACACAAAAATCTCCTACACACTAGAGCCTCAATAAGGTAGTCTATCTAATCTGCTTTCTCCTTTTAATGAAATAACACTCAAAAGCCGATTAAATCTATATAAAACAAAATGAATCACCGAAACGTATGTACGCGCATAACTTCCGAAGACTGCACCAAATTGGATAATTCTCTTCTTTATGTTCGTTATTGTTAGGACAAGGTTTGTATGAGAGAAAATTAAAAAAAAAACTGAATTTTCTTTTTAATCTCATCATTTGTAAAGTAAAGTGAATGAATGAGACATAAAATTGTGAGAGATCTATACTAATATCATAAAGAGGTAAAGTTTGTAAGTTTGTATGTTTGGGGTAATCTCAAAATTATTTGTGTTAGATCTTTTACCGAGGAAGGATATAGGTTGTCAAACATCTTGCTGCGACCAATAGGAGCAGAGTATCAATGAAAAATGTTGCGAGAACGGGCAAAATTTATTACTTTTGAGAGAAGCAAAAGAAATTACGCGGGTCTTCGGCCGTCGGGGTGGTTTTATAAATGTAAAAATATACGTAACTAGTATTATCTTAAGATAAATATAATAAAATGTCAAATCTAAATATGTCATATCTTATGTGTTTGATACTATTACTGTATAATGCAAAGCAACAATTATCAAAGCAATTGTTACAGGTTAAAGAAAGTAAAAAATTTCCCGGAGCCCTCATTGCTGAAATCATTTGAAGCGATACCGGAGAGTGGAGTAATTCCATCCTCGTTAAAATTAACGACCATTGAGTTTCAATGTACACCCACTACATCTATGAACCTACATAATGTACCTGTATATATTTGCTCATTGCTAGACAGCAGCAAGGAACAGGTTATTGTGGCCAAATTTCCTGTATGTGTTTCAATTGCCTCTTTTTACAACACGTTAGTATTTCTCTGTTTTAATTTGTATTACATAAATTACCAAGTTCCTAAGATAAACAATAATAATAGGTCCATTCATACATATCCCGTGTGGTGACGGATTAAGATTACGGAGTGTCACCAGTGTCATCACCCCTATTCATCCCGTGGGTGTCGTAAGAGCCGATTAAGGGAGCAAACTACGCAAGACAACAGAACTCTACTGCAAAGAGAAGGAAAACTTGACACAAACCCTAAACCAACCCGCATGGCCAGTATGGTATAGTAGGCCAAAACCTCATTTCTAAGGAAGAGCCTATGTCCAGAAGTAAACTATAAACAGCTGTTGATAATGATGATGACAAACATATGGTAAAAAAGATTGAAAAATATTAATGTCATTTTCAGCAGTTTAGATTTTAGAGAGCTCTGAGCGTAATCAGAATTTTTATTATCATTCTGTTGTTTTCAGGTTTACGTTATTCCCACTAGGCGAATTAAATTTCCATATTATAGCTGTCGGTACTGCTATACAGAGAGATGTGATATTGAATAATACAAGCAAGTGTCCTGTCACTTATGAAATAATTTTGCCAGAACAGTATAGACCTGATCCCAACGCACCTCTTCCTCTAGCGAAAACAAAGGATAACAGGTATATTATTTAAAAAAAAAGGTGTTCAGGATTTTTCATCAACAACTGATAAGTGATTAATAATTAATAATTCCTACAGAATAAAAAATCCTCCTCTCAAATGCGGTAATTTCATGATAATGAATGAAGATAATCTCCTGGCCCCCGGCACCAGTCGCACCATACAAATACAGTTCTTCGCGACGGCATCTCGAAAGTTTGAAGAAACCATTAATTTTATAATAAGTGACACATGTCCCGCAGAAGCTCAAGGAGTGCCACTTAGATTAGTCGGGACTGGTGCAATGCCATCTTTAGATTTTTGGAATATAGAGACCACGTTTAGAGAACATTTAATCGTTAAAGATCTGTATGAATATAAAGTACCCGAGGTAACATTGCAATATTTTTATCTTTACAAAGGTGTCTCAGTAAGAGTGCACTTTTTAAATTTAGAATCATTTTTTCGTGCAAGTGGCAACTCTGAAATTTGACAGCTGTCACCTATGTTTATTCCGATTATTAAAAATGGAGCGCTTTTCGAAAGAACAACACGTTATAATTGTGAAAACTCATTACAAAAATTGGGAAACTTACGTCGAAATCGCTCGCAAACTTGCCATCGATGACCTGATAGATCTACATCCTCCATTAGGAAAAATACTGTAGTCAAAAAAAAAAAAACTTCAAGAAAGAAAATTATTAAACCGTGGATTACGCTCGGTCTGTTACGGTAACAGGGACGCGCTACACAGGAAACTTTAACAATCACCGGATAGCTATATTCTTAACTATAATCTAAACCACATATAATAACAATATTCTAAACCACATATTAACGGTATAGAAATTTCTGTTCTACTATAAAAAAGAGCATTTGAAAAGCAGATATTAGCAGAAGCCAGTAATAATTCAAAAACACTATGGGACACCATTAAACGACTCACACATACTAACAAATCTAAAAATCCATCAACTCAGTTCCTCTCTATCTCCTATCGAATCATGCAATAAAGTAAATTCCTTCTTCGGCAATATTGGCAAAAACCTAGCCGACAGTATCTTGAATAGTAGGCAAATCTGACCATTGCAAATAACACATAATTCCAAAGCCATATCATCTTTTGCTCTGGACCACACAGACCCTGACGAAATTATCCTCATAATTAAATCCCTACTGAGTAAAAGCTGCCACCGGTTGGGATGTTATCTCGCCTTTAATTCTTAAAAGGTACTCCGTTGTACTAGCTTCAATACTCTCCTAAATTTTCAACTTCTGTTTCGACACCGCGGTATTCCTCACATCGCTAAAAGAAGCAATTATTTACCCTGTTCATAAAGGTGGAGATGTCAATTTGCCTAACAATTATCGACCTATCGCCGTTCTTAGTGCATTTTCCAAGTTACTCGAAAGGCTCATTAATAAAAGATTGGTGTATTACCTTGAGCATCACAAGTTATTGTCACCTCAACAGCTTGGATTTACATGTGATGCTGTACATTACCTAACTAATCATGTCGTACAGACCCTTAACTCTAATAAGAAAATACTTACCATCTTCCTAGACCTCGCTAAGGCATTCGACACCGTTCCTATCTTTGCTCTCGTAATATAACAAAGTTAGTCGAAAATTTTCAATTAACTACCTATCATATCACAAGTGCAAAAAGGCGTTAAATATATTTCTTCAAGATAAAACCTACAAACTGGAAAATATATTTGTACGTATGACACATAAAACGTTCACACACTCCCACCCACACACACACACACACACACACACACACACACACACACACACACACACACACACACACACACACACACACACACACACACACACACACACAGTTTCTATTAAATTATGTAGAAATGTAAAAAATGACATAATATTTTAATACAGTATATTGCTATTACTGCCACCGAAAGAGGTTTGGGACTGTTATCCCTTAATACCGGTTATTCCATAACCTACCTAGGAGGACAGCGCTTCGACCACTGATTGTGACACAGAAATTAATCATGTGTTAACTATTATAGACTATAATTATTCGTGTGTTTTTTTCTTTGGGGTTTTGTAAAATCTCGGGTTTATGCGAATAAACCAGCAACAATTCCTGAGCAGCTTCAAATCAGAGATCCAATGCGTCATCGGTGAGATACAGCCACATCTCTGTGTAAAAGTCAAGAGTAATGGCCTGTCATCAAAGCCGTGGGGGGCATTTGCCGAATACCGGATACTTAATCGTAACATGTCTTCTTTACAATCCAATAAAAATATCACAACTCTTTCATAAGATACGTGTTTTTATTAAAATGGAAAAGTGCACTCTTCCTGAGCCACCCTTTACATACACATACCTACGCCTGTATGGAATAGGAAGAGGCGATTGTGATTTAATTCACGAGCCTCTACAGTAGTTATGTGACGGGACACCGTGATATTTCAGTGGATTCAAATTATAAAAATTAAATTATTTATATTTATCAACGTTTGAAGTGCACTATGACAAAGCCTACTCAATAAAAAATATTTGTGTTTAAGTTTTAGTTTATACTCCTTTAGGTTTATGTGAAATAAAATTAAATTACCATAACTCTTGTATAAAACTCTTGTTAATATAAAATCTTGCCTAAAACCTTAGTCCTAACACTTACATCATTTACGAAATGTAACGTGATTATATAGTTTTACCTCATTTATTTTCAGTCATCGCCACATTGTGTGTTTGTGGAGAATTCGGTAACCTTACATTTCTTCTGCGTAACAGTGAAGACACGTTTTGTAGGCAAACTAGATCTTTACAATAATGGACTGGTTGCGTGTGCGCTTACTATGAAATTACATTACCAATCAAATTCGAACAGTGAGATTTTCTCTTTAGATAAATACGAGGCACATATAGAACCATTAATGCATAAGAATCTAGGAATTATTTTTACACCAAAAGCTCTTACGGTAAGTTTCAACTTCCTACAACACGAGCTTAAGAATAGGTAAAAAGAAAGTGCAATGTCTCTTTTTAAATTTTTTTAGGAATACAGAGCGGTTTTAGAAATAAAATTAAAACTTTTATGCAATGAGGAACAATCATTTAAGGTGTGTCTAATTGGTCAAGGTGCAATTCCAAGAATACAAATGGTGTCACCACGACTTACGACTCAAAAGACAGCCTCCCTGGTGTTGCCGGTGACATGTCTTGGGTCTGTTAGCCAGAAACCCATAATCTTTAAAAATATAAGCTCTGTAAAAAGTTTGGTAGTAGCAGATGTTAAACAGGCAACATTTGAAAAGAGGACGATTTTCTGGCTAACAACAGATCAAGATAGTAAACATATGGTCGTAGCTAATAATAAGGGTAAGTATAAAACATTTAAATCCAGTTACTGTTTGACACTTTGACTACTTGTTAGAGACATCCTCAATCATAGTACGAATCATAGACGCCGGCCTTTTCGATATAATCCCATTTCAGTCCAGCTACCCGAATTAATATCCCTTACCCTAGAGCTCCCTTGCCTTATTCATCTTTCTTATCCCTTTATATTTTAAAAACTTTTTAAACGATCCAGTATCTATAGCTACATAGTTTCTTATAAAGTTGTATAATATTGCCTTGGGAGTATATTCCTGTAAAATAGTGTGAATGTATCTAAATAAATAAAATAAATTATTTAGTATCGCTTATTATAAGTAGCGAATGGATTTACACAACCGTATGAAACATAAGTCTACATCCAAATATTTTCCTATCACAGTTATTTTATTTATTGCAGGTCCTAGTGCCATTAGTTTTAGTAGCGATGATGATTTAAACGTTTCCCTAAAAATTCTTTTAAAACCTGACGAGATAGCAACCTTGAATATTAATTATAATCCAATACACAAAGGTATTGAAACCTGTAATGTAAAACTGACTATTATCGAGAATCCTTATGAATATTTTGAAGTAAGTAAAAGGTCCTCATAGTTATTACTTTCTTGAAAGAGTACGTTTAAAAAGATAAATATTTAAAGTCAAGTACCTATCTTTTTACTGTCCAACACTAGCAGATTTACATATTTGCCGCCTGTAGGCTATATATTTTTGCCACCCCTACTAACCTCTGCAATTCAATTCTCTTTTCTTTACGTATGGAAATCCCCTCGGGCCGTCACACCGGGATTTGCGGCGGGACGGTTAGTCGGAATTGAACCGACATAAATCATACGCTGCACTACTCTGTGCCTGAAATAGGATGGATCCGGGAACAGCTGTTATTAAGGCATCCGGAGTCTCAATTAGATACCCTGTTTCAGGGTTGTCCAAACCGAATAGAGATGCTGGAGGGTATCTATCCTGAAGTGGTTGAGGGTCTTTTCCCACAACGGATGGAATACACACCCCCGTGGATGGCCTCCTTAGCCAGAAACGGCGGGATAAACATGGATGATTTTCCGCTGTCACGGATACGGAGGTAGGGGCAGCAGTTCTACGGATCCGTTCCAAGAATACCGTCCCTAGTGATTGCCCTAGCCCTCTAACTCATGTCAGACCCTTAGGGAGGTGTTTGACGCTAGCTTGTCGTCCGGACTGATCCCCGAGTGCTGGAAGAGTAGGAGGCTAGTCTTGTTAACGAAGCCGGGACGGCCTGCCCATTCGGTCGCAGCTTACAAGCCCATTGTGTTGTTGAAACAGACGGTTAAATTATTTGAGGTGGGCCCCTATCTGTCAGACGTCCAATTCGGTTTTCGAACAGGGCGTTTGACCATCGGCGCTGTGTTGCGCCGCAAGATCGTTGCCGAAGACGCAGTGAGCTGCAGCAGTGTGCTGTTGGCGGTGTCGTTGGACATCGCCAACGCATTCAATAGCCTGCCATTCTGCTACATTAGAGAGGCACTCCACTATCACGGGGTGCCAGAGTACCTGAGGTGGCTAGTGGCAGACTATTAAGCGAAACGTACCGTCAAGTATGAGAACCAAGATGGATTTCTGAGGCGCCGGCCCTTGACTTGCAGTATTCCACAAGGGTCTGTTCTTGGAACCCTCCTGTGGAAAACAGGGTATGACTGGGGCCTTTGAGAAGACTTGTCCCCCCGGCTGAGCGTAATGACAGCCCGGGTAAGGGTACGGGTACGGGTTACGGCCTGAGAGGCGAACTTTCAAGAGGCTTTCTTTTTTTAAATAGACAGCTCCCGCAAAGGACTATATCCTGCGTCGCGGGGGACTTTACAAAGATATATAAAACGGATACAGAACACCCAAACTCAGAAAAACGATTTGTGGATCACAGAGTGTTGTCCCATGTGGGGATCGAACTTATAACAGTCAGCGCAGTAGGAAACAGCGTGGTGATCGAGGCCCTCTTATTTAATGGGCCCCAACGTGGTCCATACCCTGGCGCCGCAATTGTGATCAACGCGGTCCTCGTATCTGTTTAGGCCCAGATTAACGGGAGGTGGCTCTTCAACAAACACTTGCGACAGCTTGTTTTAAAACTAGTCGGCGCTGCATTTTGGGCGTTTTTTGCTCAATTTGGGTGTACCCAGCGTCGCGACAAGTCGGCTGTAGACGGGGAGTTGCCAGGTCAATGGCCCTATATGGTGCACCTACGGTGCACGGTGACGGTGACTCTAACCGCCCAGAGTAGGGCGCGCCTCTAGCGCCTGCCTAGAAGGTATTGACGGCACGAGCCATACGCGGTTGCCGCACCTTTTCTACGGAGGCGGCGTGAGCGTTGGCCGAAGCACCCCCTTAGGATTTCGAAGCGGAAGTATATCGGCGGACGTCTAAATTCTGGGCAAGTAACGACAGCGAGGCCCGCTTGAGTGGTACGCTAGTAACGTGAGGCTTTTTTTCTCCGTGTAAATGTTTTATTTTATTTCTGTAAGACAAAAAAAAAAAATTGCCAAATTTGCCGCCCCCTAAATTTTGCCGCCCTAGACTCCAACCTACTCAGCCTGCTGATAAATCCGTAGTAGCTGGTAAAGAGTAACAAAACCAAAAACAAAACCAGTTCATTAATTATGTTGTATCTAAAGTAACCAACAGTTCAAATAATTATATTTCCAGTTTAATGACCGTTATTTTTATAAAATTTGGCATTTGACAGTTTAATGACCGTTATTTTTATAAAATAGAGAACAATACGATCGCACCGTTTTTAGTCAAGCGATATACTTATGAACGTAATTAAAACATTTTTTACATTTTCTTAGGTAACATGTGAAGCAGAAGCATTTATGGAAGATGTTATATTAATGGGTCTGGAAATGCTTCCACTGGAAACGGATCTTGAAGCCTATAAGACGGACACGTTTGTATTATTAAGTATTCCGTATACGATTATTTATAATAATTGTTTTTTATTCGTACCATCAAAATAGGTTATACTTACTGTTAAAAAGGGATGAAGAGATAACTGCTTGTGAGGGTTAATTTGGAAAGCAAGAGTTGTTTAAAACCACGCCCTGTACTTTAGAAACTCTAGTGATTAAGAAAGTCGGTGAGGTCCCGAAAGACGTATAGGAAACCTAGCGTGTAGGAAACGTCTTAATGTCTTATGAATATGGAAGACACACAAACAAGGAATATCAGGATCGTGATTTCTATGCCTACTCTGTGAAGTATTAATGTACTATCAAAAACAGCAAGATTATTTATTTGACTTTTTAATAGTTAGTTAGTTTTCCTTTCGTTTATTTTTTGTAATGTGATGTATTCTGGGTGTAATTTATCCATAACATGTATGTATTTAGAAATATATGAGTATGTTTATCAGCAGTCTGGTTACCATAGCACAGGCTTTGCCTAGTTTGGTACCAGACGGCCTGTGTAAAATGTGTGAAGTTATTATTACTATCATCTGCCTTGACTCTTGGTTCATCATTTTATATATTTCTTACAAATCCATCATTTACATCTATTTATTATGAAATTTTGAGACTGTCGTTTTGTAAGACAGTTCTGTTCTTTTTTTTTCTGTGAAAATTCTTTCTTTCTGTGAATAACCTAGGTATTCAGTTGTCCTTGAGATAATTAGGACTACTGCGTTTGCTTATATGAGAAAAATGATAAACGGTCCCTTTCAACTTTGATTCTATATATAAAACTCTCTGCACTATAATTCACTCATGACTTCTTATCATATACACGATTAACGACATTTAGATATTATTTTGTTATTTAGTATTTGTCGCGTCGGTGACTTACACAACTATAATTTGCTGATTGTTGTACACCAGTGATTGAGATTTTATTTCCTTTCATAAACCCTTGTTATTAAAGTATTTGAAACTATAATAATGATTTTTCGGACATCTGACATAAAACGTCATCCAGTTTCAAACTAAGCAGAACTTGTACTAAGAAAGCTAGATAAAAACTAATAACTAACTAATACTATAAAACAAAATTAAACTAAGAATTGTTATAGAAAATTAATGTTCTAGTCGTATGTCGGCAACGAAAAGTTTGGTCGTTGAAAATGTAAAGTCAATAAAAAGTGAAGACAGAAAGAGCAAGAGGTCGTCGGGTACTTCAGTACTTACTCGATCACAGGGCTCTCAGCTTAAATACGTACTCGACTTTGGTAAGTGAGCTGACGACCGCCCTAAAATACCATCTATCGTTGCAAACTTGGTAATAACCTTGAGTTTCACAATAAGTTTTAAATCGTTACCTACACATAGTTTTTTTTTTTAATTTCAAGGTTTACTAAATACTGGACTTCATTACTGGCTCTGTCATCTTTGGCTTGTTAACCCAAACCACAAAAGATATTTCATAATTTTTGAAAGAGACAAAATGGGAGTACCTATGTATGGGACAAAATGTATAATGAGAGAGGTCTAATTCATAATACAAAGTCACTAGTTTACTTTTTACAAATATTTCAATACTCAATATCAGGACTATGTAGGACTCAATATCACACTCAATATAGGAACACATAAAGTACAAATACTTTTTAGCCCCTTCGATGTTGTGCTAATAATTTATTTTTAGGCGGATGCGAACTAGGATTCCTACAAAGAAGTTCTGTAGTTATGGTTAACAACTCAGAAAAAGTGTACAAGTTCACCTGGAATCTTATAGAACATTTAGTAGTGAAACCGTCAATGGGCTATATTTCTCCAGGAGAAGAGAAAGATATTGAAATATTGTTCTACTCTGCTCAACCTGTTGAAATAAATAAGGTAATTATGTAAAAACAAATTTTAAATAAATAGAGCATTTTCCAAAAAAGGGAAGTAAAAGACGTCGGCCTGCTTAGCTACCTACCTAAGAAGGAAATAGGTTAATGTTATGGGTTAGTACCCCTAAGATTAACCTATTAATAGTAGATAGTAGAATTTTACGAGTGCAAAACTGATGTTTATCGGTCCAATTATTCAGAATAAGGTAATAAAGAAAGTGGCGTAGGTAAGAGGATGACGTACAAAGAATAACAGGCATTACATGGTTCTCCATCTAATGCCTGGAAGACACAAGATCGCATCTTGAGGCATGCTTTAGGGCCTATGCAGGGAAGCAAGACAATCTTTGCGAAACGTGTCAAATAATTAAGATATATTACGTACATACAAATCTTAATTATTTGACTGATTATTAATGGTAATAATATCAATTAATTTTATGCAGGAATTCTTGGTGTGTGCGCTGACAGCAGTAAGCGATGATACTCTTACGCTTGACATAAAAGGTGCTACTTGGGATAATCGTCAAATAATTACACTATTTGAGCATAACCAGTGAGTGTTAAAACTGATTTCACTTTTTACACATACACAAACTCACGTCTTAATCCGTGAAGTTATGCATTTTTATCGCGGATGGATTTAATTACTCCACACTGACACTATATTAGTATCTACATATATTGTATTCGTGTGAAGCCGGAGGCGGGTCGCTAGTTATAGATAAATTATAATCCATTACACATAATCATGATAGAGATACAGATATTAAAGTAACTGGAACTGATCAATTATGTTTTTATGGTCAAAATCTTAGAAAAAAACATTAAAATATTGAATTTTACTTAGCTTCTCCCGTCCGCGTCAGGAGGGAAAAAGTATCAGTAAGCTTAACACCCAGCCGAAACTTTTTATTTATTACGTTTGTTACGTTGTTATACCAGGTATGTATAAAGATAATCTAATTGGAATACAACATAAGCGTACGAATTAACAAACTGATGAAAAAATACAAAATTGAGAACAAAATTAAAACATTATATTTTGACAATTAAAAAACATTAAATAACGACGAAACTAATACATATATAGAAGTTTATGATCAAACACCGTAAATCTTTTTCAGGGATGGCCTTAATCAAAGGCAAGAAGTTACTATTGACGAGCAGATAATACCACCGCCAGATTTTTTTTTAGGAGCTATAACTATGATCCTGGTGTATTCCGTCTCCACTGAATACACAAAATACTTATGCACTTTGCCGGAAGAAAAGCATTTAGAAGACACCTTTATATACCAAGTATTTTTTATTCCATGCGTTATTTTAGTCTAATAACTTTGTAGTAAGTACATATATTCGTGTCAATGTTTTCATGTCTAATTTACATTATATCCCGGTCCAGTACTTTCTCTAATGTTTTAACCTACCTAGATTAAAGACATATTTTATTTTCAAACAGTCATGTGCTTTTTAACGGTAATCAAAAAGGAATAAAAAAGTAAACTTGTTCACAGGTGAGAAACTTCACTTTTGCTTTGAAAAATGTCGGCAAAGTCCCATTGAGAGTTACATGGAATTTTGTTATAGATGACGAGTATCCCGCAAGAATAGATAAATTTAAATTTAATAAGTTGGAGGTATATACTGCTAATAAATACTTATGTATACTTTAGTTCAATACCTCAGTTTTCACAGATATTCTTTTCACGGGATTTCGATTAAAATCTAACAGGACCATGATATAACCTCCTGTTCCTATTAATCCTTTCAATCGTCGGGATGATAACAGGTATTCCTCTTAGGTAAATAAATAAAAAGGTAAATAAAAAATCTTTACTCCCTTCTACTGTAAAACAATTTAATGTTATAAAAATAGTGATTACTCCATTGTCACTCAAAGAAGTTGTGCAAAATTGCTAGTAAAGAATACTTATTACACAATATATTTTTCGCATACAGGAGTTACTGAAAATACCTTTACCTTTTTCATTAATTAGTGGACTAATATTTTATGTGCTATCGAATTTTATATTTTCATCGTCAAAGTCATTGACGAAAAGGACTTTCAGATATAAGATTCACAAGACATCGATAGAAAAAAATAAACCTCCAAGTGTCTTTATATTAATTACATGGTTAATAAAAGGTTTGGAATAATACAAAAGTATAACCCTCATTCGTTGGAACTTAGAATATACAATAATGTGATGTACATTATTTGGTACTACGAGTAATTAACTTTTTCGTACTAATAACATCTGATGGTTTTTAGGACCAAGGAATGGAAGAATGCGCAGTTAGAGCCTCTCTGACTGAAAGTTACAATAGTATTGAGGATCAGTTCAATATTCAGAACGAAAATGGTAAATAAAATATATTTACAAGATGTTAAAAGTTAATAATAATACAAAAAAATAAATAAAACACCGAATATAATAGTTACAAGTCTATACATTGTCCATTCATAAATATTACATTGTGTAACGAGTTAAAAAAAGATTTTTGAAGTAAAACTTCTTTACGCACGCTTGACTTGGGGAGTAAGCTGGTGAATGCATGACGAAAGGTGTGATCGGGCGAGGCGAACGGAAGTTGAGTGGGACATATAAGTTAGTGAAGATAGAAAGAGAGAAAGTTACGTTTCTTACATTACTGTAGGGGCAAGAGAGAGAAGTGCGAGCACAAATTTTCTTTCTCTCATAGCCTAGAAGTTTTACTGCAGTCGTGTGGTCTAAAGCACACTCATTTTTTTATATGTTGTTACGTCACAACTATATCATTTATGAACTTATTTAGAGGTGTTTTTTTTTAAAAAAGGTCTGCTAGCGAAATTACTAGTATTCCCGTTAACCCCGATTTTCATTGACGAGGTTATACTTCCCGTTTGGTCTCATGCAAAAAGAAAAAAAACTTACTTATTTAACATCGTTATTCTGTGAGGCCAGAGTGATGCCACACTCCGGTCGAACCGGTCCGTTGTCCGACCGAAGTCGAAGCATGACTCTCCTCTTTTCATTTGAAACCAAATGTTACAGCTTCAAGCAAAGTAACACTGTTTAGTGCAAGTGCAGACAGACAAAGCGTTGATACATGGTTTGAAGTCGATCTGCCCTTCTCGATAGAGCCCACTAAAGACTGCTTGAAACCAGGAGAGAAAACAAACTTCAAAGTAACGTTCGCACCTCTTGATGCATTTGATTTTAAAGTGAGGTTAAGAAGTACTATTGGTAAGTATTAATTGAACTATTTTTGGGTGTAATTCTCACTTAACGAACTGTGACAATTGTTTTGGGTTATTCTGTTATACTACATTATGCTAATCAAAACAAGGTAATCATACTACAACTTAACATAAGTCTTAAGTATGTGTTTGTCAATAGGACTCCGGTTATTGGTTGGTACTCATATCTAATGGGTAGTGTCTACAGTAGTCTACGCTTTCCATTTTATTTCTGCACTATTAAATACTTGCAGATAACTTAGATCCATATGATCAGAATGTTTCCTGCAAATTGGAGGCTAGATCGCTAATACCCTACGTCCATCTCGATATCGAAGAAAGCGATTATTTGACATCAGGGAGAAGGAAAGTAACAGGAATTGCTTTACCTCCACATATCACTGTACTGGAATTTAATGTCTTGGGCTCTGGATGTTATAAAAAGTTAGTAAATTAACAGTAACTGATTAGTGTAAGAATTGAACTGATGGGATATAAAATGTTGGGGAGTCCCTTGTTGTTTATTTTAGAAAAATACATTTATAATAAAAAGTTACATCGTGGTGGTACTTTAAGAGAGTTCTTTTGACGACAACAAGCTTTACTACTTCAAAATAGTTTTTTCTGCAGTACTGTATGTACCTTTAGAGGACTCCTTTTGGGGGTGTAAATTGCAAATATACCCACAATATATTTTAAACATTAACAATATTTTATACATTGAGTTATGTTTAAATATTTCAGACGATTTAATGTTATTAATCCTACAAGTGAGGCGTACGAGTTCATATTTGAAATGATTATGTCTGATAAGCCTGAGCTTATACCTGTCCATTGTGATACCTTAAAAGGAAACGTAGAAGGTGGAACGTCTACTGAAGTAACATTTACATTTTCTCCGACGGCCCCAGGGGTATGGTTTAAGAATTATTTAAATTAAGATCTCTGTAAGCTTCCACTGTAGACGATTTTGCGAAGTTAAATTATTTAGGGTTTAAATTAATCAGAGTAAGCTTCAGAGCAGAAGAAATAAGTTACTAGTCAATTCAATAATAATTGAATTCAAAAAGTTTGCAAAATAGAGAGTGCTCTATCGACTCTGTAAAGATGAACATGTTCTGACAATTTTGACTGGCCAAACCATTTTCAATTTCAAAATTTTCAAAACAATTTTATCAACCCAAATGAAAAATTAAACCATGCTAACCTGACAATCTAAAAAAACTGTTGAATAGTGTTATAATATTATATTTATATACATAGCAAAGTATTTTATATAATATTTTTGATTAACGTTTTTCCTAAATAATGAATAATTTTACTGTATTTAAAATTCATGACAAAACCAGCTCTAATTGTGTGGGTTGATATTATTTGAGTAAGTACTTAATCATCAATTTAAACTTTGAAACCTTTAAACTTTGAAAGACCTCATAAGAAAGGATTGTGTAAATAATAGGACTTTTTCAATATTACAAACATGAAATAGATTACATAAAGAACACAGGTCTGTGCAGTGCCCTGTAAGTGCATTAATTGTTACAAAAAAAATAGAATAAATATTGGCTCATACCTAAGCGTTCTTCTTGAAATATGTTACTTCATTAAAAGAGATAAGATATGTGGCGCCGATGGAGTTCATTTTTAATAGGCCGTCTTTTGAAAAGTTTGTCTCATTTATTATTCCTTAAGAGTTATGGTACACTTTTGATAGATTTAAAAAAGGTACAATGGTAAAAAATAATATTTTTTTTAGGTATATGAATCTCAGTGGAAGTTTATAATAAATGCTCATAATCTCGTTATGAATATATTAGTTGTTGGACTGGTAAGAGAGTCGGATGTTGTATTTGTACCGACAATCCTCATAATAAGAAATTCGTTGGTGGGTTTCACGACAACGAACGACATTATATTAAAAAATAACGAAAGCGAGGCTTTAAACTTTGAGTTCAAAGGTAACTCGTTGTGTAATGAATCTGGGAAGACGCCTGTTATTGTAGAGCCTAATCAAGGAATACTGAAGCCTAATTCTGAAACACCGATCAAGTAAGTATGTTAATTATTTAAAATCAATGTTTAAAAGAAATATAGGATAATTAGTACCCATATCAGAAGATTAGTCTGGATTCTTATATATTGTTACTGTTAAATCACCTCAAATGGAAATCATGTTCCCAATTTAGCCATGGCCCAGCAAGTTTCATTATCAACTCTTATAGCAAGCTTAATTATTTTTAATTATTCTGTAATGTAAAATAATTCGCTTACAATCAATATTTAGATACCAGCAAACTATTTGTACAGGACAACTTTAAAGGCTTCAGGCTGGGATGCAAGACTTTACAGTTGTCATCTGTTCCTTTTAGAGCAGTTTAGTGCAGTGCAGGATTGACCGGCTCTGGTCGACATAGATTTGGTTGAATATCAATCGATTGATATAGACAAAAACCTGAAATACAACTATAACACGCGCTATGTCGCTGTAAACAGTCAGCACTTATGACCGTTAAACAATTAATTAATTTCTTTCCAGGATTATTTACACCCCTATCCATGATGGCCCTCAATCTTTTAAAATATTTTGCAGCATCGCATTTCTAACAAAGTTTTTAACTTTATGCGTAAATGCGCTTAGTTTTTCTATTAAACCTAAAGTGACGTATAATTTAATTGGAAATGAACATGTGTTAAATAGTGATTATAATACCAACATACATTTAGATCAAGTATGTGTATACTTTCTATCATAGTCTTTAAGTAAAATAGCTTTCCACTAAGTTCCTATAGCAATTTGTATCCTTACCGACGTATACTTTATTGTTTAAATACACTGATTATGACATAACACATTCCGTATAAATTACTTCCATATTTCATTATTATCGGATAGATGAAGGTAGATCCATTAACCCTTTTATTCTATTAATATAGGCTTCTTTATGATAAATGTATTTAAAACTTGAATCTCAAACTTCTTCATATCTAGGCACCTTTTTTGTATCGTTTATTGTAGTATTTACCATAAACTCGGTAAATACCTAAGGAGTTAATTAACCAGAAATAATAACCAGATTAAAGCAACTAGCCGTTTGAACGAAATAGCTGTGTATTTAGGAGAAATTTAATTAAGATGGGAAGAAGTCCATGGAATTGTATGGTTCCCGCGCATTGCAAGTAGCATTCCAAAATATTCGTAGTTTGTACCTTTAGATTACGGGCAATAATGTTGAAAATAAAACAATGTTTTGGTGGTCAATGGTCACCGTGGTTACGCCTTAATTCACAATACTGCAGAACATGTAAGTAGTATACAAAGAACGGTACTCCCCGTCTTCCACGATATTTAAAAAATAGTATTTCGTAGGCCAAAACCTCCTTTCTAAGGAGAGGCCTATGTCCAGCAGTGGACTATTAAAGGCTACTGATGTGATGATGATGTGATTTCGTAGATCGATATAGTATTAATATTTCACTACATACGCAAATGTATAACTTTAAGGCATGAGTAAGTTAAGTACGAAGTGCCCCTGTATGTAGGTCACTATATAAGTTTTGAAATGCTCAAATTTGAAAATGGAACGCATCTATGTCATATATTATTGAAAGGCAAATTTATTTCGGACATCCATCACAAAAGGCCATTTACAGCAATAATAATAATAAATAAATAAATTAGAAGTATTATACCTACTGTCATTATTTCCCGCTTTTTTCGTCTGCTTGGAGCTTAAACGTGAACATCTGCGTGCTATGATATAAGTATTACGACTACGGACCAACCCTATCATTTTTCTTTCGAAGGGTATGCCTTGATTTACTTATTTTCATAAAAAAAAATCTTACCAGACTGGCTGCTTGAGCAATCATCTGCTCGTTCGGCGTTGGTTAATTTCTCATAAAACTCATAAATCAATTTCACTAGTAGAATCGAAACCTAGTCGAAACTAACATATAGAATGTGAAAGTCTAAATTTTAGTTTCGACTCTGTTTTGTCTGTTCTGACAATATCTCGCAGAACATTTAACTAAGGAATCTCGTGAAAGTGGATTAATAAATTAATTTTAGACGGCATCTACGTATGAAAGACAAATACCATTCACCATAAGAAACAACGGGTCAGCAACTTTCTTCTTTGATTGGCACTACAACCCATCAAATGTAAAAAAGTATCTAAATGTATATGTGGAACCAAACATCGGCCATGTAGTGCCTGGTAATGAAGTAGAATGTATCCTACACTTTACACTGAAGCAAATCCCTGTCCAAGCTTTTCCAGTCAGTTTATTGGTAAGTCAGTACTTATTTGCATGTAACTGCTGAAGAAAAAGGGGTTCTATTGCAGTCTGTAGAAGTTCTATAGAAGGTATAAGAATTATTAGGTTATCACTGCCGGTAAAAATAGTTAGTATTTTTCTTATGAAATCTGCTTTTAGTGTAAATGTAATTAGTTTCTGAACTTTATTGTGCGTAAATAATATTTTATAAATTAATAGATGTCTTTGAACTTCTTTGATTCTCTTGATATTTGCGATAACCGACAATACCAATATGATTTCTATGAAATGAATCATACTAGTAAATGTTAATGTTCAGATCTCAGATGGTCCGGAATACAACATATTCCTGTATGCAGAGATAGAAAAGCCCATTTACCGTTTTTCATGCATGGACATTAACTTTGGAAAATGTTTTATCAACACACCAGATACGACCTACAAGAAGAATATTAGTTTCACTAATGGTGATAAAGTGCCTGTGCTGTAAGAATTTCATTTATCAGATTATATAATTTTATTTATATTGGTTTTAGTTGCACTTGACTATTATCAGATCTACGAAACTTTTAATTTACAGTTTTTCTTTAACTATTGACATGTAGCAATAGTTAAACAAAAACTGTAATAAATTGTTTTATGAACGTTAATTTGTTAAACCCCGACTATTTATAGATATAATATATTTTTCTTTTTAATAAGTATGTTCTTCGGATCTACAACCGAGGGACTTTCTATAGTTCATAATACTGTGAATCTCCTGCTTTATACCTTATAGAATCCTTCGTTGAACTATCATCAAGCTATAACAAAATATTTTTCTTTTAGTCTCGATCTGAATTTTACAAGTTTGCCCGAATTGTATGTCGACTATGTTCAAGTGCCGAAAATTGAACCGGGGAAACGGCAGAAAATATCAATATACTTTCGCCCAAAACACGTTAAAGAGTATGAGTTTAAGCTACAATTTTGGGTAAACTCTTTATGTGAAGAAATTGTGACAATTAAAGGAGAAGGTTGGTGTCTTTAATTAAAATATTATTTAATAAAAAAAAATAACCATACCCCCAGTTAATTATCATTACCATCACTGCCGAAAAGCGACCACTGCTGGGCATAGGCCTCCCCAGGGCTCGAACGGCTTCGTTGCAATACAACGGCAGTTGCGTCTTTGCAGTACCTGTCTTGCAGCCTCTTATAGTTTATTGTTTTATAATAGTAATATAATACGGCTGCAAATCGTGTAAAGACTACTATACACCTTATTATATTCTTGCCCTTTTTCAAATTTATTTGGGGTCGGTAAGATGAGTTTTATTTTCCATTTTTCTCCTATCACTTGTCACTTTACTGCTTTTACCTTTTCCAACTTTTACCTTCTTTTACGCGGTCAATCCGTCTTTTGGTCCTGATATACATACATTAAAACTTTTTCGCTACATTTTATTCAACTCTACTCATCGCATATCCATACCAAGATAACATTTATCCACTGTAGCTACTTTCACGCTTCTAATGTAAATACCACACGTCTACCAGTGACAAACATACGTCTGTGCCTACATAACTCCCGGCTCAATAATGATTCAGGGGTGTATAAAAACTCATTTCATCAGCTTTAGTTTTAGATCCATGTTATGTTTGAGAATTTCCTGACGTAATTCCTTATTCATAAATACAAAATCCCACAATTAGAATGTATAAGCAAACTTGTCATGTTTGGACATTGTTTAATCTCATATGTACTTTGCAGGTATTCCTCTTCTCTTTGATTTATATGAAGGATGTCAAAAGAGCTTTGACTTAGGTCATGTGAAGGTTGGGGAAAAAATTATTCGCACTATAGATGTAATGAATCATAGTAAAATGCCTATTGATGCTACGTACATATTTAGAGAAATGTACCCCGTAGTAGGAGAATCTTCACAGTCTGAGATGACCAGTGTGTGCCTCAGTCCCTCTCGGGTAACTGTGAAGGGCAGTATTGGACCAACCAGGTATTTTATAACTGTTTTAGTATGTGTATGCTATTGACATAGGGTGATTATAAAAAAAAAAAAAATTAACTCCTACGTTACTGATATATAATAAAATTAACCATATCTGGAAACTGAATATTTGTTCTTCGAAAACCGAAATATTTTTTTCGGAAAAAGCTTAGTCTGGTATAGGTGTACACACATATACAAACAAATTAATGATTACGAATTCTTGTGTCCATTTCAATTACTTGCCTACTTTGTTCTTTTTTTCAATTTTACAAATGAATTATGAATTGTTATTCTTAAATTGAAAGAACAATCAAATTTTGCCTAAGACTATAGCTAGCATTTAACTTAAATAACAATTTCGCAGAGTACAGATGCTACAAAACTACAAAGATGACAAAGTACGAGAACAAATTTCAAAGGACATCGAAAACGCCTTGTCTTCGTTGAAAGTGGTGCCAAATAAATGCACAATAAAACCTTATAGGAAAGTTCCATTAAAAATACAGTTCAAGCCGGTAGGCCTGATCAGTACTCTCAATGTACAGGTGAATATTTATTTACCTTAGGTGTACCTACAAGTTACCTACCATCACATATTTAATTTATTTGTAAAACTATCAACGACCATAAATAAATATTGCTTTAGTCCTCAGTAAAATCGTTAGTTTTTACTGTGTTTTGTAGATATCATTTCTAAATCTCTATTAACGGTAGAATAATAGAGACAGTTCCTTTGCCATGACATGTATCATTCTGATTTTGACTTTATTTAACCCAATTAAAAAAAATCTTATTTGCTGAAATTGAACAATTGAAGCGAATCTGATTCGCTTTATTATTTTTTAGTTAAATATGAAGGTGTTTGAGTTCGAACGCCCCCTTGTACGCCTTAGTGGTTGTGCTACGGGTATGAGCTTAAGATTCAGTCAGAACTCCTTACAATTTGGTCGCGTGCGCAAGCGCGGAGTTAAAATATTGAAAGTAATGTTACAAAACGAGGGTAATTTTGGAGCAAGGTTAGTTGCAAGCTTCTATTATGTATGCGAACTTATGTAGTGTAATTACTTGACGTTTAATATCTTTACAACTCTTCAAAGTTGGTTCGCAAATAATTTTGTTTAGTTTTACAGTAAGAGAATAGATATGTTACTATATATGCTAATATTTTACATAGATTTTGGTGGCAACCTTTGAAAACAACAGAATTTTCAATATCCCCGCAACAGGGCACCATAGCCGCACAAACCAATGTCACGTTTACCATTACATTTAGGCCATTATACCATAATCCGTTCGTCAAAGTTTGGGTAAGAGCATTTTTGTGAATTGCCATCCTATTTAGCCACCGTAAGTAGGTTATATTATTAAAGTACACATACATGCTATAGTACCTTCTTTTTTATATTTGCAATAACATTCTTTTTAAGCGAGAATCCTATTAAATAAATTTAAATAAGCACTTCTTGTATATACTTAAATATTTATATTTCTTACCGGGTATAAAATGTATGTATGTAAATCTAAGTGAGTATATTCTTATTCTAGAAGTTCTAGACCCCATATTATTCATATTTTTTACTCATTGTGTACGTCATACGTGTACGTCTTGTGTACATTGCATATGTCACAGTATTATATTATTTTAAAAATAGCTTTTACGGCTTTGCAATATGCAAGTATCTAAGATCATTCCAAAAAAAAATCGCGATTTGACGTAGGTAAAGAAAATATCGAGCGAAACTTAGTCGCTGAGGTACTAAAATATTAGCAGTCTTTTAAAATAAAGCAGAAACACTACCATTGGAGCCTCTGCTCTGAGAGACACATTAAAAAAATTAAGTGCCGTTTTTTATCGTCGTAAATTCTTCATATAGGATCGATTTAAGGTAAAAGCTTCTATTACAGCGGTAGTTCACATCAGCTGCAATTACAAGGGTTTATTGTTGTTTTTTATGCTTTATTCTAATTAGGATTTTTCACCAAAACTAAATTTTAAAGTCACAGAGAGAAAATTTACTTATTAAAATTAATAGTTTGTGTCACGGCGGCAGATGCTTTTTTCTTACTTTATAATGGTGCGATAAGCTGCTGTTATGAGAGCTTTTGCCTTAATAGGGTTTCATCTTATCTTAGCTACCTTTAATTATAAGAACTATTGAAAAGTTGTACATTGACTTCACGTTACTATTTTCAATAATAATTATTTCAAGATAGTCAAAGTTTGTGCATTAGAAATACACCAACATAAGAACAATGGATATTTATTAACATTAGTTTGTATTACAGGCGTGTTGTAACATAGAGAATTATACGCCTCTCGAACTTGCCTTATACGCCACATGTGTTGACATTGGTAATGTACAAAATAAAACGATGTACTTGGAATGTCCCGTTCGTGAAGTAAAGACTGATTACGTCGTTGTCACAAATCCGTGAGTTACTTTTTATTATTACTTATTGAGAGATAATGTACAAGTTGTTTAGGGTCTATACTCCCAGGTACTGTTATACCTACCTTACAAAAAAAAACGAATACCTACTTCTACTCAAATTGGAACTAGAGTACCTAGTACCTTACAAAAGACCTATGCTTACCTACTGAAATTACCAGGGTTGCCTACTATAGTTTTATGTAAGAAGGCTAGGATTAGATATGAAAACACGAGCGTTGCGAGTATTATTAGATTCTCATTACCAGTCAGACGGTAAATAAAATTTAAAAAAACTTAAAAAAAAACTTTTTAAAAGTAAACCATACTAACTCGCTACTTCTTAAAGTTATTGAAAACTACATACATTATGTTAAAGCATTCCAAGGTCGGTTGGTCAAGCTAATATAGAGCGATTAAAAACTTTTTTTGACCAAGTCTATTTTTACAATGTATTGCAAACAGGTGTATGTAGTCATATCTTATGATCGTTATTTATATATCGTTAAATAGATGAGTCAGCCTAAAAATATCTGTTGTAATCTATTTTTTTAAACTAGACCAGCAAGGTTACTAAAAGAACTAGCCTTGTTAGTTCTTTTAGCTTGCAGGTATTGTTATTTAAATATACGCAAAAGAACTGATCACACCCAAGTACAATATATGTAGCCGAAAAATGTAATTAAGATGGCATGTCTTATGACAACAAGTGTATCTTTCCTCGAATATCCCCTTTTATTTCAATACTTTTCTGTGAAACCACCTGAAACCACCACCGGGTGGGGTAGTTATGTCGCACTCGAATCGATCAAATACCGCACGCTGTCTCGGGTACCAGTAGCCACGGTACTCGAATACGCTAAAAACGTCGTCCTGAGCCCAGAGATGTCTGCATTTACTGCGAGTTCTTTTAAGTCACTTGCATGCTGCAACAATGCAGAACGAATTAAATTTTGAAAATCTTTTTACAGTACCGATGACTTGTGGCTGGTTTTGTCTGAAGTGTCTGGTGGTCCTTTCGATACTTTGAAAGAGTTTCACATTGAACCCAATTCTACCTTCGATATACCTGTGAACTTTAGACCAAAGAGCATTGGTCAACATGAGGTAAAAGTCTACATAGCTTTATGTAAACACCATATTTATACCGTACATAAACTACTTATTATAGATAAACCGCTTATTTGAGTCCTCGCCTGCGGGGCACAGGAGGAGGGAGGCAAAGACAAATCAAATCCGAAAAAAAACATGTTTTTGAGGCAATGACTGGGATGTATCGTATTCCTGCTAGCTAACTTTTTTAGCTTAACCTTTTCCATTAACGCAAACCTACAGGACCCATAGCAAAGAATGTAAAATATGCTTCGTCGTTTAAAAAGTAGTGGTTAATTTTAATGTCAGTAAAAAGATTTTTTTTATTTGAGCACCTTGTTCTCTAGATGCCAATCTTTCTTTTTTTTCAGAGCCAGCTTTTGTTTTCACCTTTAGGTGAAAGTGCTTTATTTTTATCGGTGACTGGAATAGCCCAACATCCAAATCCAAATGGGACTATTCAAATAAGCGTGCCAGCCAAGGACTTGCATACCATCGAATTACTTGTGCATAATATAACTGAGGTTTGTTATGAGTTTTTTTATTAAATACGTATGTTATTTGTCTGTATTCTATAGTAGGTAAGTACCTATCCACTAGGTATTATCTATTTGTTAAATATTTTTGTTAGTATCTTCAATAAAGGTTAAAAGTTAAAATCTAAAGTTAAAAAGGCAATCGTGATATACCTACATATATATTTGTCTAGTAAATCGTCATAAAGATAACCTTTAATTTTTAAGACATCAACATCAAAGTATTGTGCATTTCAAATCTATGAATCTATTTCTATCTTTACATGTACATTAAGTGCCTTTCAATGTCTCAATGAGTTCGACTTGTGCACAGTGCTTAAATTAAATTCCTTTTCTTTAATTTATTGTTTTTTTTAGGAACCTGAATCTTACATTGTGTTAACAGAGTTATCAAAAGTCGTTCCCGAAAAATTCGAAGGTTATTACGAAATAAAGCATCCAGAAACAATCAAAACATGGGGAGAAGCTAGCGCCACATGTCGATGGACTTATGTTTGTTATGAAGAATGCGAAATGACATTCAAAGTTAGTGCAACTCATTAACTTTATGCTAATACTTATAATTGATCTACCAATAAAGTAACATTAACTTTGATGATACTTACTCTGTGACAGGTACTCTGTTACAGATCCTATCAATATTATTTAGGTATAGGATTCTGAAATAGAGGAAACGGAAGAGTCCATGTCCGTGAAGTAGAAAGTAGTAACCGATAAAATGTATTATAATTTTAGTTATCTTTAGTTAACTCCGGCAGGTTACTTCTAGAAAATTCTTGAGGAACGGGTGTCATAACCCTCCAACACTAGATTAGACCGGTTCGGTATGTCTCCGTTAGGTGATTGATCCTGTAGATACCTACACAATTGCAGCTAAATAATTTATTTACAGGTGATGTTCATTAATGAAATAAGTAGGGAATACCAATTTTACAATATAATAGCGACGGTTACTGCAAGCCCTATCGTAGCTACGTTAACTTTTGTATCGCGAGCTCGAGAATCTGTACAAAAAGAGCTCTCCATTAAAAATCCGCTCTCCACTGAGTCATTATTTTATATTAAAAGTGAACAACTGCAGTGTCCTGATGTACTGACGATTAACAGGAAGTCAGAGGTAATTTTTAACCTCATAATAATGAAAGTAACTTGAAATTAGATACAGGTTTACTTAATCAGTCTACAGAAGCTTAAAAACCTTAATTGATGGCCTATTAATACTTACCTACCTACTTACAAAACAATGAAAAGTGAGACGCCACTATTTCTTCAAACATTGGCACTTAACGATTGTACGTAGAAGTGGAAACCCAACTAGAGGAGCTTTAACCACTATTTGCATCTTGCTAAACACGATCGGTTGTTTTGTCATGCCTTGTAGAAATCACGCACCATTATAACTACAATTCTATTCTAGGCAATTTTAACAATGATATATTCACCATTAGTGGTGGGAGAGACTGAAGAATTGTTAGAAGTGTCCAACCATTTAGTAGGAACTTATGTGTATAGAGTGATACTAAAATGTTTGCCAGCGAAGGAAAAAACTTTAGAATTCTCAACTTTATTTGGAACCATAATACCGATACGTCTGAAAGTGCAGAACAGAGCGGACTGCAGAGCGGATTTCATTTGCACGGTACGTCTCTGTTATATTGGTTTGGAAGGTAGTACGTATGTTTAGTATTTGATAACTAGTTTCGTTACTGCTTAGTCATTTTGGTAATAAAAGCATAAAAAGGGATTTACAGATTTCTCGCCACGTAATTTTACAGACAGATTTTTATTCTTAACGATGGAACAATGATGATAGTTCAGTTACACGGTTGAGTTTAAAATTCAAATATACTTGAAGGGTGAGCTAGAATACCTTTACAAAGTGCAGTGTACCCAAGGCAACGGAGTGACAGCTCCTTTGGTGTTTTGGTGAAACGAAAATCCAGGAGCTAAGCTACTGGGTAGCGCCCGGATTTTCGTCTACAATGTATTTCTTCACAAGTTTCTCTTCAATTCACAAATGCTGGCTATAGCGCCGTGATGGTAAACAAAAACGTGCTCTTATATTTTTATGTACCTCTACGTTTTTTTTTTGTACTTTGTAGATTTCAGATTTCGTAATCCTTAAAAACGATTTTTTTAATACGATCTACAACATTAAAAAAAAAAAGTTTACTTTAAGATTAATAAAACCAATAAAATAAAGTAGGTAACCACAAAAACGACATAAAATTAACACACCACACACACACACTGAATGAACTTAATAACTATTTTATCGATAAAATATAGCCTAAAACAACGTTTATGAAAACCACTACGTCCATTTTAAGCACAAGCAAATCCATGCCGCCATGCACATACCGACTATTACTTTTTCCAAAATTTAGACAACTTTTTAGTGGGTAAAAAATTCAATTCCCGAGAGGCAGTACAAAATGCCTTTGAAGAGTTTGTTGCCTCCCGTCCAGCTGATTTTTACAAGAATCAGAATCAATAAACTGCCAATGCGTTGGCAAAGATGCGTCGATTGCATGGGTGATTACTTCGAATAACAGAAATAAAAAAGTTTGAAAAAATAAGTACTTTCACTTATTGCATACAAAACGGCAATTTCATAGGTAAAGACCTATTATTATATATTAATGACCTTCCAAAATGTACAACAAATACTGTAACGCTTTTACGCTTTACGCTCAGTTACGATATCTTATAATAATGATATAATTCAATAAAAATATGACAATTCCTTGACATCTATAATAAACTGGCTTGACATTAATAATTTGAAAATTAATTTAAGTAAAACTAAGATTATATATTTCAGTCAACGGGTCGGTCCAATCAGTAATATATACCAAAATATAAACATTGACAATCACAGTATAGAAAATGTTCGACTAAGTTCCTCGGGTTAACGAGAGATAAAAACTAGATTGGAAATCACATATAGAGACGCTTTGCAAAAAATTATGTATTTCTGCATACGCATTGCATACGTTAATCAATACAGAAACCGTGATCACCGCATGCTACAGTTTAGTTGCCTCAAATTTACGTTATGGCATAATTTTCTGGGGTAACTCTACAGAAACATTAAATGATTTTAAGTGTCAAAGGAGATGGTGTGCATCTAAATAAAAAATTAAATTAATTATTATTTTTAATTTTTTATTTAATTTTATTTTAATTTTGTTATTGGTTAAAACATCGACCGTATGGGTCGATGTTTTAACTAAATACAAGTGATGGGTGTAAAGCTTACTTTCAGAAATATAAAGTATTGACGTTGCCAAGCATTTATATTTTAGAAATGTCAATTTTTGTTAAAACAAATCCAAGCTCATTTCCACGGCTTGAGGCATGCTTGAGGATACGGAACAGACGTGATAATAGTAGACTACACCCTTTTTTTTTTCTACGTGTGGAAACCCCCTCGGGCCGTCACCCCACCGGGAGTTGCGGCGGGGTGGTGTGTCGGAATCGGACCGACTAAAACCACACGGTGTGCCACTCTGCGCCTGTAATAGGAGGGATCCGGGAACTTCCCTTCGCGGCACTGTGCCACTAACGTGTGACTTCATATGCTAACAATTTAAATATTGTTTTCTGTGTTTTGCCGCGACTAGTTCCCGGTTTGCGGACGGCTAAAGGTTGTGTATAGTGTTTTAAAGAATATCAGTAAGTTTTTATTGTTTTTTTAAACAGAAATATAGTGCTGAATTATTTTATTACGACTATTGGTGAGTAAGTTTATTTTCTTTCTAAAAGTGGGTAGGAGGTATCCTTTGTTTATATTGATTTTTCTTTGCGTGTTGTTTAATTAAACTTCTTCTTTTTGAAATTGTTGTTTGGTGTATCTTTGTTTGGCTATGTCGGTCGTTAGCGAGTTGCCGGATCCCGGCGATACAAGTGAATTTCTAACACCAACCGGGAAAAGGACATTTAACGAAATGTCACCTACGGATTTCTCGCCGAAAGACAATAGAAGTAAAAGCATGAATAATTCGGATTTAAGTGGAAATGTTTCGTCTCTTAACGGTCGTGATAACTGTGGGGAATACAATTACTGCGAGTTAGTCTCACAGGCTACCGAGTATTTGGCAAAAATTAATGAATTAGTTAATGATCAGGGATCTCGGATGAATGTAGGTAATAAAACGGCAATTATGGATATTACTCAACGAATTACCGGTATCGTATCGAAGCGAAGTTAGCGAATTTTGAGCTACAAATGGAGGGTATCGCAACTCAACAAACGAGTTTAACGTACGCGGACAAACTTAAGCTTCGATTACCACCTAAATCTGCTGGATGCCCGGTACCTACTAAAGCGCGCGTTCCTAGGCCTTGTGTTATTGCCTATCCCACTACGGAACGCTTAGCGGACTATGCGACCTCGTCAGCAACGAAACAAGCTCTCATGAAGGCTATTAAACCGAGCGATGAGGGATTTCAAATTGTAGGCGTTAAAAAAACCTCTAAGGCAGGCGTCGTTTTACGTGTAGCTAACGAACAGCAGCTTAAGAAACTGGAATCTGTAGACGCCATTAAATCAGTAGGGTTGCGATTAGAAAAACCGAAAGGCCGTAGGCCCCGTATATTTGTAAAAGACGTACCCGGTTCTAAGGAAGAAAGTGCCTTCCTAACAGCCTTATACAGTCAGAATATCAAGGACGAATTAAAATTAAATGAGAACGATTTTATTAAGTCAACCAAAATTGTTAGGCATCGTAAACTAGAAAATGGGCGTCAATGGATAGGCTTAGAATTTTTATTTATTTTATTTATTTATTTATTTATTTTCTTTAAAAACAACTATTTTTACAGGCTTAGCCCAATGCAATAGTGTTATACCATCTACTTATTTATTATAAGAAATAATTCTTAATGCTGTTATTGTGAATTCACTCAGTGAGCAATAAAATAAATCTACTTCGTCCGCAATTATATTCAGAGTACGTAGTGCGCGCGTCAGCGGTGCTTCTCTCTGCAGGTTGGTGCGCCCGCACGGGACAGCCAGCAGCGGCGGCCGGCGGCGCCGCCACACGTATCTGTCCGGAACACATATGCTGACTCGTCCTAACACGTCTTCATTATGTATCCCACCCCTAAGTACCCTAAACAGGTACGAGACGAGTGTGAGTTCCCTTCTGACCCTCAGTTCATTGTATCCCACCATACCCAGAATAAATAACGTGGGATACTTTAATGGATACAATGGGTATACTCCATAGTATCTGAAGTACAAAAACCTAACAAATTTATTTTGAACTCGCTCCAACATGAGGCTATATTTAGCTTCATGTGGGGCCCAGATGACTGCGTTACTCTCTAGCTGACTTCTTACCAACGCGTTATACAATGCTATAATTGTATTTAGGTTTCTAAAGTCCTTTACTGTTCGTAAAACAAAACCCAAATTCCTATAAGCTTTTTTACAGCATTTCACTATGTGATCACGAAATCTTAGCTCAGTGTTAACACAAACCCCTAAATCCCTAACCTCTGTGACCCTTACCATCTGTGTCCCGTCTAAATTATAATTATACGAGATGGGTTCGCGTAAGCGTGAGAAGGTGATAGCCACGCACTTCGAGGTATTAAACTGCAAGAGATTGTCTCTACTCCAGGTTACCACCCTATCTATGTCTGTTTGAAGCTTCTTGCAGTCCTCCAAGTTGTTAATAGGGAGGGAGAGCTTGAGGTCGTCTGCGAACAGTAAGCATTTCGCATCCTGGACTACTCTGGGTAGATCATTAATCATTATAATGAATTCTAGAGGCCCAAGGTTGCCTTACCTTGACTTACCTGGTTACCTTGACTTACGCCGGACCTGGTGAAATATGGCTCCGATACATGCCCCCCGCATTCCACGTACTGCTGCCTACCTTGCATGTAGCTGGCAAAAAAATTAAGCAAGTGGGGGGTGAAACCGATGCTAGCTAGCTTCTTCAGTAGCACGTCATTATTGACCAGGTCAAAGGCTTTCCGGTAGTCGAAGTATGCAGCGTCAACTTGACCTCCTCGGTCCACCACCGGGACCACCTCTGTTGTGTAAGCGAGCAGGTTGCTAGTAGTGCTCCTTTGGGGTCGAAATCCATGCTGAGCATCCGCAAGCTGCGGGCTTACTTGTAACAGAATACTATTGTGGATGGCGGACTCAAAAATTTTCGCTGGGGTCGACAGGACTGCAACAGGCCTGTATTCATCAACCCTTGAACCTGATCCACCTTTCGGCACTGGTATGACGCGAGTTAACTTCCACCTGTCTGGGAACATCATTGCACTTAAGCATTTATTATAAATATGAAGCAAAGGCCCAGCCAACACTGACCGACAATCCCTAAAGATGTAAGGCGGGATGCCATCAGGTCCTACTGACCGCTTTGGTTTCAGTCTTTGCATCGCGCGTCCTACATCCGGTAACTGTAGTCGGTCGAGATATATTCTTGCTCCGGCATTCTCGCTACCCGCTTCCGCCATCGCCGCTTGCACATTAAGCTTCGGTATCTCGGTGCTATATACGGATTGGAAGTAATCAGCAAATTCTCTAACGCACTCCTCACCAGCCAGTACAACCCCGTCTTTTAAAATCGTTTGTGTGTTCCTTGAGCTTCTCTTTGATTTAATGTAGTTCCA